TACTATAATCATTTGGTCCAACTTGAATCCACTCCTCTTTCAAAACATTTATTTGAGTGTTCTATGTCTTCTCACCTTATTACATGAAGAAACACCATCATATATCTAAGTTATTCTTATAGGCACTTTTATACATTTAAATTATAAAATAAACAAGTTTGAAGCTATGTTGACTCCATAAAAAGTGGTGAAAGTTTGATTAATCTTGGAGAATGATTTTCATTGGGGAGAATGATCGTGGAGAACATGAGACAACATTGTAGATAGAAGTTGAGATGAGTTGTGTAACTACTTTCAAGATCCTTTTTCTATGCTACATTCCATTCAAATTGAAATCTTGTTGTTGGGAAGATATTTTCATAAATAAAATAGTTTTTCTTGATTTTCCATCAATTATATATCAATTACTTACCTTTATAAAGTTACAATAATTGACGTCTTGTTGACATTATAGGTTTTTACCTTATGCTTGTCAAAACTACCAGCTTCAATGTTAAGATTCTACATTTTTGGTGTCAACTCTTGATATGCTAATATTTGACTCTTGAACACATAGCTCTTGACATGTTGTAAGGTGTTGATTATTTTCATAGAGGAGTTTATTTTGCTGGTCTCATAAGACCAAAATAGGAACAAAGAGTGGGTGATAGGGAGAGGGGGGGAGGGGGAGGTGAATTGACCTTTCATTTTTCATTTGTAAATAGCCTACTTTTGATTGGATTTGTTTGAATTAGGTGAGTCAACTCCTTGAGATAACATCTAGTTTGAGTGAGTGTATTCATTTTGATGACAATACTAACATGCAGATATTTTTATAATAGTTTGACTCCTTACCTACTCAATTATTTTAAATACACTTCTCTAAGAGTCTGCTAATTTCTAAGTACACTCATTGATACTAAGGTGTTAGTTAACCCTAAACCAATATATTCATTCCTCTACTAAGCCCACCACTAGACACTTGTGGGCATTTAATGCATGCTCTAATAATAGATCTATACCACTAGGAACACATACTAAGGAAAAATGTAAATACCAAAAATTACAAGGAAATTCTACATTTAAACATGAATGGATGGATGCTTAGGATTTTTGTGTGGCTACTTGATTCTTATTTTTTCTTACACTAATGTGAAAACTTTTGTACTTTTGGGCTCTCATGGTTTCACTAGAAAATTATGGATTTTATCTTCATAGATTTTTTTTCCTTTTCTAATTAATAAATGGTTATAAATTACATCTTTTGTGGCATTCTAATATATATATATATATATATATGTTAGAATGGCCAAGGGCTACCTCGCAACACTGTAACACTACATCGTTATTCTAGTTTTGTCATTTAGTACATGACATGGTAGTGGCTTATCATAGATGAGTTGCCTATTCTAATAATGCATGCCAAAGTGCAAGCAATGATAAAAACATAATAATGTTATTATTAAGATAATATATTTTCATACATTACTATTTCTCCCATAAACTATTTTTTCAATATCAAAAATATTATTTGCTCAAAGTCAACCCCATTTATCATAATATTCAACATTTTTTAGTGTAGTAGTCAACCTTGTTCACCATATTTGTCAATATTTGACATACTTCGTCTCTACCTTGAAGGATGTCTTCAGAGTGACATACTTCTCACCATTCATGATTTACTATGTTGAAGCGAGAATGGTAGGACAAAGTCAAGAGGAAGATATGGAAAGAGAGAGAGAGAGAGAGAGAGAGAGAGAGAGAGAGATGGAAGATATGGAAAGCTTCCATGAAGCATTGAAAATTCAGGCCTGCTCTGTCTCCCTTTCTGGCTTATTCCGGAAGAGATGGAAACTTCATCTTCTTCAGTTTCCATAGAGAAAACCTGAGTTCTCCCTCATCATTCTTTCCTTTTATCTCCGAACTCAACCACAGAGCTTCCTACTGTATCATCCCCATGGAGCTCTCAGCTAAGCAGCCTTCAATCTACCCCCTCGTCTCTCCGTCTCTCCCCTCTTTCCCATCTCTCCCTCTTACTTGAAAAAGCAGATCAATGGGCTTCTTCCGCCGCAGGTTCTTTATAATCCTCGAGGCAGCAGCAGCCACCGGAGGACTCCCTCCGCCTCTCCCGTTTCAGGCCGCTCTACTTGCACCGCCGGACCTTCCCACCGCCGAGCCTCCGCCGCCGCAACGATGCCCGCATTGGGCATCGTACGTGACCCAGCTGAAGAGTCCTCTTCTCCTCATCGCCGGCGTCCTCCTGGTGGCGCTCCTCTCCGTCTGCTGCAGAACCTTCTGTAATGGCGACCACGACGATCTCCCTGCACGACCAGTTGCATGAGACACCTCCGATCTGGGCACCATAGCCGCTGATTAACAGAAGTTTCTGTTCGATCTACGACCTCTTAACTACGTTTTAATGAACTGATGGGTGGTTTCTCTCATTGGGTGTATGAACATAAAGATAAAATCTTGATTATTGGCGTTGACTTTGGGAGGTCCACGGGCCATCCTTTTCGTCAATTAGAGCCCGTGAGAGGTCAACGGACCTGGAATCTCGTCTTCATTTGGCAGATTATTTTTTTAATTCTTGGTTTTTATAATCAAGCTAGAAATAAAAAAAGTGACGGTCCGCTATTTGGCAACGAGGAGGGCCCCACGGAAGCCTTACTTCATATTATTTTAAATTATGGGAATTAGAAATAAACCCATGAATTAAGGTGGAGCATTTGGTTTTTGCGTTGACTTGAAGAGGTCAACTGAACGTCCCTTCGGCCAATTGGGTTCCGTGGAGAAGTCAACGGACCACTATATCGAAGAGGTCAACATATTTTTTTCTTTATTATTTATTTTTAGAATATAAATTAGGAATAAAAAAAAGTGAGGGCCACTATTTGGGAACGAGGAGGGACTCAGCAAGCCACACTTTCTATGATTTCAAATTTCCTAAATTAGAAATAAACCGACGAATTAAAGTGGAGTATTCGACTTGCCCTTCACAGGGGTATGGGAGTAACAAAAAAGGTGACTAGGGAAATATAAATGTTTCTTGGATAGAAGAGGAATATTATTTAAATGAGTGGGGTTTTCCTTTATTGAACGGTCTGAGAAGAAACTGACGTGGAAATGAAGCGTGTGAAGCCCTAATCGTACGCCGCCTTTCTCTTCTTCTTCGTCTCTTCCCTTCACCGTCATTGCAGCTGCTGCTTTCTTGTCGCCCCTTCTTCGTACTCGTCAGATTCCTCTCTCTCTCTCTCTCCCTCTCCCTCTCCCTCTCTCTTTCCGTCCCACCTGACGGCCTCACCTCCAACGAGTCCCGGGGAAAATTTCGGTGATTTTGGTCTACGGTGCTGGCCACCAGGAGCGGTATTCTTCTTGCTCTGTATCTCTGTACATATATGCATAATTTTCTTTTTCTTATGATTCGTCCGAGGAAGCTTCATTTCCTCCTGTAATTATCTGCCGACGGAGACGATTATCGAGCCATGGGGTCTACGGCCGATAACCATGGAGCTTGTTGTGATTACTTGAGAGAAATGCTTGATCTATCTATGTTCTCTTGATTTCTTATATTTAAAAGGAAAGTTGCAACGCTTAGTTTCTGGTTCTTTCCTGCATCTATGGTGATTATTTGAAATTTTCGTTGAACTTTGCCATGTCCCTGTTCAGATTTTGGTAGAGGACTATTAAGATTATTCTCGATTATAGTAAATATAGGATGGCCTCTTTGTCCATTAGATGAGCCGGAACAATCAAAATTCTTTGTGGAATTGGGTCGTGCACTGGTATGCTGTTTAACAAAATCTGACTCAGTTATTTAGCATCTCATGTGCTCTAGTTTTTTCTTTTACTGTTCACTATATTAAAATAATTCATGTGGTAAATAACCAGTGGATTTACTCTCAAAAACCCACGCGTAATTCTTTATGTATTTCATCTTATGAAACTCAGATTCTGAGAGCGGTATAGTTTGAAAAGTTAGAGGGATTTTCATCATCTTCATTAAGTAACTGAGCTTTAGTTGAACTAATTTATCATACGGGTCTATCAATAATGCGCATACTCTCAGAAACATGCTGGAAAGTCGATCCCTGATCCAAAACATGTTCCATCCCTGGTAACTTCATACAACCTGAATGAAGAAATGGCCAAAATTTAATGGGACAAAAAAACTAAGGGTAAAAATAAAGGTATTTATTGCAAGCAAGATCTGAACAAGAGAAAAATCGAAGCGATATATACTTTTCTAAAGAATATGTGCTAGCCTTTCATTGTTTGATCCTGAAAAAACATCAGAGGAATAATGGAAGAAAAAAATGATTGAAAATGAGCATGGAGTGATAGCAGGCTCCTAAATCGTAAACTCTTCTATTACCATCGTCACCACATTTGTCTATTTTGTTATTGCAAGTTTCTGAGACAATAATATTTTTTTATTTATGTCAGAATGCCTCAGATGGGCTTTTTTTTGGTTCTATATTTTTTTTTCTTTGTGATCAATAATTCTTCTTGGGTTTTATATTCTTCGTGAAGGCATGAGCCTGAGAAAATCCATCCAGGAATGGTTCGTGGATGACTGTCACCATTTAATATTTTTTAGCCTTGATTAAGAGGTAGAATACGTTTTAACTGTTCAGTTGTCATTTATTCAGATTAATCATTCAACATCCTATTATCTATAAAAAAATTATTGCTTGAGTTTTCAATCAGTCAAGTGGTGGTAGTGTTTTGCCCATCAGTACTTATTTTAGTGAGCCTAGTGATTGACTGCCAACTTCATATAGTCCATTGTGACAATATCAAGTGAGAAAAGGAATGCTGTTCTTGGCTAAGATTATTTGGAAGTTTTAGAGTCTTTGGTCTTATCTGTTCTTGAGTATCTGCAGCACGCTTTCCTTATTTTCTTATATAGTTTCTTATCCTTTTTGTATGTCATTCATAGGACAGCCATTCCTTGATCAGCTGGTGCTACAATAAATTGAATGATTTTGTAAGATTAATTGGAGCAGAGTGAATAAAGAATGGAGGACTGGGGTAATTATCTTCTTTCTTTATTTTGAAGTGACTTTTCCTTCATTTTTTGAATATTTTTTGTCTAACTAATTTAACGCAATAGAATATCTTAAAGCCTTTTATCTACTGGCTGACAAATATTTGAATGTGGACTTTTTGAGGTGTCGTAAATTGTCTATGATGTTAATCTGAAGCTAGTAGTGACGAAGTAATAATAAATCTGTGCTTAACCTGATATATATGTATATCAGAACTAAGCATTATCTTTGTTCAATAACGGTAAATAGTCATTTATAACATGAATTATCAATATTTGAGTAATCACAATATACCTAAGAACATCAGAGCAGAAAGGAATTCCCTATTTGTCAGAAACAGAATTTCGATGTTGCAAATTGGTAGAGACAGTAACGTAGTTTCTTTTGGAAAGTGTCAGAGAAACTATGAGCCAGATGTATACTGAGGAACAATACATAGTCTCTCTATATCTCTTATGGTTTCGTCCACTCCTAGTATGATCCCATGCTTGGGAATTTAACTTGTATTCCGAAGCCGATTAATGCTTTTAACAAATGCACTTAGAGTTGAATTGTTAGAGACCTTTTTTCATTTTTGTCCGTAGTTTATTTTAACCATAATAATGTAAAAATCATTTTCACAGAATCTGAGGAGTTTGATCCAGTAGCTCCTATTTTAAAGAAAGAAGAACCAAAAGGTAAATGGGATGATGAGGATGCAGAAGAAGAAGATGTCAAAGAATCCTGGGAGGATGAAGATTCTGCTGAGGTGACCATTATCCATGCCATTTCCATTTTTGATTTCCTAAATACTAAATTATTTTTCATTTGTGCTTATGCTGTTTGAGTAAAAGGAATAACAGTGGGTGTGTGAGAGCTGGTGGAGCCTGCATTGTTGTTGTTTGATATATTTATCAGTTACTAAAACCTTATTAAATTCTGGATGAGTTATCTAATTCTACAGATGTGGAAAATGGATTAATCAATGCCAAACTTACAACTTTGCATAGTGGCAAGCATGAGGGGGAATCTCTCACAATGGCTCGGCGGAAAATCTAATAAAACGCATGCCTAAGCAATGTTTCTTCTGCATTTATTAGTAGGCAGTTTTACCAGTGATGCTCCAAGATCCTTACGTTATTGAGTTCTCTATTGGGCAATGACAAGTTTGTGTGGCTCTTCGATTCTGTGGAGCTCTTTGATGTTGATGGAATAGTTGGTTTACATGTAGCGATCCGCAGCACAACCTGCTGTTGAAAAGCCTGCTACGAAACCCAGTGCCAAAGCTGGTGGAAAGAAGACAAAGTCCGCCGAAGGTAAACCAAGTATAGAAAAGGAAACTGTGGTAGGTGACGAGGTGCTTGCAGATCCAGTAGCAGAGAAATTGCGGCAGCAAAGGTGAGGACAGGATCTTCAAGATACCGCGGTAAATTCTTCAAAATTTTCAATTAAATGCCATTGATTCTCGTCACAGGCTTGTGGAAGAAGCTGATTACAAGTCCACCACAGAGCTATTTGGGAAAAGAGGGGACGAAAAAACCCTGGAAAATTTTATACCGAAATCGGAGGGTGATTTCTTGGAGTATGCACAGCTCATTTCCCATAAGCTCCGCCCATATGATGTATGCTCATCTTCTTCGTCTCAGTGCCTGCTACTTCTTTGGGCAAGAAACGTATCCGGGACCTTACCTGCTTTCTCTGCTCTCCTTGACACATCAGAAAAGCTTCCATTACACGGGTCTGCTCAAGACAGTCATGAGACTGTCGATGACCAACATGAAGGCAGCTGATGCTAAAGAGGTAGCCTCATCTATCACCGCCATTGCAAACGAGAAGCTCAAGGCAGAGAAGGAAGCTGCTGCAGGCAAGAAGAAACAAGGTATGAGCTGGGGCCTGCGTGCTATAATTATGAATCTTATTTATTTTTTTCCTCGTAGTATCCATATTGTGAGCTTTTCATGGACTTTACTTCCTTCAGGATTTGATGCTTCATGCATTCATAATAATGTTTCTTAAAATAGTAATGCCAATGAGCCCAGTAGACCCATCTCACTGAAAGATTCCCTTTGTTTCTATCTCTAACTTGGTGTTGGGAGTCGTGGGCTTGTGAGAGGGCATGCTAGAATATTCCACTGTCGATTGATCTTGTGATTATGAAATCCTCCTCCTGGCTGGTCCACACAGGTGCGAAGAAGAAACAGCTCCACGTCGACAAGGCTGATGATGATGTGGCAGTTGGTGGGGCCTACGAAGCTCTCGATGATTATGATTTCATGTGAGCCACACTCTGGTGGTGTCTTCTTCTTCTTCTTCTTCTTTCTCCTCTCTCTCTGGGGAGCATTCAGGCTCTCGTCATGTGATCTGTTCATCATCTTGTTCCAGCAATCGCTGCATTCTCTGGTCATTGTAAGGGATTCGTTCTTGGTCAAGCTGTTGTAGTAGTTGATCGCTGAGAAAACATCTCTATCTGTACCTATCCCGGCCTTTAAAGTCAGATTCTGTTCATCTTTTAATGAGCTTATTCAGAGCAACATAGGTCCTGCTTTCCCTTGTTCCTCCATGGCTGCAAGCTCATCTTTCAGTGTCAGTGGTTTCTCTTCTCATGTCTCTCAACCAGGCGGAGGCCCAGCTTCTCTTTCGACTCCGACAGCCACTTAAATCACCTTTTTATTAGATTAAAGAGCGAATCAATTGAGCAGCTAGAACACGCCGATCCGATCTGTGCCCGGGTCAACTACTTTAGGAATTCTTCTCCATGCCCGAGTACTTGATTGATCCGTCGCCGCTGGCGACGGTTGCTACGTTTGTCGAGGATGCTCGCCGGCAACGGACGGATGAGCTCCGTCCGATGATGGTCCATGGGGGCCGGCCAGCACTACGGAGAGATGACTCCGAAGAGGATGGAGATGAGCTCGTTGGAGAGGAGGAATCCGTCCGGATCTGAGAGCCGCAGGAACGCGACTCCGCCGCCGGCAAGCTCCTCCCGCCGGCGGAAGGAGCTCGCCGGGATCACCGCCATCTCCTCGTCCATGGCGACCACATGGCCGCTGTCCACGTACAGCTCGAAGGCGCGGCATATGGCGGCGGCAAGCTCGCCGCCGAAGCCCGCCGCCAGTTCCTTCATGTCGAGCCCCCGGGCCGTGCGGAGCGAGAGCATGACCACGTCCATCGCCGCGTCCTTCCCGTCGGCGCTCTCCGGCGGGGGTGGCGCCGCCGCCGCCGCTCCCCCTTCCAAGTCGGAGACGTAGCTCGCGTACTCCTTCATCCTCCTAGGCCGCGTGAACCTCGCGCCGCTGGTGTAGCTGGCGGCGCCGAGGCCGAAGCCGTGGAACGGCCGGTTCTGCCAGTAGGTGAGGTTGTGGCGGCACTGGAACCCGGGCTTGGCGTAGCTGCTGATCTCGTAGTGCTCGTACCCTGCTCCGGCGAGCATCTCCGACGCCATCCTGTAGAACTCTGCCGACTGGTTCTCCGACGGCAGCGGGAGCTCCCCCGGTGTGTATCTGAAGCATAAGATCGAACATTTTTAGCGGGTTTGGCGAGAGGGGATCGATTCATTCATGGAGGTGGAGATGACTCACAGCTGGCCAAACTTAGTGCCCTTCTCCACCTGCAAGTCGTAGACGGAGACGTGGGCCGGGGAGGAGGCGGCTGCGAGCTTGAGGGTCTCCTCCCACATGGCGGCTGTCTGGTGGGGGAGGGAGGAGATGAGGTCCATGCTCCAGTTGTCCAGGCCGCCGGCGACGATCTCCACCGCCTGGTGCGCCTCCGCCACGCCGTGGGCTCTGCCGCAGGCCATGAGAAGCTCCTCCTGGAAGGCCTGCACGCCCAGAGAGACCCGGTTGACGCCGGTGCGGAGCATATCCCGCAGCCGCTGCGCGTCGAAGGTGCCCGGGTCCATCTCGATGGAGATCTCTGCGCCGGCAGAGACGCCGAAGCTCGACCGGAGGGCGTCGAGGATGCCGGAGACCATGCGGGGTGGCACGAGCGATGGGGTGCCGCCACCAAAGAAGATGGTCTCCAGCGGCGGGTAGTCCTGCGGAGCAGCGCCGCCGGTCGCGGCGGCGATCTCTCGGAGGACGAGGGAGACGTAGTCGGCCACTCTTGGGTCGTCGTCGTAGTTGCCCGGAGACGAGAGAGGGGAGCCGAGGGCGACGATGGGGAAGTCACAGTAGTGGCACCGCCGGCGGCAGAAGGGGAGGTGGACGTAGGCAGACCTCGGCGGCGCCGCGGGGGAGACCGCCATGGAAGCCACTTGCGGGGTTCCCAGTGAGGAAATTTGGCGAACATCTGATGGGCAGTGGAGCCGGAGGCGAACGCCGGAGAAAGCTCGCCGGAAGGATGGAAGGGCCGGGCTGAGGACGAGGCTGAGAGACGAAACCCTCGGCATCTTGCAGCTCCTAGCTGATTTCCTTCGGTGGCGGCTGGTCGGGGCGTGGAAAATAGCTTCGACCGCCGGAGGTTTCTGCCGCTGCCGGCGTGCCTTCCGGGTGACCACGGTGACGTGAACTCGTCTCCAACATTGGGCGGATGCAATTGAACGGCGGATTTTCGTTCTTCGGACTACCAGGGCGTCCTGAACGACAGATGCCGCTCCACGTATCCAGTTACAGGACTCCGGGGATGGGGTACGTGGCGCATGCCCACTGAGGAAAATGGATAAAGGCCATTTTAAAGGGTACCCAGGTTCTTTAATGACTTTAATGGATATTCAATATTTTGGCATTAATTTAATTTCCCTAACCACAGCAGTGCCCTATGTCTACGCACCTAGTATTTAAATCTTTTTATATATTTAAAAATTATAATTAATAATTAATCTCAACCGTGGTTCCCTCCTGACTTGCTGCTTGAGAGCAGGGAATTACTGCGAATATTTATAATGGAGAAATATTTTCTAAGAAATAGGGCCACTGATGTTTGAGGGAGGATCACCTCCAGAGACTGCTAGAGAGGACATGGCGGAAAATCCGGTTCATTTTCTTATAGAAGAATGAGAGACTATTGGTGCCTCTTCGATTGTAGCTTCTACAGCACTGCAGGCTATTTGCATTGCTGTAGGTGGTAACTAAGATCCACTCGGCTCCCTCCATTCCTTTCTCTCCGTCTCTAGAGAAGAAGGAGAGAGAGAGAGAGAGAGAGAGAGAAAGTCAGATAGAGAGATAGAGAGAGAGAGAGAGTCAGATGGAGAGATAGAGAGAGAGAGAGTCAGATATATAGAGAGAGAGAGGGAGAGAGAGAGAGAGTCAGATGGAGAGATAGCGAGAGAGAGACAGAGAAAGAGCCAGATAGACAGATAGAGAGATAGAGAGAGTCAGATATATAGAGAGAGAAAGGGAGAGAGAGAGTCAGATGGACAGATAGAGAGAGAGAGGGAGAGCGAGAGAGTCAGATAGAGAGATAGATCGATAGATAGATAGATAGAGAGAGAGAGTCAGATTTCTGTCAACTAAGTAGAATAGTTTTAAGATTTTTCAGATTTTCTGACGAGAGATGAGAAGGAAAATTTTCTACACAGAAATGCTAGATATGGAACTAGAAGAGAGCAATCTATTCACAGCATCTTTTCAGACATCTTGATGAGCAATCATTGACCAAGAACAGCCAAGACAGTTTTAGAAAGAATCACCAGAAGATGGCAGGCACAGAACTACTGCACATCAATGTCGACAACCTTTCTGGAGGCTTTAGGGATGGTGATGTACAATACGCCATCCTTTACCTCAGCCTTGATCTTATCAACCATGATATTGTCTGGCAGAAGAATCCTGCTGTTGTACCTTCCATAGCTCTTTGCGGACCACGCCTCATCTTGCTCCTTTTCGCCTTGCTGCCTGTCCTCGCTGCCACTGCTGGGCAGCTTCTCAGCCTTGACAACAAGCATGTTGCCCTCCACCCACACCCTCACATCGTCCCTGGCCATGCCTGGCATGTCGAACCTCATGTTGTAATCTCCTACCCCTTCCTTTATCTCCCATGGGGTTCTTCCCCTCCTGTAGCCTACCCCACCGTCACTGCCATCGAGGGAAGGGAACGAGGTGCCACTGTAGGCAAAAGGATCCTCCATGATCCTCTCCATTGTCTCGATCATCTGTTTTACGGCCCTTGCTGTGGGGAACTGGTCCCACATACCTGAACATAATCCACAAGAACACCTTAAGTTTAGTAGCACGAGGGCACCAACCTAGCAAATGGCTGTTCAGTCCTAGGCGATTGGGATTCAGAATTACACAGAGAAAATGGGGTTGGCAAGATAAGATGGGATCAATCCATGAAGTTCTACAAGCATCGAGGATCAATAAAAAAAGATAAATAGCTCCAGAGAAAACAAGCAAAACGAATAAATAACGAAAGAAGCCAAACATACCACAACTAAACATCGACGAGAGTTGTTTTACGATCTGATAATTTTGCATATTATTTCTATGTAACCTATAGATGCCCAATAATTCTCAATAACGGCTACATAAGATCGTCTGTAAAGAACGGCTTTCTTATTTCATCTTTTATCCTGCGCTTTGAAATCGGCAGATTAAAGAAGCAAAGAGAGTGCGCTTTGGATTTCTATTATGCTTTCCGGAAGGATAACAAAAGGAACAAAGATGGTATGATACATACCGACGGGGGCATCCTGAGAAGTTTTCCTGGGCTGCTGGTTGTTGGCACTGTGCAGCTGCTCTTGGACCTTCTCCTTCTCTTCCCCTCCGCCTCCAACGGCTCTACCGGCGCATCTGCACCCATCCCTGCTGACGGGCATCCGGAGGGAGCGGGGAAGGGACCTGGCAAATGAGCTCCTGCCACCAGCGCGAACTGTTGCCGCGTGCTCCCCGGGGGAGGATGGAGAGAAGGAGGCAGACAAGGTACTTTTAAAGTTGGAGACAGCGGATGCCATCCCCGCCTCAGCAAACAACTCCAAGATGCAGTTGCAGGATTTGAATCCACCACTGGCGAACCCTTATCAGATAGAATCGTTTCAAAGGAAGCTACCCAGAAAGAGATTCGTACGGCTTAGGGTTTCGATCAGCGCCTTTCCAGACGTCTCCTGTGGCTTGTGGATGCAAGCGAGGACAAGATCTGGGCCCCCGCTTCGGACGAGTGTCGTTATTTTCTTCTGTCCGAGTCTCGATGCCGAGTCAGGACGAGTTTACACCGAGTAGCAGCGCCCGAGTGCAGGCGCATTTCGTCGAACGGCTATCCATCGGGTCTTGCCCGATCCATGGACAGCTTCATCCGCACAAGGCAAGCAAATAACGAAAAAAATCTCCAAGCGAGATTCAGAGGAATTACCTGAACGGGAGGATATCGACGGCCTGCTTCATCTATTCAGCCAACGCTGTTGCTCCAACAAAAACAAGCGAAGAGGAACGAAAATCGCAGGGCGAAGCCGATTCCAATGAGGGATTCAGAAGAAATACTGTTTGATCTGTTTCTTCGGGATGTTTCCAACCATCGTTCTGTTGACTGCAATTTGAGGCATAACGGGGGATCCAGCTATGCTGAATTCTGATTGCTGATTGCTGATGTTGCTCTTCTTTCGCGAATCCTCTAACCCATGGCCAGCTAAAATCCGCGCAAATTCTGGGAAACAGTTCCTTAGTCCGAGACGATCTGAACGAGGCACGGATTCGCCTTGTGCAGCTCCAGCATCATCCACCTGTATAGATTCGACGTCCCTTCCAGAGCCAGAGGTCGCGCGTACATGGAGAAAGAGAAAGAGGTCAGGAGGAGAGCGCCGGTGGACGGCCGAAGACGGGGATCATCCACTGCTGCAAGGAAGACGACAGCTGCTGGGGAAGGGAGTCGAGGAAGACGAGGTACGCGGGAAATCAAAAGACTAAATCCCTATCCCAAGAGTTCGGATATTTATCGGTATTTATCCGAACCGATATTGATTTCGGCCAGTAGAAAATATGCTGGAAGCGAGAATACTACTCACCCTCGGGAAGACGGCGGCTGCCTTCGCCATGGCTTCTCCCAGCAGCGTGCTCCGCCCGCTGGCGGCGCCGCCACCACCACTGCCGGCGAAGTGGGTTACCTTGAATTTATCTACTCATTCCTTCATGGCCCGGAATGTGGGGGAGGCCCCATTGCTCCGGAGCCGGTGGCGAGGCTTTCTGGGACCGGTCGCCGGCGGTGGCCCGTCTCCGGCGGCGGTGGCGGCGGGGAACTACAACGTGCAGGTGGTGGTGGGGGAAGACGAACCCGATGAGGAGGTTGTGAGGAGGTTCCGGGGACTGGTTCTGCGGGCGGGGATAATCCAGGAGTGCAAGCGCCGCCGCTTCTTCGAGGACAAGCAGGCCGAGCAGAAGCGGCGCCGCCGCGACGCTGCCAAGCGCAACCGCCGGAGGTAGGCGAGATTCTCACACACATTCATCTCCCTTTCCTTCCCCATCAACTGAGAATTCATTTGATGTTCCCCGTTACCTGTTCGACGTTTTACCCAGCAGAGAAATGCGTTCCTGTTTTATTTTTTTCTTTGGCTTGTAGACGCTCTTGGTCAAGAAAGCCACCTCCTGTGGGGAAAAAACAGAACGAGCCGAAGGACGACGGCGAGGAGGAAGACAACTGGGAGCTCCCCGCCGGCGAGCCCCCCTATTGACGTCCACCGTCCTGCCGTCCACCGGAGAGCCAGACTTTCTTCCGGCATCCCTCTCTCTCTCTCTCTCTCTCTCTCTCTCCTCTCTTATGGCTAAATATCGAGATTAGGGTACCCTCAAAGCTTACTCGCCCTCGAGATCTTGGGATCTCGTCGTGGCTGATGCTCTGATCTTGCAGATGTTTTGTAGTAACGGCGAGCTCCGTTATGTTTATTGAGAGCATGGATATAGTCTTATTCTTCGTTTTTGATGAGCCGATCTCTGTAGTTTGGTAAAGAGCAAACCTTGTTTTCTGATGGCCTGGGTGGGAAGATGGGTGTGGGCTTAAAGATCCTACCCTCCCTTCCCTTTCAGACTGGTACCCCCGCCTGCCCAGCATCAACACTGCTATGTGTTTGATGAAATGTCTCAATGAAAATTCACCATGATCTAGTCCATTTTTTTCTATAACCCATTAAAGTATTAGGGCTGTCTGTGGCTCGATCAAGCCCAGAGCCTGGTTGAATCTCATCTAGGTCATGTTTCTGATATGGTTCAGTGCACAATCCCATACTGTGTTGGTCTAAAACATTGATATGGAGGTAATTTAGGTAGTTATGATGCCATACCAATTGATATTTTGTTCTTCTGCTATATTATGTGGTGAATAAATAGAAATATGAGAAAGAAAAAAAAATTAATATAAAAAATAATGCAATGAGATTGTAATTAAAAAAATAGGGGCGTAAAGATTTAAACTTTGATTTTGATGTGATTCTGAATTGGTTGATTTTACCATAGAGCATTCCCTTTGTTGGGCGTAAGGGCATGAGGCCTACTTTTGCCAAGTCTCGTATGCCTTGAGGTCATGTATCAACACATGACTAAATAATGGGGTGTCAATTTGTTCATTATGTTTGAGCCAAGATGAATGAAGAAGTGAAGAGGTTGGGTGGAAATGGCCATCAAAAGTATTATAGGGAGACTTTCTCAATCAATTTATAAAACTTTCTGAAGCTTAGGTAATGAATGGGGGTAAGTTAAATGGATAATTGTTACATGAGAAAGTACCTTTTTCTCTTATGATTTTTTTTGAAGTGATGATCTATATTTCATTGGAGTTTGAGAAGTTTTCCATTTGACTGAAATACACTTAAACAATGAAAGTATATTGGAATAGTGAATATCATTAGACAAACCTTAGTATTTTCATTGATTTTTAATAATATTTTGATAAAGATGGTACATGACAGTTATTCCAATTGAGAAAAATGGGACAAAAGTTAAAGAAAAGTAACATTAAAAAAATTACTTTTCATATAGTGTATAATAGAAGAATGTATGATTTGGTAGATTTTAAGGTTGCCAAAAACCTATGATGGCAAAATAGTCATTCCACATTGTAGTATAATATAGTAAATAAAAATGATTATTTGATTTTATTAATTTTCTGTTGTAGAATAGTGTAGTAAATCATATTAAATATTTAAATATAGGAAATTTATGTTGTGTAATGATTGATGAAATATAAGTCGATATTTAAGTAAATGTTAAGTATACTTCAACAAAAAATACAAGTGCATCATCTAAAGTTTTGAATGAGCAAACCTCTCCATCAATCAATGTCTTACTTGTACATCATCCTCAATTGGTCCTCATTATATCATATTTGACGAGTATTTATTAAAAAATAAAATGGTAAATGTGCTCCTTCACAAGAAAAGATGAGACTCAATCAGGATCAATGTAATATGAATGGGCCTAGCGTTCCTAAGTCAACTATTGTTTATCATAAAAATAATATGCAAAGAAAATTTTTGTAGCAGTTCAAGTTTCATCCTATTCTAGGACCTTTAGGGAATCTCCCCTCGGTTCTACCACTTCTCTTGACTGCACTCACTAAATACAAATCAGTCAGCTCACTCTTAAGCTATTAGATTTACGTAGTTAGTGTTTTCGTACATCCATCCTAGTGTCCACCCCAGCAGCTGCCCTACTAGGGTCCTTTGTCTTTCAATGGGGCCCGCGTTGGCGTGTTTGTATCATCAAATGAAGTTTATCCGCAAGGAAATAACCACGCATGGCAAACGTAGTACTTCGATCTGTAAGATAATATCATACCCTGGAAAATGGAAACGGTAGGAAACTGGTGTCCGCCGGCGGGAGACCCCTCGGCGGACACAAGTCAATCCTGGAATAGAACGGTAGCAGCTCAAGCGATCTGAACGGACACGCAGTATACCTCCTTGTTGTTGTCGGGGGACTGAATGGGATCGTCGACGGCCGAACGATGCTTATCTGCTCCTTTCATCGGTTCCTCCGCAGGGGTACCTTCCTGCTTCACGCTGTGCTCTTCTCCCAGCTCGGTTTCAGGATCCTCTTGGTTATCTCGTTTGCCGCACCAGCAGTCGACTAGACAATGGTAAATTACTACAGCGATACCCTGATAGATCGACATCACCAAGGGCGATATAATGTACTCCCGCACAAACTGCCAGGGGGTAATCTTCGCCGGTGGTGATGCCGAAGGGGACGGGGAAAGGTCCGTAGCAGCAGCGTCGGCTCTATCATCGTCACGGGAAGAGTTCTCCTCAGATTTGTAGCGATCGGAGAGGGGTTCGCCGGAGGAGTATGCCTTTTCACCGGGGGGAAGATTGAGAAGGGGACCGCGGAGGCCTGGGTTTCCGGTGAGATGGAGGAACCGGAGTTTGCGCAAACTGGAGAGGACCGGAGGGATCCGACCCGTGAAGAGGTTACCGCCGAGAGAGAGTCTCTCGAGGTTGCGCAAGCCGGCGAGGAAGTCCAAGCTGCCGCTGATCTTGTTCTCGGAGATATCAAGAGCGCGGAGACCGGAAAGTGAAGAGATTTCGAAGGGCACCTGCCCGGAGAGCGTGTTGCCGCTGAGATTGAGAACCTGGAGGCGGGTGCAGCCGGCGATCTCCGGGGGTATCTCGCCGGAGAGAAGGTTTCCGGGTAGGGAGAGCTCCCGGAGGCCGGAAAGGCGACCGATGGCCGGAGATAGCGAGCCGTCAAGGCCGTGGAACGGCAGTGATAGGGAGACGGCGCGGAGGACGCCACGGCGTTTCCGCGCGCAGGCGACGCCGGGGAGACGGCAGGTTGTGAGGCTGACGCCGCCCCCACTGACAGAGGACCGCAGCTGGGCCGAGAGGCCACCGCCAAGGAGAGGGATGACGAGGCTGAGGGAGGCTGAGTCCGGCTCATGGAGAGCGGAGACGAGAAGGATGGACAACAGGAGGACGACGGAGACGACGGCGACCGCCATTACGTTTCCGGTGCTCCCCTACCGGCCTGCTTAAATGTAAGAAACGCGCTCGTTAACTTCGCCTGAGTTTCGTGGGTCCCCGAAATGCTTCTCTAACTGTGTCGTTGTGCCAGAGAAAACGAGACGCTCGAGGTCACTCACAGGACGGCGAGGAACGCCGTTTGTGAAGCCAAGAGTTTTATTGGAGATGGCGACATTATCCATAGAGAATTACGTGGTCAATGATCGTTGTCAACTTCGACCAATTTTCAGTTGAAGGCTCTCCTGTTCCACTCTGTGGTATCCCTTAGACCAGCGGAATGGTGGGAAAAGAGCCTCTTAGTCGTTTCACCATCAACCCAATGCCGTCTAGAGGAAGGTCGCCACGTCTCCACAACCACAATCGACCTGTGGGGCTAAGAATACAAGGGAAAACAATCAGGATGGTAGTTGATTATTTTCCATAAATTTACTTTTTGGATAATTAAGAGGTCTAGTTTTAGAAAAATCTTTTGCTTTGAAACCAAAGTATCCACACAACCCAATGTGCATACGAAATGGAGAAATTAAGTATATAACTAACGTTGGGAATCAATATAATACCACACCCCTTTTAATTGGGCATCACTACTTATTAGGGAAGCATCACTTCAGCTCTCATGTGGGTACAATCAAATGGTGCCACTCAAGGTAACTAGACCAGGCCTGTGGCCATTGTGTCTTAATATCTAGTTCGAAACTAATAAAATATCAGATGGTTACAAGGTTAGACAGATGATGCAACTCAAAACTAATGGGCAATGATGGGATATAAATCATGTTTAAAATCTTATGTTTCTTCTTTACTAACTAAAATGAGAATATTTTTGAAACATACTATTTTATGTAATAATCTTTTTGGGTTCTCTTTGTATATAGGTCAAGGTCAATAGGGTACCTTAAGCACTTGGTTCTTACAAAATCTTAGAGTAATATGGACATAAGTGAAGGAAGCTTAGGTAAATATAGTTTCAAACATACTAAAACTTTAACAAATCTTCTAAACATCAAACATATTAAAACTTTAGCAAATTTGAGGATAATCGATTTTTGATCAATTCTTTCTCATTGATAAGTTTTCATTATCATGAGTTAATAATTAAATAATAATATATTTTAAGCCTTGACTCATAATAATTAGACTTATATTTGTGTTAAATGGTGAAAAGTAATTTTTAATTAGTTGATGTGAAAATTTGGCTAATTATGTAATTTTATGTAAGTTTATATAATTTTTATAATCTTATTTTTGAGATAAAAAAAATAAAAATAAAATTAAAATATTAAAAATTAAGGGAACCCACCAATCAACTAGGCCTACAAACAAGTTGGAAGAATAGTTAGGTAAAGCACATAAGAGGACACGTGTGCGTCACTCTTCTACAACATCAATGACCAGTCAAGCATGGGACAAAGAATGGTCATACACATGTGAGAACGAGACACATTGATTACCAAATCTTGTATTACTATATATTCATCTCAAAACTCAACAAATAACTAATGTGAGACTAAATCAGTGGTGATAGTTTCTCATAAGATTTTTAATATTTTTAATACCTAAAATATTTCTTATTTTATGGGAAAGAGATACCCTTATGGTGTCACTTTAAAGAGGTATTCATATATTTATTTCATTCTCTCTCATATAAGTGGGCGACTAGTGAAAATTTGAATCTTACTTGAGTCAAAACTTATATCTTTTTATAATTAAATTGTGATGTTCATGTAGATTAGTCGTAAATGATTAAGCTACTAAAATCACTCAATTATCAGTGAAAACCTCAACAATATAATTTACAGACCATAGTATTAAAATTATTGAATGATTATAGATAAAAATAATGTGAACTCGTTGAGTAAATAATCTTTAATTGATCGACAAATAAGTTATTATTGAGAAGAGGACGATCTATTAGGAAACAAGTCATCACCTCTTAATAGCGTACTAGATACAATGAAGAGGTTCCTCTTACTGCACAGACTTAAGGATAAATCTTCTTAAGATACACCCCACCTCCATCTAGGTCATATTCATTGAGTGACAATTGTTAGAGTTGTAAAGTAGTCAATTTTTTATTATACCAAGTGACAACTGTCAGAGATAATTTGATAACCTATTTCATTGATTTCTAGACTTTCTAAGAAAATTTAAAAATTACCTATATCGTCTTTGTCTAAGAAGAGAATTTGAGGTTGTAGACATTACACGATAGTCATCTCAAACACATTAAATTTTGATGATTGTTGTCGTGAGGCTATAACTCTATCTTTCTTACTTTTAACTTGTTATTTACTTAATTTAGTGATACTTTGTGTGATTTCAAGTTTCAAAAGTATTCTTCATTAAATTACAATTCTTTTAAGCTTTATAGATCTTAATTTGATTAGTTAAATTATCTGTAACCATTTATATAAGAATCACCAACTGAAACTCTATTCTTATTTTATTTGTGTTCATCAAAGTGCTAACATCATCTTGACACCCACACCTTTATTTCTTTTTTTACGAATTTTAAATATTTTTTATTTCTATTACTTAGTTTAAAAATTATAAAAAATCATATTCTTTGTAAAAAATCTAAAATATTATCCAACATTATATTACATCACTTTGATGAACTTGAAAAATTCTCACTATTTTTTTATTGAATTATAATTGATATATTTGTTTAGAAATACTTCTAAATATCTTAAAATTAATATTTTCTAGTTTTATAAATATTTAAATTTATGTGATTTATTATACAACGACTAGGTTATATCACATATTAAGTAATAATCTTATTAACATTTTACCAAACTTCAAAGATTTACTAATTTTTCATACTTCTTTATAAAAATCATTATTAAGAAACTTGAGATGATAGAGGTTTAGGATGATCATTGGAAACACATTAGCCATTAAAGATATACTGAAGTCTATGCAGAATTTTGATTGAAAAAATTATCATGTTTTTCACCATGTTTTCATATTGAAATCATAAAATTTAATAGAAATTTAAAATATTCTAAATTAATATAACATCTTCTATGGCGTGTTATCCTTTAGTTAGAAACTAATACATAAGCCTTTACATGCCAATGTATAAATCTAATGATTATCTATTCAAATGAGTCTAATGAGAGTTTTTAGTGTTAAATTAAAATGGAGAAATATGTCGAATATTTTCTATTAAACTTTATCCAAATCATCCCAAATAAAGCAAGAATATAATGCACGTATATTGAATAATATTTTTTTATCTGAATCATTATTACTTTGAGCACTAATGATATTTAAAAATGATTTAACTAATATTCATCAGTGTTTTGCAAATATAAATGACCATTTAACAATTCAAATTCGTTTAAGTCATTCAATATCAAGAAACTCCTAAGTAATGACTTTGTATGTACTAATCTATAATGTGCTAATCATTATTCTATGAATGTACTAACTTTTGTGGATGTTAACATTTCCCATAGTAGTAAACAAAGTAATAACTTTGGGTAATAAATTCATCTAAATTTTATAATTTAAAATGTATAAAACTTAAAATAATTGATTCACGTAATATTTGGATATTTAACATTACTACTATTAATTACTTTTTTAATGAATTAATTTTAAGTTGACTTAAAAACAATATTCATTTGCATTAATAGATATTGCATTGGAATGATATCTAGATCTATTTACCTGTTTTATTTGTATTTTCATCATCAAAATATTATTGAAAAATAATGTTATAACAACATTTATACAAGATGAGTACTAATTTGCACATTCATGTAACAGTTATTAAATATTTTAAATTTTCTTCATGATATTTAAAGTGTCAAAATCAGATTAAAAAGATGATATCTAATGGTCGTGATTTGAGATTGCTGAAAATGTTGAAAAATCCCCTCATAATCATTTTTCTCCAATTTATTCCTAGTAAATGTATTGATAATTATTACACTACTAGACTAGGAGTAAGAGTTTTAGTTATAAAAAATAGACAAATACGTAGTTTGAAATTCTAGAATAAGGATATGAATAAAAATACGATAATCTGTATTCAAGATATTGTTTTTATCTTTGAACTCCACTACTTTTTACACATGAATTGGACGTAATGATTAAGAGTCCAAAAATATTTTAAAAGAAAGAATAGTGTTGGAATAAAACACCCAAGATGACATTTTATGACCATTTTTTTTGTGATGATATTTTTATTTGAAATCAAAATTATTACCTTGTTATAATGTATATCCAAGTATTTTGTGTCTATCGTACTCAGTTTTAAGCATATCAAGCCTGCTATCATTGGATATGTATAATAAGGCTAAAAGGTTTTCTTATTGGTTTACACACAAATGACTTAAATTATGGATTTATTGACATTTTTGTAGGAATTTCTAATAAAGTTTACAAATAGGATGTTTGAGTAGTGAAAAACATAAAAGCTGAACAAAAACATAAAAGTGAAAATAACTTTTGGTATTCCATTATCATGTCTACCTTGAAAATATCTCACAACATAATATGAGATGAATTTTGGTAGAAAATTGACTGCTAAATTTCCAACTGATAACATGTGGAGTTGGGACTATAGATCCAACTAGGAAATAATTTCATTCTCAAAGATGTTCAACACGAGAAGAGAGTCAAAGATTCAGGTATAATTAATTTGTCTCTTCATTGGATTTCAAAAAACCCTCATGCCTCATTCATTCCAAAAACATCACATGTAGTGAAGCATTTTCTATATTTTTTGATTAACCCGATGATAATTTTTCTTTTTTGTCATTCAACATAGTTGAATCCTAAAATCAGCTGTGTGGCATTTAGCTATAAATCTAGAGAAATCTCAAGAGAAACTCTATGGGAGATGAGACTAGTAATCAAGATTAAACTGGTGATAATTGTTTGTTATCACTCAAGATAGTTGCATCCTAAAATCAATTGTGGCATCTAGTTATAGATCTAGAGAGTTTTCAAGAGAAAAGACTTAATAAAATACTAGTATAGAAGTAAGTCTCAAGTCAAACACATGGAGATTGATTAATTTGTCGTAAAATCTAATTGAATTTATATATAAAGTGATTTTAATATTTTATTAATATTTAACATAAATAATAAAATAAAAGGGTAAGGTGAGAAGAATCAAGGAAGGGAAGTGGAGAAAAGGAAAGAAGAAAAGAGAGAAAGAAGAGAGAACTCTTACAAGAGAGAGAAGGGATGAGATCTCTCACAAAAGGGAGAGAAAGAGAGAGAAGGAGAGAAAGCTCTCACGAGAGAGAGAAGGGATGAGATGTCTTGCAAAAGGGAGAAAAAGAGAAGGAGATTGTTCGAGAGAGAGGAAGAGAAAGGGAGAGATCTCACGAGAGATCGAGAGATAAGAGAGGTCTCACGAGAGAGAGAGAGAGAGAGAGAGAGAGAGAGAGAGAGAGAGGGAGAGAGAGAAATAAGACAAAAAATGAAGAAAGAGAGAAATACGATCAACCCATTTTCTCAGATGAATGTGTGCTTAAAGATTCACACACATGACATGAGGTCAGCCATGAATGTCTCCAACTTGTTTTAACCATTGAACGTTCATTAATCAGTTTTTAATCTCAGTGATTTCGTGTTCTAACATAAAAAAAATACTCGTTATTTGCAAAACACCAGGAACATGAATATGTCAAGATTCGACTGCAAAAATCTTAGCTTAATCTCAGATGAGTTTTAGAAGATTTAGAAGAAGGATGAAGGTCATTCATCAAGTTTTGAATTAGTTCTACTCATTTCAATTGAAATGTGCATGAAACGGAAAGAACTTATTGTAAAATGTAAATAAATGACAAAAATGGGTAAGTAAATGTTGAAAATAAAAAATAAATCATTACCAAAGTTTAGTCTGCCTCCCAAACAACTAGAGACGCCGGTGTGACAGCTTGGTTTCGTTCAAACGTGCCACACCACACCAGAAGTTGTAGAAGTATCATCCGAAAGTGTTACACCGCTTGTTGGAGAGATCCGCCAAAAGAGGGGCCAACCATGCTGTCACCATCGTCTGGGGGGAGAAGGGAAGAGCTGACCACTTGTTGGAGGCCTTGAGTGTAGTCGGGGGAGGAAGGAAGAAGCTTGTCGATCGCTAGAGATGTTGATCGCACAAAAGAAGGGAAGAACAGATTCCGTATTCACGACTGCTGTCGGGATTTTAAAGGTAACTGATAATATTTATTTTACCAGATAATAATTGATTATTACCTTTTTATCTCTAATGGTGATACATGTGAAGACTTAAGTTCCCAGTATCATAGCACTTCAACAGTTGCTAGATCAAATGAGCTTGGTATGTTGCACGCTGAGCGATGCAGGATCAACCCACCGCAAATCATTGCTAATTGGTAACTTAAGTTCTAGTATCGTGGCACCTCCATAGCCATTGGATCATCCTTTAAGGCCACATGCGTGCTGAGCAGCATCGAATTCTTGAACTGTCGATAGATCACCTTACGCATCTAGTATCATGGCGATTTGCCAGTCGTAGGATCTAGCTAATTGAATGACTTGGCTCGCTGCGTATCATTGGATCACACCACGCTCCAGATGGCTATGTTGAAACAGACGAAAACATTTAGTCCCATATCAGAAGTTTGCCATTGTTTAAGCTGATATAAATCAAAGTTTCTCTCTCTTAGTAGAGATCCCTTCTCCTAAAATAAAATAATGCCCAAGACCATCTTGGGAGAAGGCAATAAGGTGGTCCACCCTCACGCACGCATATGTGTATGGGCGCTCCTTCCCCCACAGCTGATTGGCCACTGAGACGTGGAAGGGGAGCAACGCACACATGTGCGGAGCAAAGGCCTTCACCACTCAAGCCCAGCTCATGGCACCCCCGATCTGAGTCTATCTACTCAACTGTTATCCCCCTTCTAGGTCAATTGTCGAGTGTCGACTTGCCAACAAGCAGAAGATTTTTTTATATTTTATTATTTTTATAATAAAAAATTATGCTAAGTATTTTAACTTCAGACTTTTAAAATTAATAATATATCCTATATTTATTTTGAAAGTTAAAAAAATAAAATCAAATAATAAAACTAATTAAAACACATAAACCTAGCTTTAACAGTTAACCACAACAAATGAAATCTTTTCAAAGTAAAACATTAGAAGGCATTGTTCACCTTTTTGTTTTTTCTTTTTTCTTTTGCATTAACATATTTTGAGCACTAGATTTTTATTCTGGTTTCACAATTACTTACAAGATGAATAAACCTTCAAACAAAAAGCTCTAACATTCCTAGGAAAATCATCTTCATTCACTTGACTGCAGCTGTTTGGTGCCCTATAGAGTAGGTGACAAAGAAACATCACTCCATTTATGGCATTGTATCTACCCTACCATATCTTCAAATAAATTCCTCTCTTCCCATGTTGTTAATTTTAATCACTTCTCTGAAGACTTTCTAACTTTTTTAATAACTTGGATGAGGGATAAAGTGAATAGAAAAATAATTGAACCTCTTACTTCTCAAAAACAAATATTTATTTTGCAGAAACCTGCAACATTCCTCCAAATTTTGACTTAAGAACTTCTGGTTTGAAGTTTGAAGTCAAATATGATAAAATGGATATTGTCACTGCATCTAAATCTTGAAAAAATATTTGAAATTGTTGACACATTCTTTATTGAGCATTTAAGATTATTGGCATAATAAAAAAAAATTGAAGAACTTTTGGTACAAGTATGCAACGGGTGCACATGGATTGATTCAACATTTGTGAACTTAGAATGTTGCTATAGCATTGTGTCTAGTTTTAACTTGCCATAAGCTACAATCTAGTAGTGTAATTGATGTGTTGACTTGCAAGTAGTGAGATTGAACAAATTTACTCTAAGAAATGTAGACTAGGCTATGGGCTACAACTATCCTCTATGTACCCAGAAAAGAATTGACTCAACTTGTTCTTGTTGGCATACACTTGAAGTGAGTTAGACCAACTATCATTTATGTAAAAAGATCACCCAGTAGATGCCACTTTCTACTTCTTGCTCCAATGATGATGCGAAATATTTAGTCATATGAAAACCATCTAAAATATATTACTCTTTAACTTAAACATTCCTAAGTCATCTATTAGTTTCACACTCTAGAAGATCTATTTCCAAGCATAAGGGACCAAATTTCCTAGTATGAGCACCAAAATCGCTTGCAGATTCCTTTATCCTATCAGTAATTATCACATGAAGATCTTGCATTTGTATATGGTAGAAACATTCATAGTTACCAACACGATTAGAAAATGGTTGCACTATTCCTATGATCACAAATTGCTACTTTTCGATTTTGGAGGATAAAGGAGCTTCACATCTATGATGTAGATGATCTCACTAAAAAGCTCAAGGATAATTAAAGGCCTCTTAGACCTTTTGACCTAGCATTTCTTTGCTATCTGCCTTTTCAATGTTCTATTGTCCTAAACTCATGAATTCCAAGTTGACTTTTAGTATTTTGGACATGTCTTTTATGTTTAAGCCAATAATGAAACCGTTAACCAGTAACTATAGATCCCATGATAATGGGGCCAATAAGTCCAAAATTGAGTCTTATATACATGCTGGTATTTTGTTAATATCCATTGAAATAAACTAATAGTTTGGAATACCAATGACATATAAATCACTGCAAACAAAACACAAGCATGGCATATCATGCTTAAGGTTTCATATCAACAGTATAAACCACAATTTGTAATTTCTTGGGAGTCATAATCATGACTTGAAATTTCTATGTCAAGAATAGTGTGATATGAAAGAAAAAATCTATTAAGTACAAGTTCGACACCCATCAAAAGAATAATGTTGTAATTCTTGAAAACATGTCCTAATCTAAGGGTATAATCTATAATTCTGATTCAAAAGGTATCCACCAAAATCAACGATTTAGAGCAGATTTTGAAACTTTTTTACCAATCCTAAATCATGGCCATTAACCATCATCTCTATAATCTCATATTGACACTTTATGAGAAAGACATTCAACATTTTCATTATCATTATTTTAAATATGAGTATCCTAATATGTTCCAATATTATGTGTAACCAAATGTAATTAGGATTTTATCATTTGAATATACGTCAATCAAGACTTATCAAGTCAATACTAATAGCATAAATATAAATTCATCATAAAACAAGACATCCTTTAGCACAATACATACATAAAAGCTAATATATTATGACGTCATGTGAGTGCACATAACATAATTTATTACTAAAGATACCAAACGTACGCTAGTTATAATCATTAAAGAGGATGAATGAGTCAATAAATCATGACCACGATGTGAGTGCGGTATGGAAACATATAGATACGAAGAATGTAGTAAAAATTACTGTTCCAAACAGTAAAATTTATATGTAGAACACATAATATATGAATTGCATTGGCACAATATACCAAAGTTTATCATGTACATCAATAAAAGCATGTAAATTTTACAGTAACCCAACATACCATGAAAATAATTCAAATATAGAGCATATATGGAATCGCAAGGCATTACAATAACATAATCTATCATAAACACAAATAACAATGTTTAGCCATTTTGATGACATAATATATCGTGTATACAAACATTGGTTATATTAGGATCACAGCTGAGGTTTATTTCACCTCTTGAAATCACATAATAACGTTTTATGAATGATATTTAATGACAGTCCTTTTCGGAATTATCTCACTTACAGTTCACGACTGTCAACTTGGGCAGCAGCTGCCCAACTTGACGTCCTTGACCCGGTGAACAGCCGTGACCGGGAAAAAGGACCCACAGATGGCAAACAAGACATCAGATATGGGTGATGTATTGTTACATCGAATGACAAGAGGCGGAAGGGCATGCGTGAGAGGACACCTGGTGGACCAAGTCAGCGTTGCAGTGGAACAGGAGAAGCTTAAGCGGAGGGCAGCGGCGGCGGCGGCGACGGCGACGGCGACGGCGACGGCGAGGGCAACGTCAGCAAAGCGATCTGAGCTAGCATACAGCGCACGTCCTTGCTGTTCGGGCGTTCCCTGGGGTCGTTGACGGTGCAGAGGCAGGCCACCTTCAGCACCAACGCCATCTCCTCTTCGTAGCCTTCCCCTTTCAGGCGCTCGTCGATGGCCTCCGCCCCCCGGCCGTCCCTCACGGCGTTCCTCAGCCAGTTCACCAGGCATAGTTCATCGGTGCTCTGGAAGAACTCGTCGGAGGGCATCCGCCCCATGACCATCACCCCCAGGATCACCCCGAAGCTGTAGATATCGCACTTGTCCGTGAACTTGAGCGTCTGATGGTACTCCGGCGCGATGAACCCCACCGTGCCAGCGACGTTGGAGGCCGTAACGTGCGTGTGGGCGTCCGCCACCGACTTGGCCAGCCCGAAGTCGGCTATGCGGGCCTCCATTTCGTCGTCGAGCAGGATGTTTGCCGGCTTCAGGTCGCGGTGGATGATGCGTGGGCTGTGCTGCATGTGGAGGTACTCCAGGCCGGCGGCTATGCCGGCGGCGACGCGGCGGCGCGCCGGCCAGTCGAACTCCCGGTGGCCGGCGGCGAAGCCCTTGAGCGCGTCGTCGAGGGTGCCGTTCTTCATGAACTCGTAGACCAGAAGATGGCATTCCGAGCGGGGTACGTGGGCGAGGAGGGGGAGCAGGTTGCGGTGGCGGACGTACCCCACGGTGTTGATCTCCGACTTGATCTGCCGCATCCGCCGGTCCAGTATCTTGCTGTCCTCTTCACTGAGCTCGGGGGCGGCGGTGCCATCGTCGAGTCGCATCTTGGCGATCTTCTTCACGGCGACGATCTTCCCGTCGGTGAACGTCGTGCGGTAGACCTCGCCGCAGCCGCCGCGCCCGATGAGCTCCATGCCCTCTAGCGCGTCGCCCTTGCTGAGAACGTCGAGGTCTTCGGGCTTGATGAGAGGGCTAAAGATGGAGGGACCGCCCCGGTGGTGGTAGCGGCCGCGCAGGCAGTTGACCAGCAGCCGGAAGAGCGCGGAGAAGACCACGCCGGATATGACCCCCGCCAAACCTCCAACCACGAAGCCTACTATCCAAATCACCAGCGGACGCCGTCGCCGCGACTTCTCGGTCGCCGGTGGTGACGCCGAAGGGTCCGCAACGGAAGCGGGATCTCTACTGTCGTCGCCGGTAGAGTTCTCCGCAAGTATCCGACGCATGGGGAGGAGATTCCCCGAGGAGGATACCTCTTTGTCGGCGGGAAGATTGAGGAGGGGACCGCGGAGGCCTGGGTTACCGGCGAGATGGAGGAACCGGAGTTTGCGCATGCTGGGGAGAACCGAGGGGATCTGACCCGTGAAGAGATTGCCGCCGAGAGAGAGGCTCTCGAGGTTGCGCAAGCCGGCGAGGAATTTCAGGCTACCGCTGAGCTTGTTGTCGGAAATATCAAGAGTGCGGAGGAAGGAAAGGGAAGAGATTTCCAATGGCACCTGCCCGGACAACGCGTTGCCGCTGAGATTGAGGATTTGGAGACGGCGGCAGCCGGCGATATCCGGGGGTATCTCACCGGAGAGATGATTTCCGGGGAGGGAGATCTCCTGGAGGGCGGAGAGGCGCCCGATCGCCGGGGACAGCGAGCCATCAAGGCCGCGGAACGGCAATGACAAGGAGACGGCACGGAGGGCGCCGCTGCCGCCGCCTCTCCGCTCGCAGGCGACGCCGGAGAGGCGGCAAGGGTGGGCGGTGCCGCCGCTGGCGGAAGAGCCCAGCTGAGCCGAGAGCCCGCCGCCTAGGCGGGGGACGACGAGGCGTAGGGCTTCTGAGTCGCCTGCCCCGACGGTGGAGATGAGAAGTGCGGGGAGGAGGACGACTAGGACGAAGACGAAGACCGACGCCATTTCCCTTCCTGGTCCCAGGCTCCTTCCTCCCCATGTTTTAAATGGGACAAGATTTGCTCCACCAACGGTGGAGATGAGGCCGGAAGAGAAGCGAACACCCCAGATCAGTCGAAATACCCCGGTCTGGACGTCACTGGTGTAACCCACTCAAATCAATTCGAGAAAGGGCAGAATTCGCCCCATCTCCCGCTCCACCCCCCACCCAGCTAGCTGTCATCCTCCATGTAGACCGGCTGGTAAATATCTCGTGTTGACCGGGGCGACCCAAAGCGCGTTGGCTTGCCCACCGTCAGGACCCAAAAGAGCGATGCCGATGTGCCGTATCATTTAGAGAGAGAAAATTATTATATATCGAGAGAGCGATCAATGCATATCCTTCTTTCCAACTTAATTTGATGCTCAATCAAGCACATAAGACTTCGGCCGTCCCCGATTCCGATGAGCCCAGTGCACCATCGCCATCGACACTCCCGTCCACTACTTTGACCAGGACTTCAGGCTGGCGCTGACTTTGTGGGGTCGGTCAACTTCCTCTCGATCAGGACAGCAGCTCAACATTATTTCATGTTTTGCCACAAATGGTACTGAGAACTGACATCGAAGCTCTCAGATGATACGAGTCCATGCAGGAAGAGATTAGGGATTACTGCGACAGAGACGCCGGCTAAAAGGCTGCATCTTCCTCCTGTTCCTCCCATCCACACCGGGAAGAAGACGCTACCCCCTTCTGCATCCCTGAAAAAGCTTCCATCTTGGCAGATAACAGAGAGACCCAGATCATAATCTGCATATATTACGTGTATGGAAGATGAAGAAGATCAATACCAGGCTGCCGGCTATGGCGGATCTCTTGGGAGGTCAGGCTCCCCGCAGCTGGGCATCCCGGCTGGTCAGGGGGACATAACGAACAGAGGTCTCAGTGGAGACGCTGACAGAGCCGTCCATCCTCTTGTCTACTACCTTCAGTTCCTGGAACACTTTCCCAACCGGGATCACCATTCTGCCTCCGGGCTTCAGCTGCTGGACCAGAGGCTGGGGGAGCTCGGCGGCGGCGGCCCCAACGTGAATAGCGTCAAAGGGCGCCAGGTCGGGGAACCCCAGCCTGCCATCTGCAGCCACGCCATCTCAGAATGGGCAGGAAAGATATGCTTGGGCAAAGGGCTGACTAGTTTGTTCATACCTGCAACATGAACAGAGAGGGAGCCGCCTCCCAGCAAATCTGCTGCGGCGCTCTGCTTTATATTCTCAATGGAGGAAGCAACTAGCTCAGGAATGTGGTCTATGCCCACTGCACGGCCTTCTGGACCGATCATCAGAGCAAAACACGCTGTAAGGTATCCTGTTCCTGAAAAGAGTGCCAGGGGAATGAATCACAAAGAGCGTAACAAGAAAAATCACCAAACCTGATTAAAGTCCTGGGAATCAGATTAAGAAAGATTTCAACTTATAATTCAGCAATTAAAATGAAATCTTATGCATGTAAATGACACCAATTAGTATGAAATTCACATTTTTCCTGAATCAGCCTCCTAACAATGCACATTTCTATGAATTAATGCAACAATTATAAAGATTAAACATGAATTAACGCATAAAAATATAGCATTATCAGAACCCAAGTCCTGAGTTCTAGGAATAAGAGGAAACTAAGCCAGAAACTATAGCTATATGTTCATGGATGACAGAGAGACGCCAGAGCTATTTATTCCCCATAGATTCGGTCCTCAGCGATCAAACATACTATTTCGAGTTCAGTGATGGGGAACCTGTGTATCCAAACACCAGAGCAAGCTGTGATGGATAAGGACCTCTTCAACAGAATGTTGCTGAGGATATCAGCCTTGCACCATTTCTTTTAATTTCCTTAACATGGTCCGTCAATCAATAGATAAGAGAGAGGAATGCAATGAATAGGTGGAGAGTTGTGGCACCTGAACCAACATCTAGAACACGCATTCCGGGCTGCAAATGATCCTTTAAAAGTTCCAAACATGTGGCATGCATATGCGGCGCCGATATAGTGGCATTATAGCCAATCAGCATGGGGCTGTCAACATAGGCTGAAGCTCCATTGAATATGAATAGTCCCCGGTCAACTGTCTCCATCACTTCGGCTACTTCCCTTGACTTAATAACACCATGATGTCGTAGTTGCTCTACCAGTCTCTTGTTCTTATCAATGGATCCTCTTGCCTGGAACCGCTGGAACAATTATTTAATGGCATTGAAAATACACATTCAACTCCTGTAAGACAAAAATATATGCATATAGAAAGCATGAAAGATGTCTTTAATCACAAATATGAGCATCCTGAAGCCGTCCATCTAACTCAGGTTTCCAAGATGATCCCTTTTTGGGCATAGAGGCCCCACTTTCATGTCCATAGCTTTCTGCTATCATTGGTTCAGAGGTGAAGATTATGGCACAAAAAATCCATAATTTGGCAATACCAGAAGAAAAAATGTTAGACTATTCCTCTGGTGATAGATTACCATTATTGGTAACTAATGATGAAGGAACCAATGCATGAAGTAGATCATCCCACAGGATTCATAAGTGATACAAAAATCCTGTCGAAAGAAGTGCAAAGAGAAAACTACAATGACCCACGAAATCAAAGAAAAAACATTCGTTGCACAAGCCTTGTTGGACTATTGGGACAGAATGACACAACGAGAAGACAAACAAATAGTCCACAAAAATGGTAACATCGACACGTAAAGGGCATGATATTCCTTGATTGTAGTGCAAGAAAATATTGCACGGTAATTAGTCACCTTGCATAACCTACCCAAGGCATTGAAATAGGAAATACAAATGCTTGTCTAGACTAGGAGGGTCTGTTGAGTATTATATTTTAAATTAATATACAAGGAAAAAAATACATGAAAAGGCCTACAAGCCTAAACTCAGTCATATTATGTAAAATTCGAAGTGATCAGATTATGGAGTACCCACAAGTCATTATAGACAAATTAGCTTGACTCGTCATTTGGGAAAATAAAAACGCCTATTGGCCCAGCAGTAGCTTCTTCACCTTTAAAAACATTGAAATTGGTAATATTGATACATATTGCTCAACACAAAACCCAAAACTATCAAAAGACATAATGCCGCTGTAGTCCGGTGTACAAGGAAATTATCGACAGGCATGATGAATCCATTAAGACTACAAATAACTGGTTTCAAGTTGACCATCCAGCGAGCGGAAACATCAAAGGGTGAGAAGATATTATCTCATATCTCACCAATCAACCAAGAACCATAGATCAAAGGTTAAGGCAGTGATGCATAATGCTCCTACTTACCAGTTTCACGGTTGTGGCGCTAAAGAGAAAAAACATAAAGGTATTTTTAGAATTTGTCATTTCCTAGATAAGCAGAATAACCCAGATAGGGATAACAGACTAGGCACCTGAGGTGATATACTTCAAGAAATTGTTGAATGTACCCTACATGCATGAATTTGAGCTACATATTGAACGAAAACAATGGAAAGACGATGACGATTTGCCTTTAGAATTTGTGGGATGCCTGGGATGCCTGGAAGCCACATGATATTCCCGTCAAGGTGGAAACCCGACTATGCCACTACCCATCCTCTTCAAATCATTTCCCAAATTACATAAAAACCTAGGTTAATGGAGAATCAGCATGCTCACAACTTAACATTTTACATACAATCGGGAAAGATTAACTGTAGTAAGATCAAGATCATGACTCTGTTAGGACCAAAACCATCGGGCCCATTTTCAGGCCCACTGCCTAGGTTACTCACGCCGGGTGAGGGAAGGGTAAGCCATAGGTGGGCCAAGCTGCCCAGTAAGGAGGACGTATAAGGACCCCCTGCAGCCCCCACTGTGGGGGACGCTTTTTGGGATGAAAGTCAGCGGGAGAGTGGGACGCTCTCGAATTCGTCCGAATTATCCTAGGGTTTCCGAAGGAAACCCTTTCCCCTTTCTGTTCTTATCTCGTGCTATCTTAGTCATCCTGTGTTCACCTTTCTTCTCTTGTCTGTGCATTCTGTTCGAGACCCTATCAGACTCACAACAGGAGATCCAACAGAAGAGGCTGAAACTTGAAACAAGTGCACGCACAGCAATTGAATAATGACAACTGGTAAACATAGTTCTAAGCCAACCAAACTCAAGAATGAAGTTTTAAATAATCTAATGCAATTGACAACGAGGTGAATGTGGATAACACGAGCTTGTACCAAGAGGCGATCAATTCATTGGAAAATTGTGATAAGATGGTGCAAATGAAATCAGTTGGTGGGCTAATGACGAAAAATAATCCAAATACCGCAAGGATATCCTTACAAGAACCGTGAGGGATACAGGAAAGAAGTAAATACCATGAGGAAACAACATAGTTCGTAGTTAATGAACTACAAATAGGCAACTCTTCAATCTATATCTTCCTCCATGATTGGTTAATGATATCATAGCATATATCCACGACATTCTCCCCCATCATGGACTACTTTTAAACGATGGCTTACAGGTAAGTTTACGCTGAGAAATAAAGGCACATCTCCTCAACATGGGAGAAAAAGAATATTCATGTGACCCAAGCTCAGGAGACTAGGAAACGGAAATGCCAAGAGGCTTATTATAACAAAGAAAAAATAAGAATAATAATAATAAGATGAGTGATAACTTGCCTGTATTACCAGAAAAAAAAATACACACGTGGTTTTGACAAAGGACGAACAAAATAACACTACGTGTATGTTGGGTATCATAAGAGAAACCAAGGTGTGAAGATGATCTTCCAACTACCATAAGGCTCTTATGTTTGATGCCCAAAAATGAAGTAACATTCCAGAAGAATTTGATGTTGTGAGAAGACAGCTACATTTCGGCCCCATTACAGAAACATCATACAAAAAGACTTCTCATGACTAGTAGAGGAAGGACGTTAATTAGGTCAGATTCAGATCTCAGATTAGTCAAATAAGACCTCACAATGATGAGAGAACAACAAATATGGCAAGAATCGTCTGGTTACATGTTACTAAATTATTTCCATTTTTCTTTTCGATAAATCTTCCAAACAGACCACAGTCCCTTTACAAGAAGAAAAGAGATAGTTCACTATGGTCGGATCAAAAATACAGAATAGGATTCCCGACACAGCAATAATAGTTGGAAATCAAATCTTACTGTTTCGAAGGATGACCTTTCAGCTGGATGTCTTTCGATCATCTATAAGTGTCATCAAACCATGCAAATGAAGGAGAGAGGTGGAAAATGATGTTTGAAGCTTCGTAGATATTCTTGCCCATAATCAATGAGGTGGAAAGGAAAAGAGAAAAAAATAGTGCTTTATCTCCCTCCAATTAAAAGTATCTTTCCAGCTCGTGAAAAAATCGCTCAGGATATGATGTTTTTTCAAGTGCTACGATGCTATGCTACCTGAAATGCTCACTCATATCTCGAGGAATTGATCACAGAATGGATTCGTATGAGACATCTGCATTTGATGCAAGTCAACTTCCACAGAAAGCTTCATAATACGAAGGATCATTTAAATCATAATTTTCCAACTTTCTAATAAGGATCTTTCACGTCATGATGTTGCTTACGGACTCCTATCTCACTCTCATTCCCTCAATGATCCGTACAGACCTGGCTTACTTCATGGCTCGGGTCATAAAAAAAGGTGGACACAGAACATTGCATCTTCGAAAGATAAACAGCGCCAAGAACTGAGGAGTTTCCAGCCGGAGGAAAGGGGGGCCATCTTCGAAAAGTAATTCTTCTTCGTTAGAAGAGTGGATAATCAAACCCCGGCTTCCCGACTCGCCAAAGATGAATCGAGTAAGAGGAACCCAAAGTCCGAGAAAATTCCTTCTCAACCGCTCAGAAATCGGATGGCAATAGAACAGAGATGCTTAATTGCAACAAAGAAACAGCCAGACGAGAGATTGAGGCCAAACACGAAAAAACATAAGGCAGAGAGTGTCAAGTGAACTACCTCCATCCGCAGGAATGAATGAACCCTAGCAAATAGCCTGCCGCCACTCCAAAGATTAGTAAAGAACGATGAAGACGAAGAAGCAACTGCTTCTGCGACAGGGCAAGCAGGATAAAGCGCACGCAAAGAGCAAGACGATCGGCAGAAAGGAGAGAAAGACGAGCTGGGGAGGGAGGAGCAGCGCGCCACCACTGGAAGCACCTGATTCCCCAGAAGAATGGCTGAGATACAGCAGCGGCAACGCCAACCGTGGGCAAGTGCGGAGGTCATTCCCAAATCAAGATGCGAAATTTACTTAGTGAATTTCCCATGTATGATGGACCGGCTAAGAGACATGCACATGGGTATTGAGATTTCTAAGCCCAATGGGGAAAATTTCCCAAAAAGAGGTCGCTTTGACTGAGGACTACACTGTCAAAAATCCCAGCGGGCTAATGCTTCACTAGTAGTACTAGTGAGAGATAGCCCTGAGCCCACATGAGAATCATGAGACCCCTTTCATGCGACAGTAGTAAGGACGAACTAGAGCTCGGGAGAAGAGTGTGAGGAGACTACATGCAAAGTACAACCAATATTAGTATCCATATTCAGAGCACTTTTCACTACCTATGATTGATATAATATCCACGCCATTGATTTCATAAAAAAATGGATATTTAATTGATTGGTGGGTCGAACTAGGTTTCTTGAAAAATCTAATTGAATGTGTTACTAGTGAATGGGGACAAATTTCCATGCAAAAGAGTATTGTCCTTAATCTAGTGCTAAAAGTCAACATCTGTTGTAGTTGATCAATCTAAACTGTTCCCCACTAAGAAGTTACTCTAGGGATATTTGAGCTTGTCAAAGAGTTTATTCCATCAAAGGAAAATAAAAACAGACGTGGGGTGAATATAGAATAATGGTTCATATAACTAAGAGGAACTAAAAAGACGGTGGGGAGATTAATCCCATATGGCTTTCTATTATTGAACTGAAAGAACCTCACCAAGTTACTACCTCACAACTTGCAAAATGATATTTGATGAGTGAGTTTCGACAAGCTTGTAACCATGCAATTAAACCCCGTTTATTCTCTAGCAACTAAAATGAGATTATTATAAAGCTGACCACAAGCAAAAGAGTAAACATTGGGACATCACCAACCCCTTTTATTCACTATTCCTTGAGCAAATTAGAGAGCACTTAGATAATGCGTATTGACTTTACGAAATTGACTGTTTATAAGCCATATAACTTGAACTTACGAAAATAAATGAAACTCGGGATATTCAATAAGAAAGGGAAAAAAGTGCATACACCGAACTTAACTTAGACTTTATCCTCCACATTCCCATCTTCTGAGATCAGGTATATGGTTGATACCCGGAACTCGATGACCTGAAAACTGAAACTTACTAAGAGAAACAAACTCCAGTCTTCATCTTTTATAATGGCGACGGAAGAAGACATGACAAACTCTATCGAATACATTCAGGAGTTTGCACACACAAAAAAGATAATAAAAAGAGAAAAAAAGATACCCAAGACAATGCCCCAAAGGAGGAGCTCTGGGCGAAGTCGGGCCGCCTTCTTATTGTGGAGCCATTTGACCAAACCTCGAGCAAACTCGTAATATTTCCCAGAGAGACTCTTCAGTAGTTGCAGCACTTGTAGAGGACATACTTCTCCATGGGACGTTTGCACTCGGCACAGATAACATGGTCCTTTATCTTCCTCGAGTCCTCGGGTAGCACCAGGCGGGAGCAGTGGTCCTCATCATGGTAGGGCACGAGTGCGTTCCTCAGCGCAGTCACGAAGTCCCCGTTCTCTACGCTGGCCTTCCAGTTATCGAAGTTGGTCAGGCAGTCCATTATCTTCCTCCCCTGCGCCTTCGCCATGTCCGTACCGCCCTTGCTGACCAGGGCCCAGCCCTCGTCGTTGCCGTCGAAGCTGAGCATCGCAACCACTTCCTGCAAGAGGTGGTCGTTCTGGACGTCCGTGCTGTGCTGGCTCTTGGAATGCCACATGCTCTCCAGCCGCATCCAGAAGAACCATATCATGGCCATGTCGTGCCAGTAGCCGCTCAGCTTCTCAGCGGCGATGACGGCGATGGCCTTCTTCACCCGCTCCTTTGGGTTGCTCTTCCCCACGTACACCATCTCCAGGGGGATCCCGGCCTCCGTGGTTACCCTCCTCATTGTCGTGGTGAACCTCCTGATCCATTCGATGTTCTCCCCTCCGTACAAGCATACGGTCCTACCTTCCCTAACCTGTAAAAAGGAAACGAACATGAAGAACAAACTTGTAAGATGATCCGATGATCCAGCTAAAAACCAAGTAGAATCACAATTTTAACTAAATATGTATTTTTGTAATCAATGAACGATTTTTCTGGCATGCCCTGTTATGCTTGTTAAAATATTTTTCACATTAGAAAAAACGAATAAATATTGTGGTATAGAATAGGTCATATTCAAGTTATTATCAGTTGATTTAGAATTAGACGGCTTAATAATCTGAACATGACAGTAGAACCAGTTCTCATTCATTGACCATTCAGTCTCTCTTGGACTGTCCATGTGGCGAAATTTATAAATCAGTTTTTATGTGAGAGAGAATGTTAGAATGATCTCATATTGAACGATACAAGTAAAATCCTAAGATTATAAAAGTTTGTTGATTTTCCGGTTAGTATAGAATTAATGGTGATAAATTCTTAATAATATGAAGAATGCGGATGAAACGATGGTTGTAATACCCATTGAAGTATGAGGGGATCGATCTCGTCGATGAGGAACTCCAACCTCCAGGCCTCCTCCTTCCAGAGCTGCTCCTCCCTGACGCTGGTGAAGGGAAAGGCGACGCTGCCCCAGATCCAGATCATGTGGTGAGCGTTTGGACAGACCACCTTCCCCTGGGGGTCCAGCACCACCAGCAGTGGCTTCTTCTCGAACTGCCATGCCTCCCTCACGTACCTCACCACCGACGGTTCCAGCAGAGAAGGGTGATGCAAGGAGAACCACGGCATCACCGACGCCAGCCTGTTGAACTCCTCCTCTCGGGAGTCCGTCCAGGGGATCAGACGGTCAATCACCGGGAGCCAGACGATCTCGTAGTTCCTCTCCAGCTTGCCCTGGTGGGTGTCGTTGTATATCTGCACCAGAATGAAGAGCTCCTCATGGGAGACGTCGAGGTCGGAGACGAAGAGGATCACCGTTTTCCGGCGGAGGACGTCCACTGGGAGCCGCTTCTTCGCGCTAAGGTCAATAAGGGGGAGATTGTCCTTGGAGTGGATCATCGCCTTGAGAATCTTCATGTTGTCTATGTGGGACAATCGGAAGAGATTCACCAGGTTGTCATAGGCCTTGGACTGCCTCTTCTCGTCTGAATTACAGAACATAGCCATCAGATTCCCAGCATCGAGTCTTTAAAGTATTAACTCAAGTGATAGACAGAGCCGCTGAACTCGCTGAGTAGAGAGAGAAGAACCCAGAATCATGGACCAAGTTCGAGAAATCGCTGACCAATATGCCTCTGGCACGCACTGTGCTCCCTTGAGAGGTGGTCGAAGATGCTGCGCAGCTTGTGTTCCAGGCTGGACAACTCCCAGGCCTCCACGCCGGCGCTTACGTACCTGGATGAAGATGAGGAGCTAGATGGGAAGAGGAGCAAGATGAGAAGACTCAGAATTGATGCGTTTCCCTCAGTGGTCAACTCACTCGTGGCCAAATCCGATGAAGGCTACGATCTGGTTGGCGCAGGCGACAATGCTCCTGACGATCCAGAAGGCCGCCGTGGGGATGAGGGTCATGGCATCGGCTATGTCCTCGGTCAAAACATCTTCGGCGGGGAGCTCGTTGAACTGGACGACGCACCGGGTGACGACCAGCATGGCACTGATGAGGTTGCCGATGGCGTCTGCGCGCTGTTTCAGCGTGTCGCCGTGGTTGAGGATGTCGGGCAGCTGCTTGAGCAGCGCCAGCGACTGCGCAAGCGGGTTTACAGTATGCAGCTGCACCACCAGCCAGAACTCCCCGTGCAGCGCCGCGAACGCCGCCAGCGCGATGACCGCCTTCGCCTCCCACGAGTAGCCCGCCAGGGACTCGAACAACCCGAACGCCGCGGCGTGCCCGTCCCCGCCGCTGCTGCACTTGTACGAGATCTGCATGCCCAACCCTGCTAGTTAAACTAGGATGTATAAAGATATACGTACATAGATACAGAGATACAAAGGTATATGATGGATATATATATGTTATATATATGCACGCTGAGGAAAAGCTCTCCTATGGTCACCTCGCAGGAGAGCCGGTGGATCACGTGAGCGAGAACTTCAAACACATTGGAAACGCCGGTGTGGAAGGCCACCTTGTCCGCCGTATCCAGAGGATTCTGAGCTAGCTTCTGACTGCTCGTCGCCTCCGACGGGAGATGTGGAGTCTGCCGAAAAACCATAGTCCAATCCACCGGTTCACATCCGTAAAAAGAAATAACACTAATCTGTCTACTTTGAAAACATAATAATAGAGTTGGATGATTTTGCTCCAGGTTTCACTCGTCTTTATAGAAGAAAATAATTAAAATATCATATCACAATAGATAATTTGTCAGCACGTGAAATGATTGCTGGAATCCATAACCACATTTTATAACTGAATAATGTTTCCAGATAATACTATAAATTTGGTTATTTTAGTTGCAAGATCACCTAAAATAATAGAACAAACTTGTTAAAGCTCCAGTCAAAATAGATAATTTTCTTATTCAGTGAAATGCTCACAAGAATTTTGTCAAACCAGAATCATTTCAACACAAATATTTAAGCATTATTTTTTAGTAATGTTCAAGGTTATACTATTCTAACGCTTTCATTCACATATTCACACCATTGTGTAGGCATATTGCATAAGGACTACACAACACAACGATAAAACCCATCCAGCATATTGTCTTGAAAAATTGCCACTTCTAAAAAAACCTTCAATGAAAAAAACTTCAACAAATTTTACAAATAAAAGGTAATTCTATTCTAATAATTCTCTTAATATCTAAGCTAACTTTTTAGCGTTATATTGTTAACAAAACATTTAGGATTCATGTAACTAATGAGCGAGCATTAATTCCGATGCCATGTTAGAGTTGTAAGATCTTTCAACCTAAAATCATGAATAAAGGAGTTTCTACGCATTTATAATCATAAAGTCAGTTTTATATTAGGTCATAGGAGTCTATACTAGTATGTAGTTATAATCAAAATTAATTGACACAGAAAAATACTTATGTGAATAAAACCACGTGAATGTAGTTAAATTTAAAAGTGTGAAATTTGGCGAATCTCTGTTAGTTAATGTGGGCGCTTCTATGCTTCAATCAATCTCAGAAGAAACTATTCGATCTCTGCTCCGGTCCCAAACGAAAGCTGGTATACGGAAGAGAAACTGAGTTACCCCTTGGGTCAAAGTGGCGACGGTCGGCGTTGCCCGATGAACGATGTCCTCGATCACATTGAGGAGAGACTGGCAGTCGACCTCACGGCCGTCGGGCTGGTGGGTGGCGAGGATCTGCTTCATGATCGCGCCATCGTCTGACGAAGAGAAGAAATGGCGGTCGCTCTTGATGAGGTTATGCGTCCTCTGCGTCACCATTTCACCCCTATGGCTAACCACGTCCAACCTGCGAGTCGCCATCTCCGCCCTGGAACGACGCCGAAGTTTGCTCCCGCGCACCCCTGAGCTCCGTGTCTCTGCTATGTGGCAATGGCAATTGCTATGTGGCTCTGTGTGGGAGACGCCCGCGGGGGCCATCTCCTTATGGAGAGGGCTCGGGAATAAAGATCAAGTGAATCGACTACCTTGCTTCAGTATGTAGCCTGTCAAAGGGTACCAGCAATGGGATTCTACCCGGTGGGGATCTGGACAGCCCTCTTTCCAGTCGTAAAGCGATCTCACCGCCGTTGAAGCACTCAAAGTTGAAAGGGCACTTAATACATAGATAGGAATAGGAGACATCCAGGATCACTGACAGAGAGGACTTCCACACTAGGAAGAGGACGATCGCTGTTTACTCTCATGACGCTAGGCTGCTGGTGATTTTCATAAACTCGAGAGTAGAGGACATAATCAGAGTCATATATTGATAGAAACTCTTCCATGAGGGATAAAGCTAGGTTCCCTTAGGATGCCGGGAAAGAAATGCCTTACACAATCTACACGTCTACAGACATTGTAGGTTCTTGGGACATCACCATCCTGTATGGATGCAATCACCATTCTGAAGACCTTTCTCTCCCACACATGTCAGTCAACGTCACTCAAACCCTATCCCTTCCAAGATCATACAGCCATTAGACGGTTCCAGCCAGGGCTTTGCTCGCATCTAGCTAAGGCTATGGAATCCTAGAAAGAAAAAGCCATATGCCCCACTTGCCAGACGCCCAAGTCCAACCGTATCTTGTGCAACGCCATTCTTTCCTGCCCGATCACAAGCAACCTTAGTTTTGAGTGTATGGTTTTGAAATAAGGAAAAAATATCTTAATCGATCGAACGTTGGGTTGTTCACTAAAATTTTATATGCTAAAACGAATGTCTTCTTCTGAGTTTTAAAATAATTATTTATAAAAATGAAATAATGAGTTTCTCATAGTACATAGTAACATCCAAAATTCATACCCTGAATATAGCCAAATTTTTATAATTTTTCTTCATTAATAAGATTAAAATAGCCATTAGCTCTTATATGGGGAACAGTAAAGATGAAGTGTATGATAGTTAAAATGTTTAAACCATACTTGAAACTCACTTTCTTTCAATCAAATGATGTGTAGAAACCTATAACCAATAATTGTATGCTATGGATTAATACTTGTATGATATTATCAAATGCGTAGTGATTCTTCACTAACTATTATGGAATAAACATTATGATTCAATACTGAAATTTCTGATTAAACATTATTGTATACAATATCAAGATGAACATTCTATTTGTTTTGAAATCATGAAATTCATGTATAATAGGTAAATCTTGTAATCCTCTTTACTAGCATTTATGAAGAATCACTACACATTTTGGCTCAAGGCAAGATACGAAACTAAGTCCCACTAATAGAAATAAATAATGGTCGTGTCCTAAGATAAGAAATGTTACATCATCAATCAGCAGTAATGTAGCTGCCACTAAGTCACATCTCCCAAAACACTACCATTTAGCCACATATTTATAATATCAGGGGGATTATTATGGAACTTTTTTTGGAGGATTCCCACATTTTATTGGCATTTAAGGGATAGATACAAGCCTAAATAAAAAAGGAGAGATTAACCACATAGTTCATTGTAACCTCCCTTTTATATCAATTTTCAGTTACATATGTATTAGTTTCAATGTCAAATTATATTTAAAATTGGAAAACACTGAGTTTGTCCTTTCACATCATCCAGCTATCATCGAATGACGTGAAAATGATGATAATAATTTTTACTTACTCTTGAAATGACTACAAAATTTGGGATTTAATAAGTAATATTTCCTCTACTTCCACACGTTTCAAGAAAATAAATCAATTTGTAGACATGAATCTCTTTGTATGATGAGATCTAGGATACAACAAAATAGGGATAGGATTAAAAGGTAACAGTTCTAAAAACCAGCCATTTGGGGCATTAGAAAGTAAGTAATGGATGGGAAGACTACTTTTGTCATCCAATGACCAGCCTTCTAAAAATTTCTTATCCATATTGAAGGTTTTATTGAAGAACTGATTTGAGAAGGTTGTTGTGAGATATTTCACTCTTTCACATTCAAATCTACACTTCCCTAGTCCAAAATTATGACCAATTAATGTGTAACATTAGTTGCTAGTGTCTATTATAAGGGATCTTGGTATTTGGTACCTCTCATTAAAAATGTTGGCTGTAATTAGAATTATTTAGAGAGGTGAGTGTAGACCAGCTAGCCTATGCTATGTATCTGATGTTGAAAGGCAAGTTGATGCCTTGATATTTGATGCATATTATAAGAAAGATTGAGTAAATTATAAGGAAAAGTTCTTTATAAGAGTGAAGTAGATCATAACCAAACTAGTATAACTATGGAAGTCTTATTACTACTCCTTGGAGACAACTCAAGTAAACTCCCTCAATTAGCCATGATAGAAATAAGAACATAGGACTAGCTCACACTCTTGAGCTATCAAATTCATTTCCCCTCTTGGTTTGATTTCTAGCCAACCTAAGAGAAAAAATTTTTACTCTTTCTATGTATAATACTATAGTTTACTCCAAAAGATAAATTACTTCTATAGTCAAGTGTCATCAAGTTTACAAACTATAATGGGTTTATGTCTATCCAATATATTTTTGAATAGAAATTTTGAAAGTGTTATGTTAGTTTACTAATTTATACTTTTCTTCATATGTGATGCAGTGTTAATGTAGAGTTATTAAAATTTTTCCCTGAATTTACTAGAATTATATGGCTAGCTAAAACTCCAAGAGAGGGGGCATGAATTGGGTTCTAATATCTTTTACTATTTTTCATTTCTAGCCATTATCTATGTGGGTTATTGATAGATGTGTTGACATGTGTGTACATGTAACTCTCTTTCATGATAGACATTGAGGTTTTTATATTGATTTTTTCCTCATGCAACTTTACCTAGTCCTTGAGAGTCCTCTTACTAGTGTTTCACTTAGTTTCTCAAAAATACATATAAACATGTGTGGGCTCAGCCACCCAACCACTTAAATTTGTCTTTGTAAAAACTCCACCCTTTCAAGGTCAAAATAAACTAATAGTATTTCATGCTTTCCTCCAATAACGCTCCCCTCACCACCTTATTACCTTTAGGGGCTGATGGAGGATGTTTCCTGTCGAGTTGGATATTGTTCAAGTTGTCGAAGCGAGATGAAGATCAAGATGCAACTTTTCGTTGTTGTTGATGCACCCAATAAGAGGAACTTAGGTTTCTTGCTTGAATATTTGTTTAAAGTGTTATATTATATTTTTCAAACCTCCCCTTATGTATTAGCAATCATCATCTAACAATTCCCATATTTGATAGGGTCTCAAATGTTCAAGAAACTTGTTCGAAAACTTGGGGTTTTCTATAACTACAATAACATTTTTTGACCGTTTTGTATTTCGAATCTTTATATTCTCTTGTCCGTTTTATTTGAAATTTGAACTGAACCTTCTTTACTTGATGGAGAATAACTTTCTTGTTGAGGACTTAGCCAAATAATTATGTTTGTATTGTGTTTTCATAAGCTGATGATGTGTCACTATCTAGATGCTAGCTTTGAGACATGTTTATGTCATCTTTTCAAACTCTTTTGATGACTTATCCATGTGATAGTGTAGAAAATCTATATGAGAATATAGAAAATTATCTAAGTCCCTTTAGGAATACTAGATTTTGTATTTCAAGGTTAGTTTAAAGTAAATATATAAAAATAATATCATGATCACAAGTTACCTATGCTAATTTAACTGTGTATATATCTTTTTATCAAATGATGATTCCTTGATAGATATTGATCAATGTTCAAATTTTTCTATCATGATGATTCTTTAGATCTCATGGATTAACACCTTAGACTCGATTGTTAGCCATAAGGTTATGAAATAAATAAATATAACTCATATGATATCACATTGAACACATTGAATATTTAATATAAATCTGTGACACATATAAATGACTCTCAATATTCAATAAATAAATTTTCACTTGTAATATCAAAACTAAGAACATCAATAAAATTCACAAAACACGAACTTTGATGAAAGAACCAAGTCTTAAATCTATAAAATGTAGAAGCTTCATTCTTATAATATACAGGGGCTTGTCAAAGACAACCTTGAATTCACAAAGCCAAAGAGATTCTCTTGAATCCACAAGAGAGAAAGATATTTGTGTTCACAAATGTAGAGAAACTAAAAAAAGGATAAAAATCGTCATAATTCAAAGCTATCTTGGGGTTATAATTTGGAGAGCTCTAAATAGACCTAAAAAAAAGGTGGGATGCCCCAAAAATCAAAGAGACTATTAAATAGAATCAAAATAGATTTAAAGCATATCTCTAAAACATATGACAGAAATAAAAACTAAAAACAAAAAAAACAGAAAAAAAACATACTCTACACAACAAACTAGGTCTAACTCACTCTTCTTGCACTCTATTTGAGTCCAATAAGGTATTGGGGTCTCTTTTAGCCTTCATCGTTACAGCCCATTTCCAAACAATAGGATCTCTAGTTTTTGGCTTTCATACTTCTAAGTACTTTGGATTACAGCATCTGAGTGGTGCTAAGAAAAGTACAACATTAGCTATCAAAACTATGGCTTTTACTTAACAAAAAAATTTCAAAAAATTAACTACACCTTTATGAAGTTAATAAGTGGTCTCATGCTTTATCAATCAGCATTCCAAAGTGGATAAGCTCTTCTACTTATATTTCAATACCTTTGATGACAAGGTTTGTATTACAACACCTAAGAAATACTATTTAATGACTATTTCAATAGATAAAAGGAGAAAAAATAATGATCATCATTAATTACCTAGTTTGCAAACCATCTATATATGTACTTGAAAATAGAGCAATATAGGGACTACAAGGTTTCTCCTCTCTACAGTCATAGCATAGAACTTAAACAAGGGAAACATAAGAAGGGTTTCATCTAGGAGAAACCTTTCTCAATTTATTTGAGCAATAAATTGTAACCTTTCTCAAAATTTGTATCTATTAATTTCCTAGAGATTATATCACTACAAATAAGTCATACTCTTACTTTTGGCCAACTTTTAGTGTCATCGGTTTAATTATCTACTAAAAAAATATAGCAATTACATTAAAGTTCCAACAATGGGGAAAAGAACTAGAAGGAAAATTTCAAAAATTCTATTTTAATATTGATGCTATTAAATTAAAATTGAGAAAAAATATAGGTATGTCATTTACATGGTAACACTAGAAAAAAAATACTATAGCAAATAAAAAAATAACATATTCTTTTGAAGTCCATGGGAACTAGAATACTATTTAAATGGAAAAGGTTACATTATCTTAAACATTAATAGTATTTGTTTAATGCAATGATATATTAAATGAACTTTGCACCTTTCGAGAATGAAATGACACAAAAATATGTTATTCTATTATGGCAGCTATACATCATTAAAATTGATAAAAAGGTTCCATTTCCATGAGAATATGCATTTTACTTGTGGCATGAAGTCTTTAAATCGACACCCTTCAAGAATTGAGTTTGATCCTATAGCACTAAAAGAAAAATGGAATATGATAGATGAAAATACTTGTTTACTCACTTCAATGCACACGTCAAATGTGCCTTCATCCATTTGTTCAATCATTTAATCAAAAATGATTTAATATGTCCCATGTTCCATTTTGAACTAATATGCCCATTGAAGAATGACTGATTTAGTGTAAATTCAATTTCCTTAATTGTTATTATAAATAACATTATGTTTGTTCTATTTTGCTAAAGTGCCCATCTTTTTTGTGATAGATAAATTGTTAATGCTTGTTGATGTGTAGGACTGTCAAAAAAATCATGTGCATACAATCCAATAAAGATTAGATCATACATGACGTGTTTTGAAAATCAAATGGTTTTACAACTCTTACTATAATACCTTTAGTTCAAATGAGTGTTTTCTTTCCGAATGCTTCAATTTTAAGCCAGGACATTAAATAAATATGTGACATTTAACCATCCATAGAGATTGGCCACTGATCATCCGGTCCAACTGTTAAATTGAATACAAGAGGACTATGTGGAAGAAAGTTAATGATATTGGTCCATAACAATATTTGTTCAATGTATTTCACTGTCACATTCATATATGTTTCTCAATCAAAAGCACAGGCTTAATTCATAGAGAGAGATTTTTAATATCTTGTTAGAGAAGGAAATAAATTCACTATTATCAAAAACATGAATGATAAACTTGCACCTTCCAAGATTATTTCAAAGGTTTGAGAGCTATATGGAAACCATTAACTTACCTTATTTCCTTGCATCAATGCATTCTTGCTTTCATAGCAAACCTAGTTTCATAGGATTTTTGAAACATTTATAGGGTTTCCTTTGAATCCATCACTGATTCCTAGGAGTTATCTCTCCCCTATAATTTTTCTCACATGTTTTATAAAGACATCAACAAATCTTTGCATGAAAAGAATTACAAGTGTCCTTCCAAAGTATATAAAGGCTAGTTGGGGGAAAGCGAGCTAGAATGATGCTGGGGCTCATCTGAATAACCACTTGGTTGGGCTAATTTCATGTGTAACGAATGGGACCTTGGTGGGTCGTTCTTCGTTGGCCCATTGCCATCAGTAGATAGATAAGAAGCGAGAGATCTTTTATAACATTCGTGGGGTTAGGGTTCATCGATCAAGCGATCCACACTCCATCAATCTGTGGACCATATGAGAGCGACACGGGGGTATCTACACAAATACATATATCTATATATATCTAGAAATATCGAAGGCGTATAAGAAGAGATATCCCTTCGGGCCATCCGCCCCGCAGCATCAGCCTCTTTGCTCGCCTCTCCCGCTCCCTCTCTCTATCTCCCAATGTTGGCAGTCCCAGCTTTCAAGGCGGCCGCTGCCTTATCCATGGCAGACGGCTGCCTCACATCCTGCACTGCCCAGTTCCACGCCAAGCCCTGCCACCCTCTCCTGGTCTCCCTTCCGGCCAGGTCCTTGCGGATTCACCAGCTGGCCTGCGCTTCCCCTGCTTCCCTGTCCCTCTTGTCCATCAGGAAGAGGGCTCCTCTGGTCGCCCTCGTTGCCCAGACTTCCGACGCGCAGCAGGAGGACGAGCTCGCGGGGGTGGACGGGGTGGAGGCCGAGATTTCCGGCTGGGACGGAGAGGATGCCGAAGGCCAGGCCCAGGGAGAGTCCTACCCGGAGCCGCCGGAGGAGGCGAAGCTCTTTGTGGGTAATCTACCCTACGACATGGACAGCGAAAAGCTCGCTCATCTCTTTGAGGAGGCTGGGATTGTTGAGGTCGCCGAGGTATTTGGAATGTTTCCTGGCTGTTGCCGTTTCCTCTATTCTCGAGAAAAAAATTCGCATTATTTCTTCGAGATTTTCTTTGACGGGTTCAGGTTCCATGTCTTCGAGCACTAGGGTTTTTCTACTATAATTCCTTTTTTTTTTTTACTGTAATATTTGACGTACCCATGAGCAGTACGGGAGGTAGCGCGTGCAATCTACCCATGAGCCCTTCTGTGACTACGTCTCGATGTTCCCCTAGATGGTGCTTAACCTTGCCTATTCTAGAAGTAGATGTTTTAAAACTAGGGAAGGGTAGAGTTTTCTCCTCTCTCTGCCGGATCAAACGGCGGCGTTATCTTCCCCTGGCGTCGAATGCTGGTTGGAATTCGATGGTATTAACGGATGAGGTTCTTTAGGTGGAGTTTCATCGAAGGGGCTTTTGAGATCTTACCTCATTATTGCGCTCTTCCTGTAGGTTATCTACAACAGGGAGACAGACCGGAGTCGTGGGTTCGGGTTTGTGACCATGAGTACTGTCGAAGAGGCTGAGAAAGCTGTTGAGAAGTTCAATCGCTACGTAAGTGATTTCACCTGTTTTGGTAGCGTATTGTCTCCTTGCTTACTTATTTCCGAGGTGAAAAAATGCCTGCCATTTGATTGCTTTTTATTCATCTTTTATGTCAATCTGCATCAACTTCTGTCCCATTTCTCTTCCTTTATTTTGGTACGAACTCAAATATTATAGAGTAATATATTTGCTTGATTTCTTTCTTTCTCTGTTCATGAGTTATCATGGGTGTTTCCTCATAGCCATGATTGGAATATGCATTTCCTGCGAATATTGAATTGAGATATTTCAGAATGCTGATATTCGGTCCCGGAAGCCACATTTATCATATTTATAAATCCATCAGCATACTGCGTCTCAGATGCTAAATTGTTTCATGCATCATCCGATCTACGTTCGGCAAGGAGATTCAGTAAATTGTGAACAGTTTATTTCCCTGAAGATTATTTAGTCATTTTAAGTATATCTGAAAATAATTTCCGCACCCATCGCCCAATACATGCATAGTTGATATAAAGACACCTCTGTAAATCTACATGATCAGCATGAGATCATCAGAGCATAGTTATAAATCAATAAAACTATCCATTAGTGCTTGTATAATCATTTTTCCGCTTCCCTTACAAACATGCATCTATATACCAGGCCTTGACTCTGGCCTTTTTTCTTAAACAGAGCATTGAGGGCAGGCTTCTGACCGTGAACAAGGCGGCCCCAAGAGGAAGCCGCCCAGAGAGGACCCCACGACAGTATGAGCCCAGATTCAGGATTTATGTTGGGAATATCCCATGGGACGTAGATGACAGCCGTCTGGAGCAAGTATTCAGCGAGTATGGCAAAGTAATAGACTCAAGGGTTGTTTATGACCGGGAGTCTGGGCGCTCACGTGGGTTTGCGTTTGTAACAATGTCTGCACAACAGGAGATGGATGACGCCATTGCCGGCCTTGATGGACAGGTCTGCCGCTCATCACCATTTCCTTATGCATCCACCCTTTTTTTCCATGATTCACCATTTGCATAGCTGTGGTACTAAGTTGATGGTTTGATGGTCTTTCTTTGGAACAATTCACTAAACTAATCATCCTGCAACTTGGATCTGAAAGAGGGAATGCTCAGATATCTTCTCATCTTTCTAATTATGTTATAATTTTTCAAACATGATTCGTATATTCAACTGTATTCATGAGTATTCCTACCACAGCGTTCAATACATGAATGCCTAGGCGTTCCTTGGAAAACTTCATCTAATTAGTCATGCTGTGTAATAATGTTGTAACGTGGGAGGAAGAGGCCTCAATCACAGCTTCTCTTCTATCCAATCTTCTGATTATTTTTCCTTCTTGCGACACAAATGGGCATATATATGTATTCAGCTTTTGGTTGGCTGTTTCCTTTTTGGACGCAGAACCTTGGTGGGAGGACGATCAGAGTCAACGCTGCTGAGGAGAAGCCATCGCGCAGGTCATTCTGATTCATTCTGAAAGAGGTAACTCAATTATAGGCGTCTTCTATTTTTATGGCTCATGTGGTAGAGGATTTTCTCCCTTCTGCTGTTCCTGTCACTTCCTAAATGCCCTCCCCCCTTCTACCCTAGAATGTACTATGATGATGATCTTGGGGCTTGGCTCTGTTGGGCTTCAAGTCCTTAGTCTATGGCGACAAGATGTGAGCTTTCAGTTCATGCTGCAATGCGATTGAAGCTTTCCATGATGGGTGTTCTTGGAATGGCCTCCTGGGTGGGTGCACTCTTGCTGGGTATTTATTATAAACACAATATAAAATAAGTAAGTTTATATAAACACAATATAAAAATGTAAATTTTAAATAGAAAGTTACTGGATTTAATGAATAACAAATGCAGATGGTAACAATGTAAAAGAAAAAATATACATGAGCAGGTGTAGACATGAAATGAAGAATAAGCAAATCATGAGCAACAGCAGCTGCACAGCATCTGAACTCCATGAGCTTCTATAATAATCTTTGACTGATATTACCAGCTTTCCATCAAAAGCGTAGAAAAAAGTGGGCAATGCTCCAATGGGGGAAATGCGACCAATGAAGCGCTCAGTAAAACGCAATCTGCACACCTCGTGAACTCTCTCCTCTCCCCTCTTGGGTCACCCGGGTGAGAACCATTGGAGACACAGATTAGAAGCTTTCTTGTGATGCCTTTCAAGACTTCAGTTCTTCATCTTCAAATTACCCTGGGATTCTTCACTGAGCCCACAAAACATTCTGCATCGACTGACTACACAGGGTTTCCCTCGTCATATAATGCTGGGGACATTGGATTGTCCCAATGGGCTGTTCACAGATTGGAGCCTCCACAGGTTTGGACTGGGGTCATAAAAGGCGGCACTCTCTTCCATGAGTTTTTGAGAGCACTGCTGATGCAGGAGGGAGGGAGATTCTCCACATAAATCTGCCACGCTCTAATGTTTCTTGGCCTTAACTATTGTTTCAACGGAGAAACATAGCCTCCACAAAGTGATGTTACCCTGAAATTAGATAATAATAACATTTAAGGAAGGCTATTGAACCCGTTTGGATTTTTATTTTTTATTTTTTTTTGTGCCATGTAATACCTTTTCAAGGTCAATACTGATTTTGTCTGGAAGCTGTTTCTCTGTAGAACTGCTGTAGTGCCTTGCTGGGCATCTTATGGATCCGCCGTCCAACCAGATGTTTCTCAGCAGGCATCATCAATCTGTCTCTAAAACACCATTTTCCTGATAAAAAATGGAATTCACAGTACAAATCAAGTATTTCTTCAAAAAAGTATAAATTAAAGGTAATGGCAATCCCTGGATATCCAGATATCGTTCAAGATTCTTTTCCACTTGTTCAAGCTGAAAAATAGAAAGCATTAGCGTTCTTATTCCTTTTTTAGCTTATAAAGTATGGTGTCAAGGACCAAAAACATCAGAACGCCTTCGTATAAAGTAGATGATACAGAATTGGTATACTTCGGAACGCATTAAAGTAATTACCTCTGAAAGCATATTGGAAAAGCATTTATCTACAACCACTCAACCATCTAAATCTACATCACATCATGGCGAACCTTAAAATCCTTGCATGTCAAAAGGCTGGTCCCCTTCACATGATTATCAATTCCGAAAAATATAGAATAAAAAAAAGTCTAATGTCATTGCAGAGAAATGGTGGGCTAAGAAATTGCCTGAATGCATAATGCCATCACAATAACAATTCCAAACCCAAGCAAAGCAATAATCCTTACAGCACGGCATGCTTAAATATTCAAAAATCCTTTTATAAACATAGAGTTATTAAGAGCATCATTGACAAGTAAATCACTATCTCATGGACCAACGTTAATTATTTTCAAAAGCAAACACAGCACATTCTCTATAGAAGATGAAACTTTTGCTGAAAACAAGTAAATTTTTTAAGACACTAATCATTCAAAAGCCCTACAAATTAGGCAACTAGAACAAATGAGAAAATAGATAGCTTGTAATAATGAAAAGAATGAAGATACACAGTGGAAATATTTTGATCAGGCAGTAAATTCATAATTAAATATTTTAAAAAAATCATTTCTAATAGTAGCCAGAAGTTCGATTACTTGAAATGAAATAATCCGATAATTAGGCAAGATACATCTTTTGTAAAGACATATCAAAGAAAACCTGATTGTGGATTTATCCGACTTGTCAAAGAAGCTTCGTTCATTGATATCATCCATTTATCATCTGGCATAGAAAAACAATCTTCAACTTATAAAGTAAGACAAGATCTACGTCATTCGTATGGACAGACACTGTGTCTATCAAGCCATGATAAACACATTATTCACAAGAACTTTATTCACAAAGGCTTTGAAGCAAAAACATAGTCAGCAAAGTGAGTAGATAATATGCACATGAGGGTAATGAAAGCATAGGATGCTTGTTATGATGTTTGGAAGATAATGTCAAATAAAAAACGTCCCAGAAGGCACAGTTTGGAAATTCAATTTCAAGGACGCACCAAAGAGCCTTGCATTCTGATAATCTTCAGCGAAGATAATGCAACTAATCCTCTGTAAGCCACATTAGCCATCACACACACAACAGTCCCGAATATTAAATATTCCCTTAGCTAATTGGCTACGAGCCACAAGTATTTCATTGTACACATCTGCACCAGATATAAAATTTGTAAGGATAGGGATAGGAAAACTTACTCTCAAACAGGCCAAACTCCCACAAGATTACTTCCCAATCGGGAAAAGGTTGTTCCAACGTATTTACCTCTTTCTTCACAAGGAAAGAGAATGTTTTTTCAGGAAACGATAGCTTATGGATACCATCAGATAGTAATCAGCGGCACTCTTCCGGTCTATGACATAAGGTTGGAGATATCCTCTGCCTTCACAAGTTTTTTCCATGCTCTGATTGAAGAATACAAGACGAGGCTTCTTTCCATGCTCAATGTAAAGGTATTTCCTCAAAATGGTGGTAAATTTTTGTGCACCATCATAAATCTCAAGTAGAATGACAGAGAATCAGCCGAGGCTGGTCCCATTGAAGACGTTGGCTTCTGTTCTTGACTAATGAGGAGAATCATTCAATTTGCCCGCATCTTTGTAAATTTAGGATTTAAAAAATAGATTCAGATTCTGTTTTCCGATACTGATCTTCTATTGAAATTAGATAAAAAAAAAATGAGGTGAATGAAACATTTAAAGAAAACTAAGGAAAATGGAACTTTTTTACAATATTTTTTTTTATGAATTAGAAGGATAAGTTTTCAATGTATTCAATCCCCTCCCAGTCCATTGGCAACCATTCCTCCACAGGTACCATCACGATTATGTCCTATGGGAAGGGCAAGTAGAAAAGAAGCCATTCTTAGCCAACAATAAACAAGACCATATTCATGCCGATGGTTCTGCCATTTAAGCCAGACGCCAAAAGGGAAAGGATCTAATTGAGACAAACTTTGATAGACACAGTGATCGGAGAATAAATTCCGAATGATAACCATAATATGATAGTTGAAAGGGTGAAATACCCGGACGAAATCCATGTCCTCCAACCTAACCGGTTCAAACTGGTTGAAAATTCGTGGTTGCCATGATTAAGGTATGAATATATGTAGAACAACTTAGCAGATCTGAGGATATGCTGTAAACACTCTTGATGTGATTGGCCTTCCAAAGTGTATCGATTCAAACAAAGCACACTAGTCATAAATCAGGAAAAAATCTTGCTCCAGGCACAGTATTTAATGAAATTTCTAAACACGATACATAAATTAAAAATGCCACATAAGTACTTGCACACTGGTAAAATTTGGGGCTCAAGAACCTTGGTGAGCCATACTAGTATTTCTCACCTACAGATTTTGTTACAAGTTTTTCGTTTCCCTCAAGATTTTTTGGTTACCAGAGCATCCCATGAAAATATGCTTGTGAATACAAGTGATGATTCACTGACCTGTCCAAATGATCACGACTTTAGCATTTCAGCAGACATTCTAGTATTTTCACACTTGTCCCGTGTCACACCAGGTTTGGTCTCTAGCATGGCCTCACAAGGGAAGGCCGATCCCTTGTGCTTCTCCACACACAGAGAATAAAGACAATTATACAACATTTCGATTGGCATGATTCTCGGGATATTAGTTACTGAAAATTGACGTTGTCATTATGTATCCTTGATGTTTCTAGTGACAAGAAAATGGAACTTGAACCCTGGATCATCAAAAAATTTCTCTCATTATCAAATTTATCGATGGAAATAAGGCAACAAGAAAATAGTTAGCACACCTCATCAGTCTGCTACAGTCTGCTCGAGAAGCGTTTTGAACCTCTGTTTGTTGAAATTTGAGAGCCTCTCAGAGATAAGACCGCTGAAAAACGTATCTGAACAGCTAAATCTGATACCTTCTACAGGATCCGTTCTTAACGATGATTCTGAATCTAACCCAGGAAAGAATTCGTGAACATCATCATTCTTAGAAAAAAGATCCAAGGCTGGATATACGTAGTAGACAGTAACCAGGACTTCTATCATTTCTCTTGGTATCCAACACCGCTGTTTTTGATGTTTCAGACATTGTGTACTCTTTTAACACTGCATCCACAAATAATAACTTTAACAGTCAAAGAAATTTTCAGATCAAACAGAAAAGCCAGTCCAAAAAAAAATCATAAATAGGGAATAAAAATACCAAGCCAATACTTTATCATTTTCATTATATGTTAAATATTAATGTAATATTCCAACCACAATGACTGATTTGGTATTACATTAGGACCAGCAAAGAAGAAAGTTGAACTACACCTATTCGTTTGCCGTCCATAAGAACCGTGGGAATCAGCTCCAACTTGTATAAGTTTATGCTTAAAATCCACTTGATAGTTACATTATTTTCAAACCTTCTTGACATGCCTTGTATAACTGTAGCATGTCAACAAAACTTTTATCACTTTATCCATGCCAGACCCGGTCAACTCATTTAGCATTTGGAGAGCTGGATAAACCTGGAAGGGTACTTCAACCGATGGTTGATCAGAAAAATATTTTAAAAGGGACATGTATGTTCCATGCCAAAAACACTCATTTTTTTATGCAGTAGAGAAATAATGTAAGGAAACAACACTCCTTTTTTAATTTAAAAATAATTTTAGATCCCCATCCTGCACAAATGACTTGATCATCTTGGCAATATGCGTACAACAAAAAAACTATCCTTCACATCTTATGCAGCTCCCACAGGACAGTTGACTCGGATGGCCTTGGAGAGTGACATGCATCAGAGTATGAAAGGAGAAGAGGATATGTGCAGTTTGCTCCCCATCTGGGGTTTATCTCGCAGTAATAAGACTTCCTCGTATATACTGGAAAACATCTTCTTTTTTTTAAAAATGGATAATATCATGCATGCATTGCTTCGGCAAACGTGTCGAAACACTGTTCACAAACATATGGTCCTCAAAATGATCAAAATAAAGTATTCCACTTTTTCCGATAATGGATTATAAAATAAGGCTAGTAACAATTCAAAGTTAGTACTAAAATAAATCCCATAAGCAAAGTATCCATCTTGAAGTCGAAAACTGAATATCTCTGGCTGATTTTTGAAGATATTTTTATCAAGTAATATCATGAGACAATAATTTACTTGCATGTAATATTTGAAACTACTTCCGGAATTTTAAGCATGAGAATGAGATATTTGAAGATTTTTAGGAGGAAGAGCTGCTATGAACAAGAGCGTTGACGTGAAGTTCTCCAAAGGAAACTGAGAACAGAAGAGGTTTGTGTGAAAAAGAGCTCCACAGAAACTGCCAACAGTAGTAGGGAACCTTCCCTCAATGCTTGTAAAATGGACTGCAAACTCAGCGAGCCATTACTTTCTGTAAAAACAGTGATGAATAGGGCACTCTCCTTCAATAAACGCATTTTTTTTAATGCTGTCTTTTTAAAAAATGATCGAAACATCATTAAAGGGCTTTTTTGCCCTGTAGGGTACCGCTGTGGTAGTTGGGAGACTAGTTTTCTTCTGAAGAGGAGACTGAAAATCTACCAGTCTATAGAAGATCTGCGTCCCGAAGAAACCCGACGCTCCTCCCATACCTACCGCGTCTCTCCACTGGCATCCCCGTCGGGAGAGCCACGCTGGCTCTGCACCTTCTCTTTTGGCCCCAGAGCACAGCCCGTTCCGCGCGCCCGTCCACCATGGTTAGTCAGCATGGGTGCTAATGGGCCGCCACAGCCCGGAGCCATGGCCCCCTCCCCGATCTGCGCTTGAGTGTGATATTGAAGCTCTGGCCCAGCTAAGCTCCAGTTGACTGGAAAGGCCTCAGGCTGGTTTTTAGAAAATAAAAATGACACTTTTTACCATTTATAAACTACAGTTATTAAAATGATTGCACCTACAACGAGGGAAATACACATATTTTTCTTCCATACTAATGCATATTAATCAGTAACCTCTCAAGTAGCCTCGGCAGGTTACTAAAGATCTTGTCCCAACAACATGAACGAAAAAACACACAATATAGATTTTGATTGAGTGAGTAACTAAATTACTATGATTTTATTTCCAGTTCTTATGTGAATAAATCATCACATAAATTTCCAAAATTTATCATAATGGTTACATTCATGTTAATCACAAACAAAAGGAAAATTCTAATGACAAATATGCACTAACCAAAGTCCAAAAAATAGTCAAAGTAACCCACAATTAACATCTGGTTAAATAATGGTCATAATTTCTTTATGGCGAAGAAAAACATTCATAAGATAAAATAGAAAGCCCAAAATGGTAGCAGATCCTTATTGACAACTTTGGTGAATTTATGAAAATATTTATTAATTAAAATTTATAAAACATATAATTGACGATATTATTGTGTTATGGTGCTTATAATATAGTTGTTTGAACATGGAATCCATAAAAAAATAATTTTTGAATTGGCATTTCTTTGAGAAAGTAATGAAATATATTGTTGTGACAAATTGAATACAGAAACATCAAAATAAAGTGCCAAATAAGAGAATACAAAAAGTTCATAAAATGTGTCCTGTGAGAGTTTAATAGAACAATTTCTTGGGTGTAAGTAGCAAAACAAAGCCCACTAGAACAAATTTAAGCACCCATGTAAAATAAAATTATGTGTGCAATATGAAATGTTACACTCATAAGATTCACAATAATAGTTAAAACTACCCCACACCATAAAGTGTTTTCAAAAGAAAAGAGAACTCTTTAGAATGACTCCATCAAAACTTGTAGATATAGACTATTTCATACAATACAATGAGATGTTATTAAGAATTAAAAATGGGATTTGGTTGGCTAAAGGAAACTAATTGCTATAAACTTTTTGTTTCCTTCGTTCAATCAATATGGCATTGTTTGTTTTATTAATTTTACGTCCCTCTTGGATATACATATTTTAAAAAGAATATTAACTAATTTTATCATGGTTGAGTAGTTTAAAACCTTTAAAATTGAAACTTCTCATATATCTTTTCCATCATATATCTTCAACAACATGTACGATCTTGTACAAAGTTTATGATAATTTGTTATGTTTTTACTGAAGAAAAGATACTACAATCCTTAAATCAGCTGGACTACATAATAGATTTTTGATAAAATGGGAGATGGTAAACACAATGTTATGAACTTAGAGAATGGAGTTCATAAGCCTGGATATTATATGTTCTATGATATGAGCTGTTTTCATTTGGGCGATGGAGAAAGAAAAGCTGAAAGCCACACTATGTATCTAGAGATATATAGTTGGGTTTACTATTGCATTGATGGTGAATGTGTAATTCCATCAGCTCGTTTGACAACTCACCTACACGATAACAAGTAAAGTCATAATATCAAGAATATTGTATTTTTTCATAAAAACATAATAATGATCACGTTAAATAAATTATAAATTTATTGTAAGTATAAGTCTGAAGAAAATGATCAAAAACTAGATATCAATTTAACAAGAAAAGAAATGGAGAAACTTACTAGAAAGGTGAGAGACACCAAATGTTAATATTCACAAGTCATGGGAACATTTTCATAGAAAGCTTGGTCCTTGAAGTACTTCATGGATTAGGCAATTAAATTCCCTAATCATAAGCATAGAGGGAATGTCCAAAAACTGAAATATTCTCAAAATTTTAAACATAACTTTTTAGTAGAAATTATTGGATATCATGTGTTCTAAGTAAAATGAAAATAAGTTGTAATTAAGTTTTTCTTCAAATCATGGTCACCTTTCGAAAATATCCTAGATTTTAATCAATTTAATGCACATATCTATAACATAGATTGCCTCTTTATCTGCCATTTCTCTCTCCTCACACAATATCTTTCATCAAATATGTTTTCAGTAAATTAGATATCTATATACATATTTATATAGATGTATATATATATATATGTAGAGAGAGAGAGAAACATATAGATAAACAAGCAGAAAGATAGAGAAGACCAAAAAGTTCATTTGAAAAAAAAAAGCTTGCCAACAATCCAGCTAGTTTGTGAAATCAAACAATCATGGTAAATTTATTGAACATGTAGAAAATTGTACAATAAATAGTCCATGACTCTTTCCTACATTGAAAGAACAAAAAGAATTGATTAATATTTTTTAAAACAAACGCAATGAAAGGATGATAATCCAATAATATAGATTTTAGAGGCCAGACAAAATATAGTTTCACATTAGCTTATTACAAAAGGCTGGTATGCTAACCCTATAATTTCATTGATTGTAATGCATGATGGTTGTGGGTGTGTGGGTGGGTGGGGGGTGGGGGTGTTTGTGAGTGTGTGTGTGAAAGGGGGAGAGAGAGATAGCGAGAGAGAGAGAGAGAGTATCACCTTTTGCTCTATTCACATTCTCTATTCTCTAAACAGGACGCTAGTCTTCACTGCCCTGTCGTCGCTCTTCCCTTAATAGCTTTCTAAAGACCTGTTTCCTTCGCATCTCGTCCCTCTTCCCTAGGATTCCAATTTAGCCTTGTCAGTCTAAGAACCAGGTTCTTGTACAAGTTATAGGTGAATTGGCCACATCAAAGAAACTTTTTCCGAACTTGGATTATTAACTTGCGATCTAACTCACCTATTATATCTTCAAAATGTCATCCCCATATTATGTCTTAAACATTAATGCTGAGGCAATGTAGCAGTCATCTTCCTTTCCGCACCTCTCCACGCGTTTTCTTGCATAGAACCACATGGAATTCCACTCAAAAGTGGCTTTTTGCGGCCGACATGAACCACGAATACCCTCCACGTAGGGGTTAAGCAGCCAAAAGAGATGACACCGACCGGCTTTGGACTAGCTTTGGACCCCAGCATGGGTGTGTACACCTCGAACACTCCGGCTTCGAAGGCGTGCGGTGTAATCCTATCGGCTGAGACTGTCCCACAGCTTTCACATTCATCCTCCACAGACCCAGTTGAGAATGTAGACTAACTTTCTCCCTCGGTTTTCATTCAGAGCAAGGCGCCCCTAGGGCAACCTCTAGAAAGATCTCAAGAAGCATGTGAAGGACAGATGGGAACGGAAGCTTCAAGACCCCACAATCATAATGTGTCCAGATCATGAGAGCGACGTAGATATCTCCTATGAGACCTTCCATCCTTCCTATGGCTGATAATCCTTGCGATTCGTTTCCGTGCTCAAGGCTGGGACTGATGGCTCATATCGACACAGGGGGATGTTGGCAGTGAAGTCAACTTAGCGACAAGATCCAGCTAATCCCTCCCCCGACGGCGCTTCTGTCAGAAAGCCGAGCCGTCTCGGCCAATGGCAGCCGCTTTTTCAGCGTTTCCTACAGCCTGAGTTGACCACCGTCGTCCATTTTCCGTCCTTCCATTTCCCACGAGGGACGCTTCTACTATATATTGAGCCCATGATGTCCCTTATTCGACCATCTAATGACATGGCCTCTCCGTTCTCTCCCTTCTGTGGCCGTGACTGCCCTCTCTTCTCCCTCATTCTCTTCTTCTTGTTATGGTGCGTCTTCCCTCTGTCATCCCACGGCCAGATTACCCCAGCGGTGTACACATTTGGGGACTCTCTGGCGGACGTCGGCAATAACAACCACCTCCACCTGTCTCTCCTCAAGGCAAACTTCCCCCACAATGGCGTCGACTACCCAGGCCGGAAGGCCACAGGCCGGTTCGGCAACGGCAGGAACTCCGCCGACTTCCTTGGTATCGTCTCCACCCATCCTTTCACCCCTTCACAACCATAGCCAACTTCCCACCTGCTTCATTTGAATGGTCCTTCTCAGCACATTTTGCTGTGTGGCAGATTATCATTCTCCGCCGTGAGTCTTCTGAAATCTAGTCATGCTCTTACCAACTGATTTTCTCGTGTTGCAGCTGAGAAGTTGGGCCTGCAGACTTCACCACCTTATCTGTCAATATCCAGTTCTGGTGGCCCCGATGCGTTCCTCAAGGGCGTTAGCTTCGCTTCCGGCGGCGCCGGGGTTCTGAACAGTACAAACAAGGTATCTCATTTAGAGTTTAATATGTCGAAGGAAAGATAGCCATACAGATAGCACTGATTCATGGATAAATAGATGGATAGATGAGATGGATTGGTTAATAAAGAGACCAACAGATTGAGTGAGAGAGTACGAGAGTGAGGACCAACGCTTTCGAACTCGGAGCGTTCGAGAGTCACTGGCTATGGAAGGATAATCTCGAACGGAGAGTAACCAATGCTCGTCTTCTTCTGCAGGATCATTGCTTGACCCTCGACAAACAGATAGAGTACTTTTCAAGGGTTCACGCGGCTCTGCAGCAGAAGTTGGGGGATGTGGAGACGAAGAAGCACATCTCTCAGTCCATATTTATCGTAGTGATTGGGAGCAACGACCTCTTGGGGTACTTCAAATCTGACCCTTCCGAGCGGGCCAAATCCACTCCCCAGCACCTCGTTGACACGCTGATCTTCAAGCTGAAGGGCCAGTTAAAGGTAATTAATTACCCCAAGCAAGTTAATACTGCTGTCGTCTCTGTCAGTTTAGCTCTCCGAGCTAAGGCTGCCGTTACTGACGATTCTGCAGAATATTTACGACCTTGGCGCCAGGAGGATTGCCTTCATAGGAACCGGACCCATCGGATGTTGCCCATCCGAAAGGGCACGCACCAACAAGGGAGACTGCAACGTAGAGTCTAACTACGGGTCGATGAAGTTCAACGAGGGCGTGAGCTCCGTCCTGGGGGAGATGAAGGCGGAACTTGGAGACTTCAGCTATTCCTTCTTCGACACCTACGCTGCGCTAATGGAGATAATAGAGAGCCCTTCCTCCTACGGTACGACGGTTTCTCCTCTCGTTTTTCGGGGATGTCATCATGGCAATATTTGATTTGGGAACTCATAATTGCCAGCCAAAGATTTTACGGACTGACATGCATCCTAGACCAGTTTAATATTACAACATCTTTTGAATATTTTTAAAGTAAAATATTGAAAGCATTTTATTAAAATATAAAACGTATTACATTTCAATACCAAAAAGATGGAAATATCGAGGCCATTTTTTCTAATACTAGAAATAAATAAATTAGAAGTCTATTTATAAATCAAAAAATTATATACTATTTGAGATAAACCCTCGTGATTCGTTGTTTAATACGCTGGATTTTGCTACAGGGTTCACTGAAGTTAAGGCTGCATGCTGTGGGCTGGGTAATCTGAATGCAAAGGTTGCTTGCCTCCCCATAGCGACTTACTGCTCCAACAGGGAAGAATACGTCTTCTGGGATTTCTACCATCCAACGGAAGCATCCTTTCGCAGGCTTACCGAGACAGTCTTCAATGGCTCACGTCCTCTCGTCCATCCGCTAAACGTCCGTCAGCTAGCTTCTCTCAAAGTCTAGCCTAGTGGACTGTTTACTTCAAATCGACGTCGGGCTTTCTTCCACATGAGAACTCAGTTTGGAGCTTGGATCTCCAAGAACTTAAAACGGGCCAAAGTGACACACATTGGGAAATTATGTTTCTTGCGTGCTGTGACGTGTCTTCTTATTTTCGCTTCTTGAGCTTATTAGAGTTAAAACGAGAAGACTACTCTCGCGTGATCTTACTGGTTTTTGGCCTTGTATACGAATTGAAAAACGAACAATAAGAATGAGCAGTAGATTTTTCTTTCCATCCTAGCGACTTGGTTACAAGCTGTATAAGTTTAAGATCTTTCAGAAGAACCATCGCAAAAGTAAGACAGAGAAATAAATTATGAGATCAGACTCTTCGGAGAGAAGTAAGAAAAAAATCGAAGAAAGGTCGCCCCCTGACGATAAGTCTGGATGCCTGACAAAGGATATGATGGGAATTCAATGGAAAGGAGTTGAATATCAAATCGTTATTAAGAAACTAGTCACTGAAGTGACAAGGGACGTCCGTGCGACAGCCCCGGCGTGGGCACTGTAAAATCCAGCCGGGGCATGGGCACCACTTACAATGCTCGGTTTCAAGTAGCCGGGCCGTGGGCACTTTGAAGCCCATACTTGACGATCTTTTAGGTGGGAGTGAGAGAGCGAGAAAGCGAGATGAGGCAGAGAAGTGGTTTGGGTTGCAAGTGATCTTTGGTTAGCTCTCGGTAAGTATGTTCGTACTTGTCTGGCCACACCGTATCAAAGTCCGCACATGGACTGAATTGTGGTTTGGTTAGGCTACGTAAGAACCCTTCATCTTTCAAATCTTGATGAGATTAAGTGCACACCCAACCCATTGGCACTCCTAAGCATAATTTCAATCTAGTTACAGCCAATCATAAGCATGCGTCCTTCTCCCAGATGATCGTTCATCGGTAGCAGTTTACACCAAACACTTAGGAATTGTGGTTTTCTTTGTAAATTCTGACAGTTGACCGGCGGGTTCACCATAAACAGCTGAATGAGACTTATTTTAAGAAAAATAACTCAACCTGGATTGTCCATCCTTGGAGCAGCGCCTTATGCTAGCCTCTACTGCACTTAGCGCATGTAGTATAAGGTCATATAATCCGTTGACAATTTCTGATACGCCGAACTCACATGATAGTAACAAAGATGAGTCGAAGAAGGTTGTGCATGAACGTGGACAGCGTAAGATTTCATATATAGTACCACTGTTCAAGTGGGCTTTTTATTGGGCTTCTCATATGATGTATCTTTCCGGAGCTTTATATTGGCTTGAAATTTCTATAGGCAACAACTGCACAGAAGGGATCAGACCTCGAATAACCCAGCAGACTCGCGATGCTTTGGAGAACCGATCTACTCTCCTGTCGCGGGAGTCTTCTGATAACTTCGGGTTGCGTGAAGCCTTCAACGCATTGGAAGTATTGGACGACCAATTGAGTTCTACTGTAGGTTGTGCCGTCTCTCCACGCTGCTATGGCTTTCTCGTAAAACATCCTGTCACTGAAGCTGATGATGCAGACACCCCCAGGCTTAAGAACACGTAACACCTCGGCAAACACCTGGAAAAGTAAGAATTGTTTGTTCATAAGGTAACGTTGTATAGACCCAATCGTATGAGGTAGAACGAGTAATTATTTTTATAAAATGGAAACCATTTCCGATAGGATTCCCAGCTAACGAGTACTTGTTAAAAGAACACGGATAAGCTAGGGTCGGACCCAGAGAAAGCTTCGGAAATGGACCACCCCAATAAGTTCGAAACTCATCTTTGTTTTCGGTAGGAATCTTCTATGAGGAGAGACTGACCTAATATCATATGGATAATCTTGAGACAGCCTCGTGGCAGAGAAAATAGGTCATAAGTTTCTATAGTAAACTTTATCAAAGTCTAGAGCCGATTTGGATAGGCATTGGGCCCGGCCAGCTCATGCATGTTTTCTTTCTTGAGCTCATTTTGAAGCCAGAATCTCGAGAAAATCAGATCAGGCTCCGTTACCCGCCTATTCACAACCTTATTTATGATAAACTAAGGATAGAGTTGTATTTTCCAAATCTACATAAAAGAGAGGCAAAATTATGATGAGATATCTAAATTGTTGGTTTTGGATGAACTCGGTCCGGAGATTAGTATTTTTCCGGGTTTTGGGTTAGAGCAAGCTACGGACAACTCCCGGAGGTCAGCCAGCAGCTCTCCGGCGACTAAATCCATGCTTTAAAGAACCATCCACCGTGGTGAGATAGATTAGAATAGACTCACCTTCTCCGGCCACTGGAGGTATTGTACGCTCACAGTGCAGACAACCGCATCGAAGCTGCAGCTCTCCAAGGCGAGCTCCTGCTCCCTGTTCAGATCCTTGACAAAGAAGGATTCAAGCCGAGGGTTCCTCGCTAGCTCCTGCGCGTTTAGGCCGTGCCCCACCACTCGCCGGTACGGAACCTCTTCTGGTAGGTGGCTCACCCACGAGCTCATCAGATCGAAGACGTCTCCTCCCTCCGGGATCCTCTCCAAGTACAGCTTCGTCAACTCCTTCAAGAACCCCTCGTCAACGTGCTTCACGAAGCGGGGGAAGGCATAAAAGTCCCTGTCGGGGGTGGGGTTGAGCTTGGATCTACCATCCGGCGTAAGCACAAGCCGCCGGATCCTCCCCAGCGCCGCCGACGGCGGTGGCGCGGGGGATTTGTCTCCGGCAGAGAGACCAGCCCCTGAATCGCATGCGACGGCGTGCCTTGGGCGAGGAGGGCGTGTTTGAAGTCTCCGGTTCGGGCATGGCTGTGGATTTAGGTGGAGGGCGAGCATGAGGGCCAGCGGAACAGAAGGAAGACTAAAGTTACTTCCCACGGCATGTCGACGTGGACTTCCCAGTTGAACTTCGAGGCGATGATAGCTCGTGGATGGAGGACCAGGACGGACCGCATGTATTTTAATGGCCAGCAAATTTTGTGATTTTTCTCGGACAATCTTCGTGATGTTGGGCCCATGAATTACCTAAATCTCTGCTATGAACTTTCAGGGTTTGGGGACTTCACGAAGAACTTCAGCCATGGTAGCCGAGTTCAAAAATAAAAATGACTATTGTGAATCTTTGACGTGATCACGTTATTATTTGATAACTTAAAATTTAATAAACTTTTCACGGGAAATAGAATTAACCATTAATTCTCCTTTGAAATGACTCTATCGCAAAACATAGTTGTGGAAAGAAAAATTATAACATACATCGATATAGCATAAAAAACTAACCAAAATAGTTTTTGGGTTGAAGCATCTATATAACAAACAGAGTTTCCATTAGAATATATGTCAAAACCAGATTGAAATATTAATTATTGAAAATTCTCGGCTGAAAAGTATTTTATACCTAACAATGGGAAAGAGGACTAAAAATATTTTCATTATAACTATGCAAGTATATCTTGATTTGCATCTACATTCTAAAGCCAATGTAGAAAATTTCATTATGAGCCTGATACGTCACAACATTATGAATTATTAAAACTATAAATGAATAATTAATCATTATGAATCAAATGAATTATAATTAATCAATATGGCAGTTGGACATTTAGACTAAAACTATAATTTGAATTAAAAAATGCAAAAATAAGTTGAGTAAGAAAATTAATCATAAACAAATCAAATTAAAAAACTATCAGTTATGATATTAGTATGTACTAATCTAGCCAAATATATGCTGTTGAACACCTTAGGTTTCATATGTGCAAAAAAATATTATATTTATCAAATTATTGCTAATTATGTTTTTCTTAAAATCATTGTACAATTAAATAAGTTTCTATCAGATAATCACACAAATTTTAAACTTATCAATTTCACATGTAATTAGACCAAAGTTTTTAAATGGGCACCTATATCATGACATGAGAGAATTAAAAACTCTAATTAATCCCACTTGAATGATATATTTACTCGTCAAATATGTATGGCCTATGTTATAGTATGCTTATCAACCCTAATATCTAAGTAGGTAATATTTGAAAGAAAAAGTATGAGTTTGAAATCAGTGTGACAAGATAATTTACTTTCTTTCAAGGTTTTAACACAATCAAAATAGTTTTCTTCCACATAATACTTGAAAAAGTTTCAATTGAAGGTTTAAATTGAAACCAAATTGATCAAATATATTGTTTCTTATTTACTTCACTAATATATTAAAGGATCTATTTAGTGTTCATTTGTGTGCTACAATTAAAGGTTTTCCAAAAGAATATAAAGTCATTATCATTAAATTTTAAATCTTTTCTCACACAAAAGATCTTGACTTTCTTTATTTTAAGTTAATTTTTTTTATAATGATTATGATTATGTTGGGATAGAGTTAAGAGAAAATGTAATAGCTGATCATATTTATTTCTAGATAGACATGTAATCCTACGAAATTATACAAAGGTAATATTTGGTAGCTCTATCCATAATAGAAATGAAATATATTCTTGTGAAAAGATACCATGAAGGAAATTACAATTAAATACTTGTGAGATCAAATTATTTCTTATTCTGTCTTTCAAGGCTAGTGCAATCAATAACACTAATATCTGTATTCATTTAAATAATAATTATTAATGTTAGACATCACCTTCTAATGGATATTTTATTTGAAGTAGCTAAACAATTATTAGACATTTTCAACCACTCTCACCTTGAACAAACTTAGCCATTGGAAGAGAAATTTGTCCATGCCATGTAGGTTAACCTAATTAAATATTTTCGGCAATCTTTTTATGTAATTAAATTTTATCTACAATCCATTGCACTTAGTGATTAGGATTAGTTAGATTATTATTCACTACAATCAATATTACTATGGTATTTATGGCTCATTTTGATTCTACCCTCTTGAAATTATTTGTACAAATCTCTCCACATTTAAACTAATATTATTCAATTCAAATAAATACTTAAGTAGCGTTGTCCTTGAAATAATGCCAAATCAAATAAAGTTTTATTTGAATGAGTAAAATACTTTCAAAATCAGATATTATAAAAATGACTAATTAAAAAGGTTTTAAATCACACCACTTGAGGCTCAAGGGTTAAGACTTAAAGCAAAACCCATGCACAAGATGGTTAAAAATTGATACTAAAAGTTTAACACTTGGCGCTTGCATAAAGTACTAGCTAAGTTGAAAAAATTACATAGGGGTTGACACTTAGACCATGAGTGCCAGTGCCCCAATACAAGATCAATACCAAGAATTCAAGGATTAACATTAGAAAAAAAACAAGCAAGTGTCAAAGATTTGTTTCTATTATGAAGATATGTAAAATTACAACAATGACTTTGGCTAAGATAGAAAGCAGAAAGGATAGAAAACTAAATCATTCGAAGCCATTGATAAGATAATTATATCCATTAGCTCATTAAATATTATAAGCTATAAACACCAAAAATAATGGAGGTTTGTAAGTTTCCAAACAGTCAAAAAAAGCAAGCCCAATAAGTAGTTTCTTCAAGCTCTTAAAGGGCTTGAAATTTTCTATTTATATCTAAGTTTAAAATGTGTTTCACTTTTTCAAGCTAAACTTCCAAAGCTTTGATTGTTCTCTACCATTACTTCAGAGGTTAAGTAATTTTGTTGTAATCTTTCCATTTATGATGCATAATTATTCTGTTGAACAAGTCTTTTCAATGTAAGAAACACAGATTGAAACTTTTGATAGCCAAAATGTTATAAGTTCAGATAAAAAGTTGTGGAAATGCATAATATGAGACATTTCATAGTGGAGTATGTTTAGATAATCAAACTTGTAAAAAAGTATTGTGAATCATGGTAGTATGTGCATTTCTTGTAATTATTTACTTAGTAGCAGTAAGAGTAGCTTTCCCCCTGCCCACTTTATGCTTTAGTTTTAATACTTAAGACCTTTACTATTCTTGGCCTCTATTTATTCTCATGTTGAGAAGACAACTTTGTCAAAGCCCAAAAAAGATCTAAGAAAATGAATGGCTTATAATGACAAACCTTGGTCATGGTAGAGTTTGAGAGGAACCAAGAGGGGAGGAGGAGGTATCACAAGGGTAACACAAGATCATATGTGAATGCAGAAAGACATGCATGGGTGGCGTAGTGCACACAGAAGATGCAGCATGCATGGATGGCATAGCATACCCTCGTGGAGCAGTGTGCATGGGCGGCATGGCACACATGGATGGCACAGCACATGCAGGTGGCATGACATGCAAATGATGCACCAACAGTACCACACAAATGTGGAAACTTAACCATGTGACTGACATAAATAGATTTGATTATTCATGTTAAGATGTAAATGTCAATTGATATATTAGTTTTGAGAAATGACCATTTGATGATTTAATTTATACTAACCTGTATATCCAAGATTGATACTTTGATAACTATTTTAATTGCTAAGAGAAGTGCAGAAAAATCAGAAGAAAGAAAATCGAATTTAGTGAATTTATTATAATTTTTAGATAAATACTAGGCTTGATAGTGGGCTGATCACATCAGTTCCAATATCAACCCTAATACTTCCCCATTATGATGAGGGGTTTTTAGGAGAAGGGAGGAGAGAGAAAAAGGGGGACTTTGAGAGCTAGGGCACAGGAGCACTGGTCAACCCCTCTCCGCGTGACAGATGAAGACAGCGGCGACGGTGGTTGTGGTGGATGGTGATGACAACACAGCAGTAGTGGCGGTGACAGCAGCATGGTGACGTGGCGGCACGACAGTGGTGATAGCAGCTGCAAGCTCCCGTCAGACATGACAGGTAGAGGAGCAGAGCACGGCGGTGCTCGTGATAGGAATGGTGATGGCGGTGCTCACAACAGCAACAGTGATGGCAGCCGTGAGCTCTCCTCCATGATAGACAGAGGAGAAGCCGAGCACGACGGCAACAGCGGTGGCTGCAAGGTCCCCATCTCAAATGTAATGTCAGTGGGGAGCCAAGCGCAATGACAGTGGTTGTGGTGTTAGCGGGGGTAATGTCAACGACTTGACCTTCCTTTCCCCATCTCAAATCTTTATTTTAGTGATAAGCAAAGGGGGACATGAATGCTGTAGATTAGGATTTTTATTATTTTTCTTTAATGTTTTCTGTGATTTAATTGAGCATGCTTCCTCTCTAAATCTTTGAGTGACACACGGATTGAGAGTGAACTATATTTCAGCACTTTACTACTTCAATTTATTATTTTTCTGATCGAATCACTTCGTGATTCATCTATGTAGTGTGAGTGACACAAATAGCAAAGTTAGATTTAATTTTTCCTATTTCTTATCCACTTTCCACGACTAACTTTCACTTATCTTCGTTCTTCTCCCTTTCTCCACGCACTTCTGATTGTTGTTGCCTTCCTACTCCATGCACTTCTCCATTCATCATTGATGCCTTCCTACTCCACTTCTCGTCGTTGTTGGTTTTCTACTCCACACACTTGTTCACTTCTTGTCATTGTTGCCTTTTTATTAGTGAAGTGACACTAGTAAATAGATATTAGAAAAAATCACTTTCTCTAGTTTGTTTTGCATCTTTTTTATTTAATAAGGATTTGATTACAATATTTGATATTAATTTGGACAATCATCCTTGATGATAAACTTTAATTCATTAGAATTTTAAAGTTAATTTCTAGCTTCTAAGTTCAATATAAATACGAAATTTGACGTCTTTAACTAAGTGATTGACATGTGATCATAGCTCAAGTTGAGGAGGTGCCAATGAGTGTGTCGAGTAATTTTTGCCAAAGTATACAGCCTATCTATAATGCCAACTACCCCCCAAACTTTTACCTCTACGAGATTAGACCATGCTAGTTATTTGGTACCATATGTGAAGTCACTAGCTTGAGTAACCTATAAGATGCCACCACACCACTTAGCCAAACTTTTGAAGTAAATTTGAATACTTCTGAAAGCTTGACACTAATAACCATCTAAATCACCATTTGGTCTTCTCCTCATGTTCTAAAAAAAGGACAAAATATTAAGATTGTGCATGGACTATCATAACCTAAATAAGTGAATGATCTATCACATGTTAAACATAGAAGGTCTCTTTAATTGATTGACAATAGCTACATTCTTCTCAAACTCAACCTAAAGAGTGGATATCATTAAATCTAAATTGAAGAAGGTGACAAGGTAAAGACGATGCGTAAAAAGATATGAATCATTTGAATTCACATTGATGTCCTTTGTGTCAACTAGTAGCTTGATATTTTCTATTCTTTAATAAATCTAATATTTCAGTGGTACTCTGATGTCTTTGTGGTTGCCTACTTAGTAGCTTGATATTTTCTATTTTTTAATAAATCTAATATTCAGTGGTACTCTGATGTCTTGATTTATAACTAAAAAATGTAAAAGCATCTAGAGCACATCTAAACTATATTAAACTTACTCTATTAGTATGACTTATACTAAACCCAAAAAAATGTATACTTATAGTAATAAAGATATATTCTTAAACATATCATAAACAAAGGAAGAATATAGATGGACAACTCCAAGATAAAGACAATCACTCAATGGTCGACTCTGATAAGTGTGAATACTATAAAGTTATTCTTAAAGCCTCTTTAAATATTATAGATGATTTAGAAAAGGTTTTCAAAGGTGACATCAACCCTCATTAACTTTTTTGCACAACAAGAACAATAGAGTTTAAGTAGATGATGCACTAGAATATTCTTGTCATTGAAGGAACCTATTGAACCAATTCTTTGACTCTCAAACTTCATGAAATCATTCATTGTACACAAACACAGCAGAGCTTAGAATAGGGTGACTCAAAGCCTAGAAGAAGGTGACTTGTGCAAACAGCTAACTCCTTTTCAATAGAAAGGAATAGCCAAATCAACCTAGCTGGCTGGTCAATCTCAGTGATCTTATCAGCTGGCAAATCGGAGATGGATGACCATGATCCCAATGATGTTATTAGTGACATCCTCAACCTAGAAGCACACCTAGCCACTTTTGAGAGTAGAAAATTTAATAGTGTTGAATGCAATTATCTAATAAATGAAGATGAAATGACCACCATCATGCACTACATCTAGACATTGAGATATTATATGTTGAGTAGCCATTTTATAATCTATATATATGATGTTGTGGCCAACTATCCAATGTAATTAAGATAAACTATGAAGTAAGCTAGATGAAAAAAACTACTAAGTGGAATATGATTTCACAATACAACACAAACATTAAGTGTAAAATATTATTACAAACAAGACATAACCACAAGTTTGAATGTGTTGAAAGAAATTGGTGTTCAAAGAAACTTTTTCTAACAAGCCCAAATAGTGTGTAGAGGATACTCATGCACAAAAACTCTTAGATTGAATTCAAGAAGGCACAACATGATATTACTAGGCAGATGAAGACATTATATATATATATAAGAGAACACTAGATGTATATTTCAATCACTAATTTTTTTCAATAGACATGAATCACATAAGTGCATGATGCACTATGGTTGAGAAACCCCAAACAACAATAGACTTCATATGTCTTCTACAATCACTATATATTCTGTAAATATGGTAACATACTATTACTTTAGACTTCATCATTTGCTTCTCCAAGAATGGATCAAATAATTATATTTTAGTGCTCCTCGACAAATGATCTAAATATAGAATATTCATCCCAACAAACTAAAATTTCACTTTAAAGGATATGAACGAATTAATCTTTAAACATGTCATCAAGAATTGGAGCTTATCTTGGGTGATTACTTTTTACCATAATACTCGGAGCAAGTTTGAAAGGTATTATTTGTCAAACTTCTCACAAGACTCTACTTCTCCACAACCTACCACCTACAAATAGATGGTCAAAGTGAACATCTCAACACACAATTAGAGGAATACTTTAAGTACTACATAATAACTTCTCAAGACAAGAAGGCAAAGTTGCTTGACATAGTGTTGTTAGCATACAACTTAAAATGTAATAGTATACTATCCATTTAAGCTAGCAATAAGGCACAAATCGCGGTACTTTTACAATTGTTCGACATTCCTAACTGATGTCACACACCATCAAACTTGGAAGACAAACACATATACATGTTAGAGGAGACAAAGGATAACTTAAAAAAGAAATTAGTCAAATGAAGAAGTAGGTCAATTAATACTAATAAAAATTTGTAGGGGATTGAATATTATAATGGATGCACCTAAAAATCTATATGTGTGTATGGGATACCTTAATAAACATAAGCCTCCTCCCAAGATAGGAGGGCCCTTTCACTATATTAGAACACATAGAAGCAGTGGCCTATAAGTTGAAACTACCACCACACTTATTTATTTATCTTGTCTTTCATGTATCACTCCTCAAGAGATACTAGGCATAGCTGACCCACAATAGAACTAATTTAAGCAGTAGTCATCCACAACCACCCCCATGTTTTTCAAGAGAGTTTTCAAGATATTTAATCATTAAGTAAGCAATTGGGGCAGTCACCACAACCTTTACTGTCTAAACATACTTCTTAATTCAATGAGAATGAGAACCTCAAAAAGAGGCAACCTAGCACCTAGAGAAAGACTTATTGTATTTCAAGGTTTAGTTGGATTAATACCTTAATTTTCTTTCAACAAGGAAGTCAAACTCTCCAATATGAAGAGAATGTCACTAGTGCAACAAGGAAGTCAAACTCTCCAATATGAAGAGAATGTCACTAGTTGGATCATAAGAAAATGTAGTAAGTGAATGCAACAAGACACGTACGAGTAGTATCCAAAAGATGTGGCTTGTGCGAGGACATAGCATGTATGAGCAGCACAATACGCATGGGTGGCACTATGTGCATAGACACCACAATATGTGCAGAGGGTATGACACACAAAGTAGACACCAACAATCCCATGCATAGGTCAAAACCTAAGCATGTGAACAGCATCATGCATGTGAGAATGTGTAGAGCTACTCCCATGCAATGGCAAAAATATAGATTTGGGCACTCCAATAGCTCCAACATATGGCACAACACCAAAGTGGTCATAATAGATGGTAGGATGTTTGAGACAACATCCAAATACTATGTAGCAAGGGCAATAGTCACCCATGAGGTACAACTACTAAAAGGGGCCTGACTAGTAATAGAAGACATTGAACCTCTTTGAGTCCCCCCTATTGATTATCCTATCTATGTGAGTGAAAGAAAAGTTTAGTTGGAAATATGAGACATCCTAATGGCTACATGTCGGTTGGGGTGTAATAGATGGGAATTAGGGTTTTTTGAAAGTGATATCTAATTTCTACCTTTTTTACATGTGGCATTGAAAAAACAAGTCTACCCAATGTGTGAACTTAAAGTAGTAAAGCAAGATTTAAGAGATTAAAATCATTTGAGACTGATAGAGCACATCTTTATGTTCCACTAACTCACTACTACAATTCATCAAGTACTAAACCTTTAGTTGACCTCCTCCAAGTTCATGTCTTTAGGTCAAACCGAGTGTTCCCATAACCTCCTCAAAATTAATAGCTCTAGGTCAGCATAGTATGCCTTGTAAATTGTATGTACAAAATAATACATACTTTGGTTGAGCCCCATGGAGGACTAGAGTTGTAGAAGTTTCTTTTAATGTGGTGACCTTAGATGTATACTTAATACTCTATTGTGAAACATATATTTTCTAAATTAACTTGATTCCAAAGTATAGTCTTATCAACCATTGCCCCTGCTAAAAACTTTGAAACAACAGCCTGCATAAGCAAGGTGATGAATGCAGCATCAAAGAAGGAGAGACATAGGAATGAAGTATTGAATCCATAGATTCTTGTTTTGCTTGAAGGAGTTGAGTTTTAAGTCAACAGAACTAGCTACTTGAACCATTGAATCCACAAGAGGTCGAGCTTAACTCTACTAGCCTTTGGTTAATGACCCAAGAGTCCACAAAAGAGATTAATTTGAGTCCACAAACGTAAAGAGAGAAAAGCTCTGAAAGGGAGGAGTACTCAGGGAGTGAAACTCTCAAAGATGTGGAACACGTATAAATTGGATATCGAGGGGTACACACTTGGGCCTTATAAAGACCTCTCAAGGGGTAAGGTCATCCACAATAAAGCAAAGACTCTAACAAGACAACATATAATGGATCTTTATTCATATCTTTGGCATAGGAGATATCCCATAGATCTAGACTAACAAGACAAAACATAACAGATCTCAAGGCATATATCTTCACACATAAGATATCTCAAAAATCTAGAGTGACAAAATAAAATAGAAACTACTGAGCACTAACAATTGGCAGGATATATATTAAGTAAATAAGTAAATAATTAGAGAAACAGATATATATTAATAAATAAGTAAATAATTTATGCACCATATCAATGTATTGAATAAACTAAGGAGCATGCCCCTATTAAATAACGTTCTTCATGGCGAAACTTCTAGAGGCAACTAGATGACTCAGCTCCAGGCCAGCACGAGGGTGGGTCTTCATGAACCATCTAACGAGGATCTTTGCAAGACCGGGACACTAGTGCACGTGCTTGTTATCTTATTCGCCTTTTACCATTTCAAGGGCATATTTGCAAAAAAAACAGGCCAGAAAACTTTTTGATGTTATGTGCATTAATCAAGTCACAAGGGACTGATGAAGGGCACGAGATATATATCAGTGGGCATAAATACAATTTACAAGCATTATTTAGAAAAGAACTACTGAAAATTTGCCTGAGCCAGTTGGCCTGCTGACTCATTTCTGACACAGAGGCCATAAACTAAACGTGCCGACTTGTCTCTTGTCGAAAGGAAAATTCCAAAGTACGACTTCCTCCACGCGGCGGCGCCGTCATCTCAACGGCGATCTGGAGAGTATAAATCGAGGCCTCGTCGCAGGCGGAAGAAGCTCCTACCATTATGACGATCGGCGCCGGAGTATCAATAAGCGAAGGCCGCCTCCTGGTGCGGGGAAGGACGGTGCTGACCGGGGTGCCGCCGGGCGTCGCGCTGACGCCGGTGGGGGGGGGACGGGCGGCGGCGTTTGTCGGCGCCGCCTCATCGCCCGGCGAGAGCAAAGCCCGCCATGTATTCACGCTTGGGCGACTTCTGTGAGCTCCGACTCCTCTCTCTCTCTCTCTCTCTCTCTCTCCCTCGCCGCTCCATCCACAGGTCGTTTTCTGGCTGGAAGCATTTGGACCAATGAGAACCAGATCTGCGATCGTAGACAGTTCTCTTACGGCATGGTTCCTCTCTGTCTCTCTTTATCTTTTTCCTCTCTCTGTGCTCGTCATCGCTGAGACTAGAGGGCATGGTTATCCCGAGAAGATTGCTGCCGCAGACGGCGGTGCCATGTTTCAGGCTCTGGTCGTCTTCCCTCCCGGAAAGCCTCCGCGGGGTCTCCGTTTTCTTCAGGCGCGTCTCCTGTGGCTCCTTCCTCTGCGGAGGCGCGGGAGAGTCAGCGCCGGCCATGACATTGTTCCACGCCCCGTTCGTCAAGGATGGCAGACTTGATGTGCGCGGCAGGACGATGCTCACCGGCGTGCCCCCAAACGTGTTCGTGTCGCCGGCGGGGCCGACTTCGGCCTTCGTCGGCGCCGCCTCGCCTCCAGGTCAGAGGAGAAGCCGCGATGTCTTTACGTTTGGCACTCTCCAGTCAGTCCTCTCTCTCTCTCTCCCTCATTCTGATTCCGTAACGCCATGAACCTGGTCTTCGTCTTGAAGGCGGGGAGAGACAACCTTAGGCCGTCTCCGTTTGAAGCCTGGAAAACTCCAAGAGAAGCGATCGCTCTCTGGTTTCCTCGATTATCTTGGACCTCTCATTAGTATCCTGTTTTCTGTGTTTGCAGAGGGTTTCGATTACTCTGCCTGTTCAGATTCAAAATCTGGTGGATGATCCCGCGGGTGGGGAGATCGAGCTCGGATATCCCTCCGGAGACGCAGATGTTGTTGCTGGAGGTGAGTGAGGACTCCACATTGGAGGACGAAGCAGTCGATTCCTCTTCAGACGACACATTCTACATACTCGTATTGCCCGTCTTGGATGGCGATTTCAGAGCGAGCCTGCAGGGGAATTCCGACAACGAGCTCCAGTTCTGCGTAGAAAGTGGTCAGCAGGCCGAACTAGAAGACTCTGTTCTCAGACCGTGTTCTTGATCTAATCTTCTTGAGAGTAAAAGATTGCTTCCCAATTTCTTTCCGCAGGTGACCCCGGTGTTCAAATCTCGCGAGTTTCCCAGGCGGTTTTCATCAATTTTGGGGACAACCCATATGAACTCCTGACGGATTCGATCAAGTACGCCCCATAGATAACTTGAGATCGGTTGCTAATTTTGATAGAGAAACCTCTGACTTCAACACTTGAAACCTCTGCAACAGGATCCTCGCCGAGTACCAGGGTAACTTCTCTCATGTCGAGAACAAGAAGGTGAGGAACCAGTTCTTTCTTCATCCTTTGCGTACATCGTTTTCTTCTGTTTTTCATGGAGATTTGTAGTCTTCTCTAGCCTCTTTCATCTGCCATTTAATGAGAAAATGCTGTCATGTCTCAGATCCCTCCACATTTGGACTGGTTTGGCTGGTGCACCTGGGATGCCTTCTACAACAAAGTCAATCCACAGGGAATCATCAAGGGGCTCCAAAGGTTGCCCCCCCCCCCCCCTTCTCTGCCTCTCTCTTTCCTCTCTCTCTCTCCATCTTCTGAGATGAAGAATTTCTGATCTTGCAGCCTATCAGAAGGAGGCTGCACACCAAGCTTCTTGATCATTGATGATGGCTGGCAAGAGACTGTAAATGAGTTTCAGAAGGAAGGAGAAGCCCATGTTGAAGGAACCCAGTGAGTCTCATCACTGTCCCTGCTATAAATTGTTACTCTCTTAAAATTTGGATTCCTCATACGCACATCATATAAACTCGAGATTATTTTACACAGATTCGCCACAAGGCTGGTCAGCATCAAAGAAAACGAAAAATTCAGGGATATTTCGATCGATCATAACTCTGCCAGTCTAAGAGGGTTCATAAGGGAAATTAAGCAGAGATTTGACCTCAAGTAAGCCCCCATAGTCCTGTGCCAAAGATTCTGATATCAGGTTCTTCTACACTGGGTTGACCTCGGAAATATTTTCAGGTATGTCTACATGTGGCACGCCCTTGCCGGCTACTGGGGTGGGGTCCTCCCCACATCTGAGGCTATGAAGAAATACAACCCGAAACTTGTTTACCCTGTCCAATCTCCTGGCAGCATAAGCAACCTAAGGGACATTGCCATGGACAGCTTGGAGAAGTATGGAGTCGGAGTGATCGACCCAGAAAAGATAGCCGATTTCTATAACGATCTTCATGGGTATCTTGCTAAAAATGGAGTGGACGGAGTCAAAGTGGATGTGCAGAATTTGATGGAAACTCTTGGGTCCGGCCTTGGGGGACGGATCCTAATTACCCGGGCATACCAGCGTGCCCTAGAAGAATCCGTTGCCAGAAACTTCAAAAATAACAACCTAATTTGCTGCATGAGCCTCAACTCTGACAGCATCTACAGGTGCGATGCTTACAGTAAATATTCGATCTTTTTCATTAGAAATAAAGAAATTCTATGTCCAGCAGCCGTGTTCTTGAGAAATTATCTGTTTTTTTTTTTTTTTTTTGGCTCCAGTTCGAGAAAAAGCGCAGTAGCAAGAGTGTCGGAAGATTTCTCGCCCGGAGAACCCACACTGCAGACATTGCACGTTGCTTCTGTCTCCTACAATAGCCTTCTTCTGGGAGAGATTGTCGTCCCTGACTGGGATATGTTCCAAGTGGGTCTTCTACGCTGGTTATCTAATTTTCTTTACTTTAGTATTTTGGAGTTCCTTAGGACTACCAGACCATCTAACTGAAAAGTAATTTCGGATGATATGATATAATCACAATCTTCATAATACTCAGTATGGGACTATCCTTAAGGCTCTCACTAATTTTGCCGTATTTTTCATTGACTCTAGAGCAAACATTACACTGCAGAGTTCCATGGTGTCGCTAGAGCAGTGGGTGGTTGTGGTGTTTACGTAAGGTAAAAGAAAATAATAATTTTTAATTTTTAATTATCCTCATAGAGAAACAAGTCATTATTTACCCTTTTTTTTTATTTTTGCCTCTAGTGACAAGCCAGGGGAGCATGATTTCAAAATTCTTCAGAAGCTGGTTCTTCCAGATGGGTCAATCTTGAGAGCACGACTTGCCGGCCGACCGACTCGTGACTGCTTGTTCATTGATCCTGTCATGGATGGGAGAAGGTTTTCTCTCCTAAGCATTATATCAACAACTCTGTCCAATTATCACTCATAATTTCCATTATGTTTGTTTACCTTTGTATTCGTTGGCCAACTGCAGCCTTCTGAAAATCTGGAATCTAAACAAGTTCTCGGGAGTTATCGGTGTCTTCAACTGCCAAGGAGCAGGTTCTTGGCAGATCATGGGCAACAATCAAAATCCTTCTGTATCGAAGACTACAGACATCTCTGGGCATGTTAGCCCTGCGGATGTTGAGTTCCTCGAGGAGGTGGGTGGTGATAATTGGACTGGAGATTGTGCAATATTGGCCTCTAAGTCAGGTACTAAGAAGCAATTTGTTTCATTCTTTTTCTAGAAATATTTGGTGATTTTTGGATAAAAGAATGCTTCTAATGCTGAGAACAAGGAAATATTTTAATAATTATGTTAACAAGGAAATACTTTTATGATGTCGGTGCAGCATTTGCTTCCAGGTCAGGTCTAACTTGGTGATTCATTCATTCCCTTTCTAGAAATCCTGATATTTGGAAACTAATTAAAAGAATGGCATTAAAGTTTGAAAATTGATTTTTATACTAATGATTGTGTTGAATTTGTTTAGTTGTCATCTTACTCATTAGCATATTTGGCTGGAATATTGCGCAGCATTTGCTTCCAAAGCTGCATTGAAGAGCAATTAATTCCATTCGATTTATTCAAATTCTGATATGAGGAAATTAATTATTAGAATCCTGCTAATGCTGAATAAAGGGATTCTTTTAGTAATGGTGTTGAATATGTTTAAGAATCGTTTTGACTCGTTTATACATTTGAACGGAGAATTATGCTGCATTTGCTTCCAAGTCAACCGCTATTATGGAGCAATTTATGTTTTTCTCTTCCCTAGAAATTTTGATATTTGGGAGACTAATTGAAAGAACGGTACTAATGGTAAAAACAGAAAATAATAAATAATTTTCTTGAATTATGCTTGATTACGGGTTCTCAGAAAGTCTTCTTCTGATTACAGGTTCTCTCTCTAGGCTCTCCAAGAAGGGCACTCTAGACCTCACTCTTGGCACACTACAGTGTGAAATCTACACCATTTCTCCGATCAGGGTCAGTATCCCCTCGAACTCTCCAGAGTTCATGTTCCTAGCTCCCATTTAATAAATAAAAAAAACCTATCCTTTGATTTTTTTTAATCTGATTTTTCTTACCAAACTCTCTGTTGCTGCGTCAGGATTTCTACCGGAAAGTCCAATTCGCACCACTTGGTCTCATCGACATGTATAACTCCGGAGGGGCCATCGAAGACCTTGGTGGCTCTGATGAACCCTCCTCGGGTTGTAGGATAAATCTGAGATTGTTCGGCTGCGGCCGCTTGGGAGCATATTCGAGCAGGAAGCCAAGTTCTTGCAGAGTTGACTTTGTGGAAGAAGACTTCAGCTACGATCCAGAGGATGGGTTCTTGGTGCTTAATCTCTCTGCTGTTTTAGGAGAGAGAAAGATGAGGGTCATTGAAATTATTTACTGAGAATTCCGGTCTCAGACATTTTCCAACAAAAAGCCTCCAGGTTTTGTTCAGCCTGGATTCCTAAAGCTGGGAATAATATGCGATTTTATGCATTCCTTTTCTTGACTACGGAGATAAAAATGGAATAATTTAGCGTTTTGGTAGACTTCACTTGCAACCAAGAGGCAAAGTGTTCAATATTTACTCAATTGTCCTTGAGATTTTTAGAGAGGAGAGAGAGGGTCAGAGCTAGAGAGAGAGAGACTTCAAAATTAAGAACGAAGATCAACGGAGGTGCAAACCAGACGATTGAAGCTCTCAAGTTTGTTCATTTCTTCGATTTCTTTGGAGGGTTATCGTCAGTTCCTCGGCCTTCGTCCTCAGCAGCGCCGTCGGCCAGTTCATCAGGAACCTGGTCCGGGACGTTGTGGCTGGCGATGAAGCTCTTCAGTATCTTCATGCTCTCTTCCTTCACCTCGGCCAGCTGCTGCGAGAGAAGCCCCCCCGCTCCCGAGTGAACAGAGTGAGATTCCGAGCCCAGCCGAAGAAAAACTCGGACTCTCGCCCCGGAGGAGGGGAGAGAGTCCCCGCAGGTGCTGTCCATGTTTCAGACAGCCGCTGCAGACAACCGGTGTGCCTTTAGAACAACGGAGGCTGTGAGAAATTCCAAGGTCCTAAAATATCATGATGGGTACATTCTACTTTACCTTAAATAGTAAAGTTCTAGCTAGTTGGAAGGAAGATAATTGATGTGCCTTAAGAACATCGGACATTGTTAGATCAAAGACCCTCAAGATCTGCTGGAACCAAGGTGCCTTCTAGTTCACCTTAAAATCAAGCTTGTTGGAAAGAAGACAACTAGAGGCAGTTTATGAGCCTGAAGAACATCAGAAATTCTTAGAGCAAAGACCCTAATGATCTGTTGGAACCAAATATGATGGGCGGCTTTTTTCACCTTTTAATAGTAAAATCATACTAAACGGAAGGGAGGCAGTCTATGTGACATAAGAACATCGGAAATGAGTAGTTCAAAGACTCTCAAGATCTACTGAAACCGATCATGACGGCTACTTTTTCTTTTTTGTTACTTTCAATAGTAAAATCATACTAAATGGAAGGAAGGCAATCTGTGTGCCTTAAGAACATCGGAAATTATTAGATCAAAGACCCTCAAGATCTACTGGAACCCATCACGACGGCTACTTTTTCTTCTTTTTTTTTCTTCTTTTTTTTTTTTTTTTAACTTTCAGTAGTAAAATCATACTGAATGGAAAGGGGGCAGTCTGTGTGCCTTAAGAACGTCGGAAATTATTAGATCAAAGACCCTCAAGAGCTACTGGAACCCATGATGACGGCTAATTTTTTGTTGTTATTATTATTACTTTCAATAGTAAAAAATCATACTGAATGGAAGGGAGGTAGTCTCTGCGCCTTAAGAACATCGGAAATTATTAGATCAAAGGCCCTGAAGATCTACTGGAACCCATCATGGCGGGTACACTTTTTTTCTACTTTTAGTAGTAAAATGGTACTAAATTGAAGGGAGACAATCTATGTCTTTAGGACAGCTAGGGGTGTGAGATCGAAGACCTTCCTGAAGATCTGTAGGAGCCAATCCATTTTCTATTTTACATTAAAGAGTGAACACAAGCTAGAAGGTAAGACAATCTGTGTGGCTTCAGAGCTGCGAAGGTTGCAAGATCAGAGATCCTCAAGATCAATTGGAACCAAAACTTTCCAAAGGCTAAGAGAAGAACCCATCAAATAACGAGGAAAAGTATCCTCAGCTTGACAGTAGGGCATACAGACGCAATTTAGCCATGATCACTCACAACAGGGACGACTGGAAGTACTAATCTGGAGGATTCAGTAGAAACTTACAGTAGAGCTTCTCGGCTCTCGCCTGAGAGGAGAAAGCCCCACTGTGGAGACGACCTGAAGAAAAACCAAAACCCATGGATTAGATGTAACCAATCTATCGATGAAGGGAAAAAGCTCGCGACAGACAGCGCTAAGGAGAGAGACCTAGTCAAGGGCCCGTAGGGCATCCAGAGGAGAAAAGACCACACCCAGGTGAAGAAGAATAAGGAGGAAGAAAGAGAGGGGAGGAAGGTGACTTCAGTCCTCACCCGATGCCGCCGACGAGGGAGATGTCTGCTTGAAGTCCGCCGGAAGAAGAGCGCCGCTGCTCCCTCGGTTGCCTACGCACCAAGACGAGACATTTCTGCCGCTAAAATAAGATTACTGACGAGGGTACTTATCGTTTTCATCTAAACGTAGTTCCAGATCACATTCCCATCTTTCTGAGAATTATTACTTAAAATAAAAATGATTCAAAATTCTCAGCCGAGGGAAGAGAAGAAGAAAAGGAAGAGAGAGCAACGAGACATTATTGAAAAAAAAAAAAGGGAAACTTAAGCCCAAACTTTTCTAGAATACCTGCAACATTATAAAAAATTATATGGCAAAGGGTGAATCTTATGTTTATTAACCAATCTTATGATCAATGATCAAATCTATTGTTGACTGGCATGTTGACCTTCAGTGAGACCTTTTTTAGGGACTCATGTGAAAAAAAAACAGCAAATTATTAGTTTTGGAACTAAAAGGGAAGATGAATTAATCTTTTATGAATCCTTATTAAATTTTGGGCTTTACGTTAGATCATGTGCACATATGAGTCAACTCTTAAGTCAACCTCCTCTCCATGCAACCAAGAATCATAAAGTTAATATTTTTTCAATACTCCTAGACTAGGAGTCTTGTTCTTATGTTTCATACATTATTTGAATAGAAACACAACAGCCATTTTCTTCTAAATTCATAGCCTATATTAGCTTGCATGCACTCACCACTTACTCATAGATCAACTCTCTTAAATCATCATAAGTGCTCAATCCTCACATTTAATGATATCACCCTCTCACTACGAATATTTTACAAAGATGCCAAGTATAAATCAAACCTTTCAACATCGTACATGAAGGTTCCTTAAGCCTACTGCATGAGCCTCAAAGATTTCGATGCAAACATTTTATTCCAACATTCTTGTTGTAAACATATACAAAGTGAAAAAAATTACAATAGATTTGTGATAAATGTATGGTTGGTCATTCTATCCAACATTGATGTCTCATTTTTTAAGGCACAAAACAATTAAAAAAAATCTTCATTGACTAGCTACAAGCATTCCAATAACCAAGTAAGCATCCAAAAAGCCTACATGACAACTATATTATGCTATGATAGTGACTCGATTTCATTGCATAGTGTTGACTTTATGGTGGGTCTGATAGTTTTGTGAAATTAAGAAAATATACAACTTGACTTGTCATCAATCTCAATTTATGAGATACTCTTGAAGAAAAGATCAATAATTATTAATAAAATAATATTTGTGAAACCTAGGTTTACAATATTAAATTACCATTTTGCCCCTTTCATATATTTTTAGCGCCAAAATATATGTTTGTCTCTAAAGGCCAACAATTTCCCCTTTTCTATGATAAATCATCATTAACATCCATTTTATGAAGTGGTTTGAAAAGCATGTGATGCGAAAACTAATTGTCAGCTATATAAGTATTTCTAACATTACAAGTGAATGTTAGAGGGCCAAAATTGAACCCTACAAGACAAGGACATCCTTCCACATTAGACGATGATGAAGAGAAGATCCAAAAGCAAGTATCCATCCATTTCTTGAACTAATATCCCAAAAATATTGAGAAGATTGATCACTTGACACCTTCAAGGAAGGAGCTAACATTGACTACTCTAGAGTTATCAACTAAATTAATCAAGTGTCAATGAACATAAACCATGAGGTATAAACTTATGAAGCCTATGCATGATACTGACCAACTTTCCATATAGATAATGAATTGTTATAATGAAGTGTTGTATACTAATTTAGTAGCAAGATGTGTTGTAAGATGGAATTTGGAAAGACTCATGTGGTGGAGAGACTAGGCCATTAATGGGACTAATTTATTTCTCAAAATAGAAAATATAGGATAAATGGGAAATGAAGAAGGTGGCAAAATTGGTAACTTCACCTAACTTTGATTTATGCTTTATGCACTATAACTTATAAATGATCCTCATCTCTTTGCTAAGAAAATCTCAAACAATCATTCACATTCATTCATAGGTGCTTATTGATGACAGACAAAGATAGCCATTTAGTGGGCCAGTAGGGGCAAAAGAGGAGGAAGGCACTGTTGGTAACATCTTCACTATTTATTTAGTTATTAAGGCTTGGAATTAGTATGCCAAATACATTCAAGATAGATGGAAGAAGAAAACATTAATGAGTATATAATTTTTTTAAAAAATAAATTCATAAAAATCCACCACAAAATTCCCAGCTTGATGAAATTTGACGTCATGTTGTAGGTTCAGTGTATTTATTAAAAAATATTTTGACTACCATATTTAGAAATGTTCATCTATTCATGTTTTTGATTCTCACAGTATTTTTTTGCTTACCTTCTTGGCATATCCTTGCCTTGCAAAATAATGATATAATATAATTTTTAGTGGATATTTATTGTATAAGAAAGTCACATATCGCTGAATAGACCATACTAAGTCACCAAACAGTTTATCCTATAAATTCCAAATATATGCAGTCACTATTATTCATGGGTTTACTTTAGGTGGATATGTTATTATTTGCCACTAACATTGGTCAAAATCACACATTTTGGCACTTAATTCAAATGTCTCATCTATTTGCCTTTGTTCCTTTTTTGGTGGCTCTCGTAGAGTAAGATTGTTTATAGCTAATTAAAGTATGGTGGAGTTCTAATAAAAATAAAATAATAGTAATAATAAAGAGAATAATAATTTCGATAGTTATAAAAAATATAATATATGTGAATATATTAAAAAATAAAAATAAAATCTTTGATTGGTCGAGTAGTAGTAGCCAACCACCATCAACGGTCATCAAAACTAGTCCCCAGTCCAAACTTGGTCGACCCCCCGCCCCCAACACTGCCGGAGCCGCTGCCGCTGCCCGGCGCAGTCCTTTTCTCTCGGCTGTCACTCATGGCGGCCTTGTTTCCCCAGGCGAGTTCTCACACTGTCCAGTAGGGGGAAACTGGCCCTTTCTCTGGCAGCAACTCCTTCCCTTTCCAGGCCACAAGGGGTGGTGCTTCGGGCGAAGGTCATTGACGGGGTGTACGAGCCGAGGGCTGAAGCGTTTGCCGGCACCCATTCTCTGTCCTCATGTCCTCTTCAGCCTTGCCGCGTGCCGAGGACTACAGATACGATCAAAGCGAGTGTTAGAGTGTACGACGATCTTGTGTCAGCAGCCGTCTTCAATCGCTCTCCTCGGTTGCGTTGTTTGCTTGGGGGGGGTGGTCTGTTCCCGGGCCCTCCAGCTGCGAAATACGCCGCAGTCCGCAGCAGCCACCGTCAATCAGCAAGGAAATACAATCTGATTCACAACTGCAAGAGACTAGGTTCTTCCTGGGGTCATCTCCTGCCGCCGCAACCCTATCTGCACCACCTGGAGTTCTAGATGTGCGAGATGCTCTGCTGTCCTCTATCTCTGTGTCAAGCCCTCTTCCTTCACGTCTTTTCTCTCCATGTATCTATCAGTGGTCACCCCAAGCTTCTTTTGAGTAAGTATTCGTTCCTCTCTCTTTGCTTTCCTCCCAGGGGGCTTGTCAAACTGCAGCCACCGGTGACCAAGGGCGCTGTGTGGGGGAAGGTGTCCGTTGAACCCGACCCATGCTGGACGCTGGATTCGCTCATATCGGAACTCAACACCTTAGAAATCAAGAACACGCTGCCACCTCCTTCCTCCCCCGCTTTCTTGGGCGTACCAGAATTCAGGTGCCTGTGACGAGGGATCCTTCCCCCTTCTCAGAATTTTTTTTTCTCACCATGGACCTTTGCTTAGGTTCAATGCTTCGACAGGGATGGCATCACCACTGCGGATAAGAATGGCATGGACATTGGCAAGCCCTTCGTAATGTGCATTTCTGATGATGATATGGAGGATTATGAGAAGGACAGCGAAGAGAGTTATGAACAGCCCCTGAAGAAGGGGACACGGTTCTCCTGCCCTGATGCTGATTTCAGGTGAACGAATGTTCAATCTATCGACTTGTGATTTCAGCAATCACATTAAAATAATCCCAATGCTGTCTTAACACTGTCTTTCTTGTGTATGCATTGAGCACGTCTTTATTTAGCCAAATTAATTGACCACACTCCCTCATCTTATAAGTTCTGATAACTGCTGTACGTTGAAGCTGTTAGATGCCTCATCAAGGAACATGTGGTGGGAGGTTGCAGATGTTGAGGCCATGCAACTGAAGCACCTGAAATTATATTTGGTTTTTGAAGGATGAAGATTTCGAAGGCTTGAGGATGAAAATGGATAAAACATATTTCTCATGGGTTTGAATTGCCTCTTAATTTCGTTGCTAGAAACATTCTTTGCTGGTATCATCTTTTTCGATTCTTTGAAACAATGCCACTGATTTTCAAAACTAATTTAATACCCATATCAATACTAAGTCAGGGTTAAGTTCTCCTACCGTGAATATATTGGTTAATTTTCTTACTCAATGGGTACAAAGATATTCACTTCTTCTTCCCTACAATCTTCTCTATTTGTTAGTACTTGACAACCAGTACTTGACAATGCAAATTCCAAAATTCACTATCAGGAAGACTTAATTTTTTTTCTCAAAGAAAAGGGCGTTGTGGTTGATTTACTCTAGGACCTGTTTTCTGAGGGATTGCAGTTGCAAGACATGTATGTGAACCTCAAGAATCACATTAATAATGACCAGTAAGTTTCAATATGAAATTTCCTGCTTACTCAACTGCAAACTGCCAGACATGTCTCAATAAAACTCCACTTATAGCTATTGTAAATAGATTGAAGACATCTGTTTCTCTTTAGTGGTGGTAAAAAACACAGTTAATTTCATTGATTTCAAATGGTAACGTTTTTTCTCCTTAACATGCTGAGGTGGATGACAGGAAGAATATTAGTGTCATTGCTCTTCAAGTTTCTATCTGCTGATTACATTTTATGTTCTTGTAATTTTCCTTTAAATTTTCAATAATTTATTGAAATTTCAGATCCAACCAAAACTTTTTCTATACAACCTCAAGAAAACCAAACGTTTTTCTATTAGGTGATTTGGCTGATGTCAATCCTTCTTGAATGATAATTGAGTCTCTATTGTTGCTACCTTCTTTTGTGTTGCTCCTGTATCTGAGAAAAAGCAATAATTATTTATTTCAAAAACTATGGCAATTGTTAACCTTGAATAGGTTATTTTCACCATATGTGGTTAATTAGTTGATTGGAAGTGTTAGGTGAGATTGCGATTTTTTGACACTTAAATGATTAATAGAAAGATGCTCTGATAAAGGCTTTCTGTCTTCTACGATTGGTTACCTTTTTGTTTGATTTAGATGGGACTTACCTTTTTTAGCATTTAATAGATAGACTTAAGTTTTTTATCGTGTCAAATTGTAACAATCCTCTACATCTGATACTACGGCATAAAGGAATTTATATAAGAAGATAGAGGTGGCCAAAGTAAATATTAGTCTAAATTATTTCTACACTTTCATCAACAACTATGGATAATATCTGTATATTTTGAGGTAGAATAATTACAGCAACTTACTGGGTAAAACCATCTCGTGAAAGCTGAAATGAGGTCTTCTACCTCCTTTCCAAAGTTTAGTAAGGACACTAAATTTAAGAGGAAGACGTAGACTGCTTACAGCAGCTATTTCTATGTTGAACCTGAAATCAAAGAGAAACTCAATCTGTTCCTGGGGTGTTTAATAATGATTATCTGGGGTTTATGCAAATTCTAGGTTAATCTCTGCCAACTCTTTGGTTGCTTTTTGGTTTTTGTTAACCCTTTTTTCAATTAGCCGACTGATTTTTGAAGGTGGATGTAGTTGAATTGGTATTTGCCTTCTTTTGTGCCATATTAATAGTGTCATACAGGTGGTTTGTAGTTATGCAATACAAGGTTACTATTTTCTTTTTTTTAATCAGTGACTCTGAACCTTCTGATGATGAATTATATCTCGAGCGACCTCAAATCTGCCTGATGGACCGAACAAATCTAGCTGAGTCATTTTTGACTGAGCTGGAACGAGAACACCACTTAAGAGTTAAGGTGCACCTTTTAACATCACCTTGATTCACATATTTTATTTCAAAAGTTGAACATGAATTTTTATTGTTGTTGATAAATATTTTATCCATCTTGCGTGTGACACATTTGCTGATGAGTTTAAACATTTGGCAAAGATAAATCAAAGATAAATCTTTTCAACTTATCATCATTTGGGTGGTACTGTAGTTGCTGGTTTTCAACATTTTGGTGAACTTTTTAACTTGCTGAAAAGATGCCGAAATTAGAAGAGGCGATCATATATTTTCCTCAGGATAGTTATTTGGATGGCTGCTCTATTTCAATGTTAATAATGCATGTTGTCAATGTCACACCCTTGATATTATCGTTTGTTTTTTGGAAGCAATTGACAGTGCAGTGCTGACAGGAAAAATGTTTGGGCAATAATTTACATAGAGATCTGAAATGTGAAGTAAATTAATAGGTGCAAGCCACTGATAGAAATCAATTATACCAATTTATTAATGTCATACAGTCAGTAGGGGTAATTAATGAATTAGAGACAATTTGTTTGTGTAGCAAGAAAAATACTATGGATGACAATAGTTAAATATTCTTAGTGCCAGTATGCATTTCTTTCATCCATATTTTTATTCTATGATGTGGATATCCACTATGAACGTGTAATTAGGAGTTCGGTTCTTAGTTGGACCGTTTCCTAGTTTGTCGATTTCCTAGTTGTTCGGTAGTTTGTTTGTTTTGTCACCCTGGCATTTGTATATAACAGTGATCTATGATATGAATACGAGTCGAGTTTTTCCTAGGATTTGCATTGCTGTTCACAGTAATTTGTTTGTTATCTGGTTATGACATTCTATTGTAATTCCGTCCCATGCTCAAATTTTTATTTTTTTATATTTTTTGTAGATGCCAGATCTCTTTACTGGTTTGCTTGCAAAGTAATGTGCCATTTTGCGTACATGCTCTAATTTTATGATTATGATACGTATATTCACGATCAACTGACTATGATTTGCCACAATTTGTGCACCATTTTTGGTTACTTCCTTTCCGCAACACAGTTTCTTCTGTTCAAATTATGTTTTCTGAACCGTTTGTCACGTTGTCTAAGAAAATTTTCAACTAGCAGGAGGAAATTAGAAGAAAAGCGTTTGCTTTGGAGGCAGAATTAAAGGGCGAAAATGAGAGGTCATTGTCTGCAATTGCTCAGCTTGAGAAACAAACCGAAATGAGGAGGGAGATGGATAGACGAATGGACAAGCAATATCAGCGCAAGATGTGTGTAGCTTTTCAACCATCCTTTCGACTTTACATTTCCCAGTTTCTTGTGGTTATGATTTGATGTTTGCCTACTTCTGTTGTGATACTGTGCCTTGCTCTCATTTTGGGGCTTTATGCCATTCTGCAAGTATATTATTGCTCAACATTTTTAATCAACAGTGTATCAGCTATTTACCACATTGAGTTTTTTGCATTAAATGTTTGCACATTAACTGAATATTAGGTATGCTGTCCTCCATTATTTTAAATTAACTTTCTACCAGCTGGGTATCACAAGGATTATCTCAGATCAAAAACTTAATTTCCTGTTCTCAAATAGTCGAGTTTTTATATTTAAAACATTTTTTTTACTGGTTTTGTGCCAAAGACAAGTGGACAATTTCGAAACATGTTTGAGTATCCAAGTTCGAGAATAAATTTTAATATTTATGGATAAGATTTTTGTGTTGAATGGTCTTCACCTGAAACGGTGGTATTTTGCCTCCAGACTACTATGATAATCTCTGAACACTATTCGTATCATGTGGAGCTATATTTTTTAATGTTTTTTGAATCTTGGGTCGTTACTTTTTTTCATCCCTATTTAGATTTTGTGTTTTTATTTTATGCTGTAACAAGCAATGTAGGATATATTACTGCTAAAAGGGAAGGAGATGTAAGATTGACAAGAAGATTGTGCCTGTGTGGATAGGGCTCTCTCATCTAGCTCCTGTCCACCTTTAATTTGCTCTCCAGCAATAAGATAAAGATAGACTAATATGGAGGAGTTTTTCAACAAGTAATTCACAGATCCTCAGTAGAATCCGAATTCATAAAATATAACTGAAGTGCTCATAATAGGGACTAGTTCTACTTATTATGTACATGCCAATAGAACTACTAGATATTTGTAAATCTCATCTGTTATCATTGTTCTACTTAGGGCAAGGCAGGCTGTGCCATATCATAGATTCTCTTTTCTATTCAATGAAAAATCAAAGGACGATAATTCTATTAACCCTAGAAATATATAGAGAAGATACCTGTTCTGTATCTATTATTTGTGTTCTGGGGATTACATTTGCTTACATTTGCATGCATCGATAATTGTTATTATGATCGAAATTCAAAGATAATTGAAAATACGAAAGTTTGATTTATTTTTATTGTATAGCATATTACTTCTACTATATAGTATCTTGCTTAGACTAATATAATGATACTTATACTAATATGATAGTAATAATTTATTAATAGCACTTTAACAGATATAACACTAATATTTTTTAATAATAATTTATTGAAATATATTGATATTTTTTGTATCATCATATAATGTAGTTTACTTATATCAATCTTTTAATTCTACTACATTGATACTTATTTAGTGGCTTTTGATTTTTAATGTCTTGTAATACATTCTGCTCAGAAACATTGCATGATATCAAGGGTAAGTGTACCAGGGGCAATGATGATATAGACCAAAAGTGTGATGGTTTGTGGGAGAGATACAAAAAAAAATATTCTGGAGAAAAAGTACGGGGAGTGAATGTTTCAGTGATGCCTTATACCAAGCAACTTTGGAATCTGTTCATTTCTGACGTGTTCATATCCTTGAATGTTTCCAATTGTTACAGTTTCCAATGCATTAATGCACGACATGCTTCATAATTTTCAAAAATGCCTTGCTATGTTGCTATTCGCATTTCATTTTTTTTTCATTAATGGTTTGTTTTAGAAGAACCAAGAGCTTCATGCTGTTTTGTCAAATGTTTTCTTTCAAAACATATACTGATACTTGTTTATTATTGTAGTGCAGAAGCACTTGATAGTCACTTATCACTTATTCAAAGGGACCACGAACAAAGATCCCAAATAGAGGAACGGAGAATTAAAGATGATGCTGCTCTTGAAGAGGCCAAAAAGAGGGAAAAAGCTCTTCATGAGGCAAGAGTGTATCAAGCTAAAGTGGAAGCTGAGGTTAGTATTGGTAAATGCTTCTTTACATGCTGTTGAAGGCCCTAGATCAATGGAAAACGTTGCTCTCCGCTAGAAGGAAGCTTACATTTCTATGCTGTGATGTTTTCTTTTGGATATGTTCTTTTTCCAATGCCAGTTATTGGACAGTTGCAGTGGTTCTATTCTCTACCGTTGTAAATTGGAGTCTAGCACCCAAAAGAGATCTTCTGATTAGTTTTACTGCTTTCTCCGAAAATTATGTTGAAATTGTGTTGTCAACATTAGCCATGACATTGATGCTATAGCTGGTTAAACTCTTTGCATGATACAATGCTGTATGTAAAAGCCTTCCCATTAATGCAGGCTCAGCAAGAGGCTGCTAGAAAAGCAGAAGAGAGGCAGAAGGCTGCCTTAGAGGCTGCAAGAATTTCGAAAGCAGAAGATCAAGGAAAAGAAGATGAAAAAGTTAGCAAAATTTCTCCTGGTGAAACAGCAAAGAAGAAAATTGAGCCCCCCGTAGCCATTAGTGTGGAGAAGGCTGTTGAAAAAAAGGAAGCTGCTGTATCATCTACAATCACAGGTATTGCCACTTTGATGAGCAAATAACATGTTTCTTTTTCCTATTGTTTTGTTTATATTCCTTCATTTTGCTTCCTTGTAAATACATTCTTCGTTGTACATGCGTTCATTTAATTCTTTTCTTTACTGTTCTTGGCACTTTCCATTAGTAAAGACTTACTATCATTTGCAGCAGACCACACTGTCACATTCTGGTCTTTTTACTCTGGCGGAAAAAACCCTTTATCAGAATCGAATCTTGCTTTATCATGTTTCCTTGTCATATACATTAAATTTTTAATCAAGTTGTGAGGTTTTGTTTGTGAGATAAAATTAATACTTTATCACAATGTGATATATTTCATGCCTGACGCCACAGAGTTCTAGAACTTTAGGATCGGCACTATCGTTGTAAACTTCACCTGAGGGGTATTGTTATTGTATTGGTCATCAAATTAAAAGTCCTTGAATGGTTAATTAGATCCAACTGAGTTAAATCAATATTTTTTGTGATTCTTTTTATGAAATTGGCAAATTTTAATTTTCATGAAAAATTTCCCATCCAAATGCTTTCTGACCTGGTTGTTTTATATTAACCTCCAGTGTGTCAGGCTGACTGTTTAATTGGAATCGCTGTTCTCCTTTTTTTGAGACCTCACAGAAATATCTACATCTTCAACTGTTGCTCCTTTCCCTCTCAGTTGGTTCCCTTCCCTACCCTTCCACCAGTAGTTTCTCTCTCCTTCGCTCTCACACACATGCACATGCGGATGCACACAGACACTCACTTGCCCCTCTCCACCCTTTTACTCTCATTGCTCTATCAGTTATGTTTTTGTCTGTCGTCTCTCTTTATTTCTCTCTCTCTCTCTCACATACACTCTCACTCCATTGCATCACCCTTTCATCTTCTCTGTCATGCCCATCTCCCACTCACTCTTATTCCTTTTTCACACCTCCCTCTTCCTTATCTCTCCCTCCATCAGCCCAACTGCCACCCTGCTCTTTCCCGTGGTCTCTATCCATCCTCCCCTCCATCAGTTATTTCTCAGTCCGCCTCCTCTCCCTTTTACTTCTCCTATTAGCCGTCTCTAGTCACATTGAACGAGAGGGATTCCAGAATCCCAAACCAGCATACAAAGGCTACCACTACGTCTAGTCCCCTACACCATGTCTCTGACTACTGCAACCTTTGTGGACGAAGGGAAGCAGAGAGACGTCTGGTGGCAAGTCACTATGTTTTTTTTTTCTAATGAATAAGCAGCAGAAATCGTTATTTGAAGCAGTGACTTCAGCCAGATCACCAAAACGTGAAAGAGGGTAACCATCAACTAGCAGTTTCTGTAGAAACAGAAGTTGGTGACGGAAGGTTGCCCAATTTCATAGTAATGGCCGATTTCTTGGATAGAGCTACTTTTTCAAATTTCCAATTAAAGAAAGTTCTTGATTGGCATCTCAGGGGAATGACCCAAAGATTCTCTTGAGCAATAATTACATTTTAGTTGAGTGACAGTCATTATTATCATTGTAAACCCCGAATAATTGTGTGCAGGGCTGACCTGGGTCTAGTAAAACCAATTCCTTGGACAGTTTTTTTGTGGTAAAGCTAGCAGCTGGCCGAGACAGATGCTTTTTTTCTTGGATCTTTATCAAACGAGCATTGAAAGAGTTTGAAAGGCACCAATGCATTGGGCCCTTTTTTTCCCCATGTTTGATGATTCCATTCGTCTCATTCTATTTTTTCCTTTGAAATCATTTGCTGTTTCACCTTCTTTGATGCTCTGTAAGCGATCTCATATTGATTCATATGATCATTTGTGTCCTCTGTTCAGGGTTCATAATCAAAGTTGCAGATTCTGCACAAAAAGCAGCGGCAGAAAGACTTGCAAAACATGATGAAGGACTTGAACTGTATAATAAATTACTTTCTTCCTCAGATAAGGTATTTCTCGCACCACTTTTGATATTTTATATATAGCCTACGTTTCTTTTTTGTGTTAGAATTTGGGTTAATGCTCTTTATACTGGTGCCTTGGTGATCTGTCTGGGTGAGAAACACTAAAGCGGGTTCTCAATCTGACCTGTGTCTTGTTGCCAAACCTCTCAGAATTGTCTCTGCCATCTGGAAGGTAATCTGGATATTTCTAGGTTGTTACATATGTGCAGGTCTGAAAAACACTATCTAAAGGAAATATAACATTTTTTAAAATGTGGAATCTAAAAATAGAAAATATTTTTCTGAGGTTCCATTGTCTTGCCACTTTCCCATTTCAAAATCTGGGACCATAGCTTGACTGGTGACAGAGTAGTTGATGGAATGCAGTGGGCATGTCCAATTCGTGTAGTCACATGAGGAAAACAAGATTAAATTGTTCCCTTTAAATGCAATGTGGATGTTTCTATTCATTATAATTTATCATCCCATTGATGTTACACGTGCACTCTGTTTCCTTATGTGATGTCCTCCATTGGGCACATGATGATTGTACGGCGGTGCAATTATTTTTTCATGGAATAACCAGAAGAAATAGCAATACATGATAAAGAATAAGCCAACAGAAGGAGAATCAATAATCTTGCTGTCAGGTTTTTGAAGACTCTTCCGGAGATACAATGTCTTAACCTTTTTGTGTTTCGAATTCAGTAATCATCTCATTTATTATGTCGCGGCTTCTCCATGTTCGACTGATGTAGCAATTTTGATTTCATTGTGGTTCTCATCCCCCTCATGCTTCAGTTAGGTCAGCCAGAATGATGACCTTGCTAACCTGAAGGATATATGACCCCTCTCAGAAAATGGGCTGGCAGCACTGTGAATATTTTCAGTCCGTGCTATAATATAGACAGTGTCAAGCACGGTAATGGTCCAAAGGGAGGGATGAAAAACCCCATCAATATTTGCCAGCATTCCATCTTTTGATATTCCAAGCATCGTTAAGATCACAGAGTTACGTCATAAGGTTACATCTGAACAATGTAAGGCTGGATTCTGTGAACATGACCCATCTCAGAGGGTACAACTTCTACATGAGTTATGCGGCTCGGTTGGTAGCTGCCCCTTTTCTGAGCTTCTTAGACACTGTTGACAGTGCAATGGCTTGTGGAAATATATTCAGAAGCGTCTTAGGATAGTAGTGGAAAGGCTTTTAGGAAAGCATTAGAGTTCCAAATCCCTTCAAAAGAGAATTAATTATGAAATGGCAAGGTCAAAACTAGAAGGCACCTTTTAACAAAGTCCTCTAATGAGAATTGGCATGTTATGGCCAGCTTTAGAGTTCATCTGGCTGAAGAATTAATTCACAGGAGCGGGGTGAAATGTTTTTCATGGATGTGTAAAACTTTTAGTGAAAACATTGCGAGATTAGAAATAATCATACGAAATCATAAGGATATACATTGTTCAATAAAATCTGTGACCTACTCTACTTCTCAGAGCCGCTTGTTGAGTATTCTACGAAGTTAAAACACAACCTATTATATGTTGGCTTCCCCAAGTATGAGTTGGTTTTTATGTAACATAGGCTATGCTCAATATCAAACTTGCCTTATTAATTTTGAAAATAATAACACACAAACTTACAATCATTTCATTTCAGATTAACCAGAAGGTGAGTTGCAATCAAACAAGAGAGAGAGAGAGAGAGAGAGAGAGAGAGAGAGAGAGAGAGAGAGATGGAGGAAGGGGGTCTTTACATTTGAAAAACTTTATTTTGTCAAAGTATGCCTTGGATGTCAATCTAGTGGTCTTTGTAGCCCTTTAAAGGGGGTTATCTTTTGCAAAAAAACATCCTTTAAATCGCTCAAGAAGCAATTCTATTTTTGCATTTTCCAGCCATTTTTCTGTTGAGCTGTTGTAGGAATTATCCCCTAGAATATTTTTGAGGGCTGTTTTAAGTTGCTAACGATTATTTACAAATTGTAGTACTATAGAGAAATCAAATTCTATTGGAATTTTGGTCATATTTGGCGTTGCTTAAGAACTATGGTCTAGCATGACACTGAATGACCAGTCAAAATGAAGAGTTTATCTCCTTTTCATGTAAACGTTGACTTACATCAATAATGAGGTCTTGATGATGCATACAGTATGCACAAGCTCATATTCTCATGTCATTTTTCATATGATGTTAATTTTTCTTTTGAATTTCCCAATTGTGTACAAGTTGGATGGGAAACTAGACTTTATAAGTGTGATGTTCATGCAACAAAGCAACCGGCGATGCCTGATGATTATGATATGACTCATGAATGAATATATTGGGCTGCAAAAAATTGATTATGTGAAGGCTCATCTGATTTAGCTTGCTAATATTGGAGTTAGGTTTCCAGAGTCCTTGTATCGATTGCTTCCAACCTGTCTACCGCAATTTATTTATTTATTTTGCCTGAAAAATGATTATATTACTTTGCCATTTCTGGATTATTTCTGATAGACGAGTGTTTCATTCGGCTTTGTGTTCGTTTTCATAGTCTTCGTTTCTAATCACATGACTTATCATAACTGACAGGATTTTGAAAAGTACCAAAGGCTGATTGCTAGGCAGCTTAGACAGATAACTGGGACAGTTGAGAATGTTAGGTAAGTGGAATAACTTTCTAACAACATCACTGGTAGTATGCTCTTCTCTTCGTATTCTAGTTTTGCGCTTATGCTAACATGTTGAAAAGAATGCCCAAATCCCCTTTTTTGTGGCTCTGTGGTAAGGAACTTAATAGCAAAGGTGTGATAAGGAACTTAATATATCTATTGAAGTATGTGTATTGTGTTGTGTCAAATCTTCTGACTTGGCCTTAGGGTTTACGGTGCCTCTGCCGTGAGAACAACAGAAAGATATGTGCAGGAAAAATTGTTTCATTCTTAGTCTTGCTGTAAAGTACAGAAAGTTCATGGTCCCAACAGGACCCAATGGATCCATATAGCATCTCATAGGGAACAGATATAAAGGAAAGTAAAAAACACAAAATACAAGTAGGACGAGGTCTAATGAATGTTGACATGGTGCATAAAATCTCTGTTTGTAGATTATTCAGAACGTTTCAAACTTTCTGTTTAGTTCAGTAAAAGCATCTAGATGAGGTTGGTTCTAAGTTAAGTCTGTAAAAGCCTGCTTATCCAATCATAATATTGACATAACACCTGGTGGCTATAATTTCCTGGTTTTGAATATCTCGAAGTTTCTTTCTCATCATATTTTGCACTTGTTTTGACTCTTTTTCAGGACAAAATCAATTGAATTGAGTAAAATCTTGAAGGATTCTCGATGTCCTTATCCTGTCTCTTTGATGGTATTTTCAAAGAAGGTACTTTATTATTTTGATGAAAGAAAACTATTCTACAGATGCTCAGAAGTCGCTGGTATTTTAAGTGATTAATTTCGTTGTCTATCCCAGTAGTAGATGACCATTTTCTTAAATATGAGATAATTGAGTTCAATTTATTTTCTATGGATTTATTTGTTTATACACATGCTTTGATCATCTCTTAACTCTCTGGGCTTGTTATTTCAAAGTGTGCTTGTAATACTTTTGAAAAAACAGACGCATGTATTTGTAAAAGTACATACATATTATCCATATATATGCACACACGTACACATGCTTATAAGTTTGACGCCAAGTTTTCAACATGTACAATGATCTATGAAGAATGTCGTAATCCCTAGATGGATACGTTAAAATAGGCCTTACGAGCGTGGGCCAGACTTTGGCAGGTGTCCTGTTTGAGAAAGCTTGGCTTATACATAAATTTACGATCAACCTATGTATAAGCAGCATTGAGAAAATAACCAGATATAATTGGCAATATTAATGCATGAGAACATTTTCAGTTGTAGATCATTACCTATTATAAACCTGGTTTTCAAGGCATTGCCCGCTTGAGAAGGTGGGCACAGGAAGACCTAAGGAGACAAGATTTGGAACAAGAGTGCTTGTGTCATTGCAGCAAACAGTCAAATGTGAGTACTTGTTGGACTCTCCAAGGCCACGGCTTGCCCTCGCATATTGGGGGAATGGTGAACACACATGCAAGATATGTATTAATCATAACATGATTTAACAACATATTTATTTCATAAAAATAAATTAAAAATATTTGACTGGAGAATTTTGTATCTGAACTTACAAAAACTTGTTTGTGTGGTTTGTGTATTATCTACATGTATATAGTTCGAGTGAATCACAAGTATTACCTGAGATCTGTATTTCAATATCACAGGATTCATCTTTTTTCTTTAAGACATAATCAAGGATAATTGTGGGATTCCAAACAAAGGCACAAGAATTTTTATAAGTTTGGAATGAATGGATGGAAAAACAAACCCCCAACTGGACTTAGTTTTTCTATGATTTATGTTTCATTTTTTTTTTGGTTTCAAGAAAGATGTTGATCAATTCAATTTTTTTCCAACCAAGTTCGTATTCTATTCTTTTGACTTGTCGAACCTGTTCCTAGCAGAATTACAGATATTACAACAGTTCATTTTCTGTCACCTGTTTGATAATTATTTATATTTAAATATTTTTGGCATGCATTGGAATTAGGCATTGTCTAATGCCCTGTCTTGTTGCCTGAGAGGGGCAGTGTATTAATAACGTAAGCAGCTAAATGTTGATTGGCATTTGCGTTTGGTGATTTCTGTCATTCTCTTGTTTTGCCTGTCTTTTTGTTCCATGATTCCAAATTCATTTCTGATATTGCAATGTAGGTTCTTAATCTTTGCGAAAATCAGGGTGCAAGCTTTGATGGTATTGCTTTTGCTGTTGGGCATGTCATTGTCCGTGTCTCTGCACAGGTGTGGCATATGCTTTTCTTTCCCTTGCAAAGTTTTATGTATTTCATTTGTTTTCCCATTCTCTGTGTGATGCGTCTCCTGCAACGTAACCAGTCACCCTACCTGGATCCATTGACACATTTTCCAATCGAATTTCTTAGTTAGCATAAAGTTTCAGTCCCACAGAAGTATTAACCCTTTTACTCAAAGGCTACACATGAGGCTAACTACATCCTCGGGCATTTATTATTGTATTCTTTGACTTTCACAAAATACTTTGACCAAATGTATTGTCCTACCATGTTAAATCCGGGGCACCAGCAACATTTTTCGTAGAGAAATGGTCCAGATTTTTATTCTCCTAACCACCAAATTAATTGTGCTGTAATTGTTATTAGCACGTATTTACGTACATATGGTTTCCATATCGAAAACGAAATTGAATTCGTTGATTTTAGTGACTGAAAAATTAAGTTCTCATCATCTTATGATCGTCTGCTGTTGATAATTACTGAGATGAAGGCTTTCCATATTGATTTCTTCCTGGATTGACAACGACGAACCTCAATCTATCCTGCGGTTTATATCAGCAATTAGCTTGTCCTTGTTGTTTTTAGAAACTTTTACCACCTTAACTCAAGAAAAAGTGTTGTGTACTCGTATTTTGTTGACAGAGGATAATGTTATATAAGATGTGTAAAAAGAAAATGAACACAGATTGCTACTGAAATTTCTCCCACTATCTAGGGGACAGCTTCTGGGGTCACTGACCATTGTGGGGCCGCCAGTTGGGGCTGCTTTCCTCTTCTGGAACAGAGGGATGAATGGCTGCCTGCTCCTTGACCCTCATGACCCAGCGTCTCTGATGATAGCTCACGTGGCCTGTGTTTTTGTTCTGGCAGAAATACTTTTTCATTGATAGGCTATCTCTTTGAGCCTTCCCCAAATAAGAAAGGATGCTTACGAAAGAGCACTTACCTTCTCATTTGGAACATGTTCTGTGTTGATCGATGGTTTCACCAATTTCATAAATAGCGTTGCCTGCAGTTCCGATGATTTTTTCCCATGCTATTCATGCTTATGACCAGCTATATTAACACCATTGCGGAGCCCAAAAAAACCAGTTTTTTTTTTTTCCAAATATTTATCTGATTCGGCTCCATTGGTTCTGCTGTCCTAGCTATTTCTTATGTCAGCTGTTTTTCCCAATGGATATATATACACTCAGGTTCCTGAAACTGTGGATTATCTTCTGGCCGAGTTTCACAAGGCTTGCATGTACACTGTGCCTCAGTTCGTACAATATTCAAAGGTGCCAGCAGTCTGCGTTAGATGATTTCTCTCCCTTTTTGTTGCTCGAGAGATTCATTTTGGCAGACTAAATACATGCCCCTTTTCTATTCTGGGGTATCCTCAAGTTATCTCCTTTGCATCATCAGGTCATGAACAGGGCGAAGGAATACCAGAAATTGATTGGATATCGAGAAGAAGATGGGAAGATCGAGAGCACTGACAGCTATCTGGATCGTATTGAATCCTACATGAAACTATATGGCGCTTTGGTGCAGGTAGCTCTCATCGCTTGCCCGATATTCATCCATTCATTGCACAGAAAAAATAAATCTAGTGCTGCTGTGTTCAGACTCGATTTTTGTCTCAGTATCCAAAGAAAACCATATTTTTTCTGGCAATTTATGTATCTCCTGGACGATTTTTGGGTCATTTTACTGCAACAAAATCATGGGTTTTGATGAGCCTTTCCCTCTCAAATTCCTCATTCCATTTTTTTTAAAAATAGTTCGATGGCACAGAAAACAATAAATCTAGTGGTTTATTCAGACTCATCTTTACATTTCTATTCAAGGAAAACCAATATTCTTCACAAAATTTGCATCATGCTACTGCCACGACAAACCTGGATTTTGTCAGCTCATATAACAGCACTAGATTTTACTCTCTCTCTCTCTCTCTTTCCCCATCTCTTGAGCAATCATCCTTTGGCAGACGGAGGCTGGGGACGTTCCAAATCCCCACGGATTAAAGGAAGGATGGGCGTGGCTGGCGAGGTTCCTCAACGTGCTCCCGGTCACCAGGTTCACTGCCGTTGCTCTAGAGGCCTTCTTGAAGGTCAGACCCCCTTCCTGTTCCTCATCTGCAGGCGAGATTTTCTTCGCTGGATGCCCCCCCTTGAACCAGATCTCATTTCAGATGGCGGGCTTTGCGCTGCTCAAGAGATACCGAATCCAATTCGTCAAGCTGCTCAACACCATCTCCGCCCGGTTTCTCCCTGTGCTGAAGAAATCTCAGGCAGACCCAGAGGTGCACAGGATCACCAGCAAGCTTGAGACCTACCTGGAGAAGAAGCTGTACCTGAGGGAGCCCGACGGCCGGCGTCTGGAGGCATCCCTGTCGTCAAGAGTCCACATGGCGTAGGCCACCTCACTCTGTTCTTCTTCTCTAACCTTTTTCCTGGAAATTGAGAGCAGGAAAGAGAAACAAGAAGAAGAATATAAGACAGTCGCCCACCCCCTGCGGTGGGGTTTCATGAACTCCAACAGAAGCCTGGCAGCTTCTTCACCCCCTTCTCGCTCATCGCCTCCCTGACCCTCTCTGCGTCCGCCCACCGCCCTCTCCCGGCGTATATGCTCCACAGAAGCATGTAGTTCCCGGTGTTCTCCGGCTCCAACTCGAAGAGCTCCCCTGCGACGACCTCTGCAATGCCAACCTCGTCGTAGGTCCTGCAAGCTGATAGCAGCGCGCCGAGCGCTCCGGCGTACGGCTCCGCCGGCATCGCTCTGATGAGTTCGTGCGCCTCCTGCAGCCTCCCGGCGCGCCCGAGCATGTCGACCACGCAGGCGTAGTGCTCCGCCGTGGGCTCTACGCCGTGCCGCCGCACCATCGCGTCCCAGAAGCTCAGCCCCTCGTCGACCAACCCCGCGTGGCTGCAGGCGTTCAGCACGCCGACGAAGGTGATGGCGTCGGCCCCGACACCCCCCGACTGCATCCGCCGGAAGAGCTTCAGGGCCTCGCCGCCGCGGCCGTGCGCGGCGAGGCCGTTGATGAGGGCGCTGTACGCGAAGGAATCCGGCGAGGGGATCTGCTCGAAGCATTCGCGCGCCGCCTCCAAGCTCCCGCATTTGGCGTGCATGTCGACCAGTGCCGTGAGCAGGTGCTGGTTCCGCTCGATGCCCCTGCGGTCGGCGTACGCCGCCACCCAGTGGGCAAGGTCCGCGCTGCCGAGCTGGGCCACGGCGGAGACGGCGCCGGTCGTGGCGACGGCGTCGGCGCGTACGCCGGCGCGGTCCATGGCCCGGAAAAGCTCAAGGGCCTCGTGAGGCCGGCCGTTCTGCGCGTAGCCCGTGATCATCGCCGTCCAGGAGATGAGGTTCCTCTCCGGCATTACGTCGAACAGGACGCGCGCCTCGTCGAGCAGCCGGTTCTTCGTGTAGCCGACGAGCATGGTCGTCCAGGAGACGACGTCCCTCGCCGGCATGGCGTCGAAAACGGCCCTCGCGGAGCGAAGGTCTCCGCCATTGACGTGTCCGACGAGCATGGCGTTCCAGGTGATGACATTTCTCTGGGGCATATCGTTGAACAGCCTCCGCGCGGAGGCCATGTCGCCGCCCGTCTTCGCGTGGGCTCCGAGGAGCGCGTTGTAGCTTACCACGTCTCTAGCAGCCATTTCATCGAACAGCCTACGGGCGCTCTCGAGGGCTCCGCACTTGCCGTACATGTCGATCAGCGCGTTGGGCACCGGCAGGAAGCCCATGCACCCGCTCCTGACGGCACGAGAGTGGGCCTCGCCGCCGGCGGAGAGGTCCAGCAGCGCCGCGCAGGAGTTGAGGACGAAGGGGATGGTGAAGTTATCAGGCGATATCTTGCGCCGCGGCATCTGGGAGTATAGGCGGAGGGCGAGCAGCGCCGCGGCGGAGCCGCCACTGGAGAAGGCCCGGATGGCGCGGTTGAAGAGGGAGAGAGCAGGGGAGGGGACGGAGGAGAAGACCCGGAGAGCCGGAAGTGGGGACGGGGAGAGGGCGGCGTAGAGGACGAGCAAGGTGGCGGCGAGGGAGTTGTTGCCGTGGAGACCAACGCGGAGGACGCGGGCGTGGGCCTGGCGGACGGCGGAGAGGGAGGCGGCGGCGGCGCATGTCTGGAGTATAGCGGCGAGTGCGTCGACCCTGTTGTTGCGATGGTGGCGCAGTGCGGAGGCGGCGGTGCTGGTGGGCACTCGCATGACACCCCGCCCAAGCAGAGACTGAGGTGATCATTGGGGTAGATGATCCACTATCATTTCTTACGTTCGTTCTCATCTTTTTCTTCTGATTATTCATTCATCCATCAACCTCCTCTTTTGTTGATAATTAGCGGGATTTATGTTTCAAAGCCTAATAATTTGTAAAATTTTAATGAATGATTTTAACTAGATTGAACTTATAAAGTTCTCATACTTCATATCATATTGCTTTTTCTGTCCAAGCTTATCCTTTAGGATTTTTATTTTGTTTTTCTTGAACAAGTTGACATTTCCAAATTATCAGCAAGACCTTATTCCAACAAGCTAATGAAGACCTCTTGATTTGGTAATAGATATACATGTTCTTCAACTTTGAATGGATGGTGGATGTTGGGAGATGACTTAAACTTTGGCAATGTTGCTAAAAAATATGAGATGAATGCATCGAAGAATTGAAAACTTTAGATTCATGAAAGCTTCTATGAACAACATTAGAGGGTTTTACAAATTGAAACACCAAGTTTCTACTTCAAATGTCCCCCTTGAAGGGGTATTTTAAATCCTTTTTGTGTCATTTTGGGTTATATAATTTCTATGATTTTGTGGGTTTGATGCCTAACTGCTATGATTTTTCCTTGCAAGTATAGACTTCATTTAGGTGTCAATGTTATTAGCCTGGTTGTTTAAAAGATCCACTGGACTAGGGATGCAACAAGAAAGGGAATAATAACCTATACATCAAGACTAATATATATATATATCTATATATATATATATATATATATTAAAATAAAACAGACATAAAACTAGTACTTTAGATGTACCAATCTATCCTCCTTGTCTTTTGGAACATTTTTAGCTTTGATGTTGAAAATAAAATACAGAAAAAGGGAAAATAATAATTTTACACTACTAAAATTGTCTATGATTTATTAAAATATGAAAAAATATGTTTATTTATAAAAGCATCATGCAATTCATTTCTTTTTTTGGAATGAGTAGAGTCACTTGCTAATGCTAAACACTAAGATACTACAAAAAGAATGAGTTGATTCAACTTATATAAAGAATGCTGGACACTATAATGACTAAAAACTTATTGTGTCAAAGTTATCACTCAAAAGAAGCTGGTCTACTCATTTAGTAAGAAAAATTCTCAACACATTATGAGCAAAGTGCATACAAGGTTAACATGATAATTTAACATTAAGAAAAGTTCTATATTATTCATATTTTATCATAATATGTGCAGAGTTCTTTTAAGTTCTTAGTACTTATAAGGTATGAGTTTAGTACTTTCTAGTAATATATGAGTCCATTATTTGATAAGAAGGTTTTAAGGAGCATAGAACTATAAAGCAAAATAGAGAAAACACAATGTATCATATTAGTCGTAACTAGTTCATAAAAACTATTTGTTACTATTTTTTGACAATTCAAAGCCTACAAATTAAGAAAGAAGTCACGTTATCAAAGGATTAATCTCCCCAATACCCCAAGTAAGAAATACACTCTCTAATAACACATTTTTATATTCTTTTCAAACATTCAAGTTACTCATCTACAAAAGAAGCTTAGGCCCATGAATTCATGCCAATGAAAGTAATACGTACAATGTCAGAATGAGTACTCTTTGATTTCTGGTATTTGGGATTTTATTGTATGAGTATTAACTTAGAGCTATAAATGTAAAAGAGATTAGTTGGTCAATAATCTGGTTGGCCCATTAGAGCTATGAATCTAAAAAAGGTATTTGGGGAACATGACCAGCTAGAGTTGTAAAATATATTGAAAGCTAGCTAAAGCCTTTCACACTAAGTGATTGTACCTACAAGTATTAGTAAAAGTTACAGATGTGGCCGTTAGAAAGTACAGTATGCTACATATGATGAATTACTAAATATGAAATTAGATGGCAACATCTTCATTTTTCACTAAATTGGGCAAATTTGCTATACAGATCAAAGGTCAACACTACAACTTGTCACACACTCTTGTTGTTGATCCCTCAACACACGAGTTGACCTTCTTTCTTGATGTCTAAGTGCCAACTCATGATGCTCAAGCTATTCATTCACCTTGGTGTTGACTCTAACTTCATTGAGTCAACTATTTCTTCATCATAGATTCAGATTTTTACATAGTGATCAATACTTAAAGCAGCTCTCTAGCTTGCACAGAAGTTTCAAACACTCACTTTTCATAATTACATGATGATTTTTGAGTTATCAATGCTACATCTAGACCAATGTTTTGACATGTAAACCTAATTATTTTATAATTTCAAGTCAATGGTTCATTCAACAGTGCAGATTTCACGGCCGGAGTTCTTCATCTTAGTCACCCGCTAAATAATAATTATTCAGCAAACGAGAATGGATGGGTGAAAAATTTATAAATCATCGAATTTCTAACCTTCATTTGGGTACAATCACGCATAGGATTCGTCGCGTACGTCATAAAAAACTCTTACTTGTGTGATTAAACTACCCAGAGAAAATAAATAAATCGATAGATACATAGGGGGGGGGGGGATAGAGAGAGAGAGAGAGAGAGAGGGAGCACTTGAAGGTCTGATTATCTGTCAGTAACTGTGAGGGATCCAACTCCATTCGTTTAAAGCCAGACCAAAGTTGACAATGTGCTCGTTTATTAACTTCGATGAGGGCGTTCAACAGTTGATAGACCTCTAGAAAATGGTTTTAGAGGAGAAGGCGAAATGGGTGTGGACGAGCCTCCCCCCCTGATCCGTGTTCTTCAGATCAACCGACCCTCGGGAGGTAATACCCGGAGGGAGGATGAGCGCCGCCGTGAGCGGCGGCGAAGGCCTTCCCCACCGGCGCTGGGTTGACTTGCATGAACACGTAGTTGCCAGAGAAGAGCTCTCCAAAGTGGGATCTCGCCTCGTTGAGCCTCCCCACCACCCGCCGCAACGACGCCCGCATCCGCACCCCCTGCCTTCTCAGCAGGCACCGCAGCCGCGCAATCCTCACCCTCGGGCGCCTCCGCCTGCCCCTGCCGCCCGCAGCCGCGCGCGCCGGCTGCGCCGCCTCCCCGCCGCCGCCGTCCTCCTCCGGATCCGGCGGGCCCTTTCTCAGCCTCCGGTACGAGAACTTCAGCCGGGTGGACGCCATTCCCTCCCCGAAGAGAGCAGAGGGCCCTCTTCGTCTCGCTCTGACAATAAGGATGGTGCGAGTTTGTGGGCACGGGAAAAGGAAGGGAGAGGTCGCTGTGGTGTTGGATGGACGCCGCCGCCGGGGTGGGCAACAGAAAGGCACGCCCTTTTTCAGTGGTCCACCTAATCGTCCCCTTCCCTTTTCATGGCCGCTGAGAGCGGAAAGAGAAGCTTAGAGACCGGAGATTGAAAAGGTCATAGAAATTTCCTTCGATGTCATCAATGCTGCGGCAGAAGCTGTCGGAGTCGCATTAAATGCGTTCCACAGAGAGTGAGACAGAGAGCCAGTTGAATACCCAGCACATCCCGTTCTGAAGAAGCCGCGTGAAGACTACTAGCCCATACGCTATTTAAAGCACGGATGCAATACAGCGCGCGCTGTGAAGGGGCATTTTATTGAACAGATCGGGTGGGAAAAGAGCAAGGGATAGGAGAGGGGGACCCCGAGAAACAGGTCTCTCAGCGTGGCGTGGCATCATCGTAGTCTCATGTGTTCGTCGGCCTTCCACAGCCGTCTTCGACGATCACTAGAGGACATAGCACGATCTTCCTACTTTGTTACCAGATGTTAGGACCTGATTTTGATAATCACAAGAACTGAAATTTCAAACTGATTTTTGTAGATTTTTTCCCATCAGTTTCGGTCAAATAGAATTCAATAAGATAGATATTGATATCCTAAAATTATATGACAAAACATGAGGAAAAAATTCATTTTCCCTGCAAAATGTGAGCCATAAATTAGGTGCCGACCCAGAAAAATTACCCTTCATTGGCTCATTCCAAAATTTATGTGATGTGCTAGCTCTATTTTTATTCACGATGCTTCTTCATTTTAGGTGGACAATTTTTCCTTGAATGTATTCTCATTGTGAACTTATGATTGACTGAAAAAGTATCCACCCTAAGTTCATGCAGAATATTTTTAAATGTAGATAGCAAAAAAGGTTAATAAAAATAATTATCAAGCACAATTCATAGCTAAATACTCAAGATTTACATAAAAAACCACACTAAATGGAGAGGGACAAAAAAAATTCATGATGGAAAAATAGATGAGGTCTCTCTAATGAGGTTCTTGCCTCATCAAGTATGCCATGTAGATGATGGAGAAATTGTTGTCTACCTCAACCATCACCAGAAGATGAAGTAGCACAAATTGAAATAGTGCTAACCGCCACATACCTCAATCGTCACCACTAGAAGATGAAGCAATAGGAAGACAACAAACTAATTCTCATTCTAATAGCAAGTCTATTAAGCTCTGTATGACCAATGAGGGAGGCATGAAGTATTCAAATGAGTTTTACTCACTTTAAAGGTACCCAAGAGTCTAACTTGCTCCAGGGGTCATTATCTTCTCTTTCTCTCTCTACTCTTTCACTTTCTTGTCTTTTATGAGTAATGATGAGTTACAATTCTTCCACCTCAATTTGACATCCCCCTTCTTGTCTTGAGTCAAGATTTAGTAGTGTTGGATACACTTCCAACTAGTTACAATTGTCACTATGTCAATCAACCCCCCCCCCCCGCTCTCTCTCTCTCTCTCTCTTTGGGTATGTGGCATCAATCACTCAATCATTCCTACTTTCAAGATAATCAGAGTCTTTTAGTCCACCCCATCACTTTAGATTCCTATCATTTGGTATTAAGCATATGTGACCAAAGCCAATTGGTAATTGGCTGGAGCATCTCAAAGTGGACTTGGACAATCTCCACAAACATATCTTGGTTGTTCACCAATAAAGCTCAGTTCTATGCCAAGAAATCTCATTTCTCTATCAAGAGAATGTTGCATGAGCTATTGAGCTTCATTCCTAACTGGCTCAAATTCTATAACAACTACAAGATCAAGGCAAAAGTCCTCAAAATGTTTGGGGCAATAGTGAAACGAGCTTCGAGGCTGCTATACCCTCCATGAGACAATAGTAGAACTTTTTTTATCTATCTAAAGAACCTCTTTTGTAGCAAAGTAACCAATTATTGTCATATATTTGGAAGGCAAGGCTCTCCCCTAATTTTGCTGGACCCACCAATGCCAAGCCTTCCACCATTGGGAAGACCTCCATTAGCGCCTCCTCACCCAATTTGGGTCGAACATTACAAGTTCACTAGGACAACATTTCTTGAAAATTCAACAAGAAGGCTCTCTTGCAGAATACCGCGACACATTCGAGCTCAGGACATATGTTGTTGGTGATCTACAGGATCAAGTCCTCAAAGATACCTTCTTCAGTGGGCTCAAATATGACATCCAATGAGAAGTCACTCTCCTGGCCCTTGTAGGCCTCGACGCACTCATGACTTTGACCCAAAAGGTGGAAGCTAAACTCAACTATCTGAAGAGAGGAACCCTAGATCATTCATGACCACGAAGCTCCACATAAGGATACTTTCCTCCAATGTGACGGCTACTGTCCACACCCATGGACATAGGACAAGGGGCCACTTGTGAAGCAGCGAGTCCATCTAACACTATCAGAGTATGAAGTGTGGCAAGCCAAGGGATTATGCTTTGCTTGCAACAACAAGTAGATGCCCAGTCATTGTTGTCAAAAAGAGTTTCAGGTGTTGTTGGTCCAAGAGGACGTTGCTGACAACCTACCTTAGGCACTTACCAGTGATGCACCCATGGAAATGGATGCAAACCTAGCGACAATGGCCAAGGTTTTGGCCACCTTAGAGGTCACCCTCCATTAGCACACCAACGACATCCCACTAGAATCCTCAAATTCACTAGATCCATCCAAGATCACCCCATATCCATCCTCATCGACATGAGTGCCTCCCATAATTTTATCTCACTTTCTATTGCACAATGGCTCCAGCTACCCATCCTCCCCACAATGGGTTTTGTGGTGATCACCAGCACTAGGGACAAGATGACAAACACCCACATTTGTCACAATGCCACACTTAAAATCCAACATGTCATCTTCACCAAGGACTTCCTTGCACTTCCACACACCCCCATGGATGTTATTCTTAGCATGCACTAAATGCAAATCAAGAAAAAATTGAGGTAGCATTCATCACCTTAGAGCTCTCCTTCTTGATGGACTAAGAATGAGCTATGCAAGATACATCTCATTCAAGGCACTCTCTATGGCAGCATAGCAAGGAGACCTTGCTGTCGAGCTTTTCCAACTCTTGACCAACACACATGATTAGGTCTCTTCCACTCTTGACCCTTTGGGTCTCCTACATGTCCTTTGCCACCAGTTCTCCTAGGCTTTTGTGGAGCGACTCGGCCTACCCCTGGAGCAAGAGGTGGAGCACACCATCAAATTGGTACCATATGCTGGGCCAATCAAGGCACGACCATTCTTGTACTGTTACTTCTAGAAGAGGAAATCAAACGCTTAGTTGGTGACATGCTATAGGTTAGGATCATCCAATAGTCTGTCAATCATTTCTCCAACTTGGTCCTTCTCGTCAAGAAGAAGAGGGGTGAATGACATTTTTATGTGGACTATTGTGTAATCAACAAGCTCACCATTCATGATCATTTCCTCATATCCATCATCGACAAGCTCCATGACATTATCCTATGCTAGGATCTTCTCCAAATTCGAACTCTATTGGAGTACTATTAGATCAGAGTTCACAACAAAGACATCTCAAAGATGTCTTTTCACATACATGATAGATTTTATGAGTTTTTCATCATGTCATTCAAACTTTTGACATTTCAGGTGCTCATGAACTAGGTTTTCTAACCTTATCTATGGTGGTTTGTGCTGGTTTTCTTTGATGACATTCTCATCTACATCACTATGATTGCAACCTATTAGTATCACTTGACACTTGTCTTCAATAAATTTGCTCATCACCACTTCAAAGTTAACTTTAAGAAGTGCTCCTTCAAGTAGGAAAACATCATTTATCTTCTCAGCGACACTCTGACAAGATCAACCCCCTCAGTTAGGCAGCACCAAAATCTCTTAAGGAACTTAGAGGATTTCTTGGCCTCATCAGCTACTACCGATGGTTCATCATTGAATATGACACAAGTGCATGGGCTTTAACCTAGAGCTCAATCGGGACACTTTGCAATGGACAACATATGCCAATGATGCATTTTAGTGGTTGAAAGTGGCATTCACCTCTACCTTTGTCTTAGTTCTCCTCAATTTTTCTCAACCCTTTGAGTTGGAAGTTGATGCATTGAGATGCGGAGTGGACATCATCTTAATGCAACAATGCTGACCCATTGACTTCTTCAACAAAATATTATCATCTATTAGGAGATTAAAAATAATCTATTAACGAGAGCTCATGATAGTTGTCTTGGCCATCTTTAAATAGTCTCACTACTTGTTTCACGTGTCTTATGATCTACACCAACCAAAGAACTCTTAAATTTGTTATGGACCAAAAACATGTATTATTAGACTATTAAAAATGCTTTATAAGATTACTAATTTTGATTTTCAGATCCTTTACAAGTCCGGTAACAACAATAGAGCAGCTGATGTCCTCTCTTGTCGCTCGAAAGCCTCAATGCTCTTACCTATGGAGCTCTCCAATGACACCTTTTTGGACTTTACTTGTATTCAACATGAATGTCTAGGGGGCAAAGCCCTCAACCCCATCATCTGAGACCTTCCACTCTATCAAGCATACTGGCCCTTTACGTGCTCCACTATGGCTTGTTGTTTCATAAAGGTCAACTTGTGGTTTTAAGAGATTCATCACTCATTTCAAAGATCTTGCACGAGTTCCATGACTCTAAAATTAGAATATTCTGGGTTCCTTTAGACCTACAAGAGGATCTATTAGAATATATTTTGGCGTGGAATAAAGGTCCACTTCAAGAAATATTTTCATAGTTACACCATCTACTAGCAAAATAAGACGGATGTACTTTTCCTGACCAACCTCTTACCATCACTTCTCAATGGATTTCATTGAAGGCCTTCTAAGCTCAAATAGTTTCTACATAATCTTTGTTGTCAA